TTTCTTTCTTTCTTTCTTTCTTTCTTTCCCCAACTTAAATATATCTGAAATCTCTTCTAAAAGGTAGGTATTTCCATTGACTTTGCCTTAGTGATGTATTCCTGTAGTTTGAATTAACCATGAATTTGACTGTATCTTGATTTTCCTGTTGATTTTGAGTATGTGGATATAGTAGCTAGCTACTGCAAAGCTCTAGTGAAGAGCTGTTACTTTTGTCCTTGGTTTTCAAAAGTAAATGCTGTGTTATTTGTTTATGTGTGATGTTAGAACCTAGAGCCTCATGCATGCTAAGCATGCAGTTTACAACAGAATTATACTTCCAGCCCATCAAGTTTCGTTTTGTTTCATTTCATTTCATTTTGCTTTGCTTTGCTTTGCACATTCTTTCTTTTTTTTCTTGGCAGAATTTCACTGTGCAGTTTAGGCTGACTTAGAACTCATTTTTCAGCCCACTCTGGCCTGTAACTCACAGTGATCCTCCTGTCTCAGCCTCCAGAATGCTGAGATTACAGGTGTGCACCATCATGCCTGGCCACATCAAGTTCCTTGCAGTCTTTCTACTTGCTATTTTATTAGAACCCAATCTTTACCTGTCTAGTCTAATGTGATTTAACTGTATGTATGTGTATTTTAGTTGCTTTACAAATGATTTTAGCAAAAAAAAAATACATAATTGCATTTTTCTCATAGCCTCTGTTACAGTTTGTGTCTGGGTGGCTCCTCATGCAGTCGTGGAAGTGGTTGAATCTAGTATTTGTGATTGGTTTGTTGTCTAGCACTGGAATTAGTGGTGTGGAGCCAGCATACATATAAGGGAGGGAAGAAGGCATGCTTTTACCCCTTTTTTACCTTGTTTGCTCTTATTGCCTGCAGCAATGGCAGCTGAGTATGGACTGAAACCTCCAAAAACTATAAAAAATAAACCTTTCCTTACTTCATGTTGGATGTCAGATATTTTGTCTCAACAGTGAGAGAAAAGTAACCAAGACAGCCTCCATTCTACAATAAGCATAATGCTGTACCCTAATTCCCCTTTGTAAGGGGACTGCTGTGGGTGCCCTTTCTTGTGTCTTAACACATACCTCAAAGAATTCATAAATCTTTTTCTACTGTAAGCTTCCAAAACAGTTTGCAGATATGAAAAGCTGTTGCCCTTCCATGTTATACATTCTGCCAGTTCCAGCCCATAGAAACTCAAGTTAGAATGTAGCACTCAGACCATTCCAGGTTGGGCCTGCCATTAGATGCCGGTTCTAACTGAGATGCGTGTACTCTGCTGGGATTCCGAGAGATCGCTCTGAGTGGGGATTGGAAAGATGGTTGGATCATGTTTACTTTTATTACTGCTTGATCTTGGCCTCTCTGTTTTAAGGAACAGAGAGGTAATTCGTAGCTGGTCTCTTGCCTCACATACTACTAACAGCCACTGGCCTTTCCTGCTATTTTTAAGGACATAAACTACATGAGAAAAATGGGTAACTTAAGCACACTTGGAACTTTTATCATACAACAGGGAAAGTAGATTTTTCTCTACTCCAAACTTCAGATGATTTAATCTTTTTACTATATTCAAATGAAATATTTCATTATAATTATTTTATGTCTTTAGACAGAATCTCACTTTGAAGTTTAGGCTGACCTTGAACTCATTATGTGTCCCAGCCTGGCCAAAAACTTGTGTGCTGGGGTTACAGGCATGCACCTGTATAATTTCTTATCAGTGTGAATTGAAGTTATTAAAGTAGAATTACAGTGAGCTGAGTGGATGAGTTAAATCAATGAATGTTCCAAAAAATATAAACCTATAACTGAATTCTGGACATTTAAAAAGCATTTTTAAAAACTGATGTGTGTATCAGGTAATAGGGGCATAGTGCTACCACTATGCAAATAGCAAAATCTGAAAAACTACATGCAAAATTTGTTTGTGCTCATGTTTCTAGGGAAGAGTGTATATATATAGTCATAGGTTCTCAAAGGGTTTTTATCTCCCATAGAAGTTTAATGGGCCAATTAAATTTTAACTTGACTGGATTAAGAGACTCCTAGAATGATGATTGGATCCTGGGGGGCATAGGACTCTTCAGTGAATGAACCCACTGATGCACATAACTGAATGTGCTGTTGGAGCTGGGTCTGTGGGCAAGCCTTTGGTGGACACCACCGTATCTTTCAGTGATGCCATTTCCTTGCTTTCTGCTTCCTGGACACTGGGGTAAATGAATAGCTTTGGTCTGTCACTCCTTTCTACCGTGATGTTTCTGTCTTAGAACCAGCTAACTGTGGACTGAAATCTCTGAAACTTTTTAAGTTACAGGTATCAGGTTTTGTTTGTGCTTTTGTTTTTTCCTCCCAGCATTGAGAAAGCTGAAAACTGTACAGTTAGGAGCCACTGAATAGAAAGGACTGACCTGATACTTAGGTTCCTGAAACTTTGTTATTTGAAGTTAGCCAGTAAATTCCCTTTGAAAGTTTTCCTGTCCTGCCACGTGTGGCGGTGCACCCCTGTAATCTTAGCACTCGGGAGGCTGAGGCAGGAAGATTCTTGTGAGCTCAAGGCCAGCCTGGGCTACATAGTGAGTTCGAGGTCAACCTGAAGACCCTGTCTCCCTCTACCCACAAAAGCATGGTTTCTCCATTTTCTGATCTTTAAAAGAAAGAGGTATAGCCAGAGGTGGTGGCATATACCTATAAGACCAACAGTGGGAGACTGAGGCAGGAGGAGCACAAGACCTGGATGATTCAGAAAACACACACACACAAAATAAGTTTATATGAGAAGTATATATATACAAAGAATTGAGTTTGTGTTGTATGGTTAAACTCTAAGGTACCTTTTGGTTAAGGTGGTATGGAGGTGCCTTATCAAAACAGAGCAAAAATGATATGGTTGAAATGAAGTAGGGTACTAGTGCTGCTGGAAAAGAATGTCAAATACAGAATTCTTTGAGTTTAGCAGGGGCTTCCAGACAGTTTGTAGCACAGAAAACAGCACTATCTGCACACAATTTACCCAGCCTGCACACTTTGGCTCACTGCCCTGCTCACTGGAGTCAGAGAGGTCACATCCTGGCTAGCCAGTCTCCACAGGAACCTTCAGGGAAGCTGCCATCCTGGTCATCTCCATGTCGCAGATTCCGTGTTGTACTTTCCTGCAGGAAAACCTAGTTTATTGTTTGGGGAACCTGGTATATGTTTATATTTTATCTGTTTTTTGCAATCCGAGCTTCTCATATTCCACTGAACTGTATGTACCCTCAGCCATAGAAATTCTTAAGAGCATGAGAAATATAAAACAATTCATTGCCAAAGGGGTCTTGTCTTCACACTCTTAGCAGCTTAAAAACAACCTTTTTAGTTTCTAAATTGAGCACAGTCACTGCCTGGCTTTTACCATAGCCAATTGGAACTCTTTGCCTGGCTCCTTACTCGTGAAGGGATCATAGCAGCTTCGCAGACAGAGGAAGAGATACAACCAGTTCATTGCTTGAAGGTTCAAGTAGATGCCAATATAACAGCGCTCTAGTCAAATTGAAAGCACCTTGATATTTTAAATTATTATATTACCTACATCTTTTTTTTCCCCCCTTTTCTTTTTTGGTACTGGGAATCAAACTCAGGACCTCACACTTGCCAGGCAAGCACTATGCTACTGAACTAAATCCCCAACCCTATGCTACATCTTATTAGATAGTATACTCACATTTTCCCAGTGTGAGATGATAGTACTCAAAGCAGATAGAAGTGGCTTCTCTCTTTGTAAAAAGCAAAATATTTGCCAAAATATCCTTAATTTTTTCTATGAACATTTTCTGACTTTTATGTATATAACTTTCTTTCTCTCCCTGTTTTTCTTTTTTCTCCTTTCCCTCCCTTCCCTTCCCTTCCCTTCTTCTCCGCTCACCGCTCACTTCTTCTCCCTACCCCTCCCTTTTGACAGGATCTCTCTGTAGCCTAGGCTGTCTTCAAACTCGTGGCCATCCTACCACCTCAATCTTCCAAGTGCTGGGATCACAGGCATGCAGTGCTGTGCCAGGCTAACTACCCTATATTTTAAGTCAGTTTGGTACATACCTCTTTTTAAAATGATTCTGAAAATTCCTTTAATCTTTGTTTATTAGTAAGAAAATTGCTTGTCAAGCATAAATAGATTTTATCTAGATCAACAGTGGAGCTTAAGAATGACCATCTAACAAATAGCAGTTTCTTGTATGCAAAGCACGTTTAGGCACTAATGAAAATCTAGTTATAAGATTCCCATTCTAGTCAAGAAAAAAAATGTAAGTTGCCATCATGCTGTCTTAAATATTTTCTGTAGAGAACCTGTTTTTAAATTTTACGTATTTAGGGGCTGGGGATTTAGCTCAGCGGCATAAGCACCTGCTTTGCAAGCAGGCAGTCGTGAGTTCGATCTCTGGTACTGATAAAAACAATAAAGACCAAAAAAAAAAAATGTATGTATTTAGTTATGGTGGCACACACTCATGGTTAGAGCTGCTCATGAGCTGGGGTGGCAATATTGCTTGAGTCCAGGAGTGTTAAGAGCAACCTGGGCAACATTGTGAGACCTCATCTCCTTAAAACTTTTTTGAATACAATACTGTTGCACATTACACTAGCTGCTTCTGTCCTACCTTTATTAGGTAGACTGATTTTGTGTGTGTGGCTTCTAACTCATGAACTCAGTTTTGAACTGTGTATCTGTATGAACCGCATAATCTTAATGGTATGAGCAAAAGGTGAGACTTGTCCACTTCAGTTTATCCCACTGATTACTGAAGCTTTCACCTAACTAGCCAGGATGTACTGTGTTTAGAATAAAACAACTTGTCCTATATGAACTTTAATATATTTATCTTCTTTGGAATTTGACAAAATAGAATGTCCATATAGATAATCTAACACCTAAAGCTTCAGTGAAGGGCTTTCTGGAAGCTCATCAGCGTTCAGACCATCCTTGTTTCATATTCACAAGCTTTTGTGTTTGGGCCTTGGACTAGGCCCCAGACGTTCCACAGCTATCTGGAAGACATCATCAACTACCGCTGGGAGTTGGAAGAAGGGAAGCCCAATCCTCTGAGGGATGCCAGTTTCCAGGACCTGCCCCTGCGTACCCGGGTGGAGATCCTACATCGCCTGTGTGACTACCGGCTGGATGCAGATGATGTCTTCGATCTTCTCAAGGTGTTTCACAGTGACCCTTTATCTAGAGCAGTAGAAAGCCAGCAGCCAGGAATATGGTCAGAATGGCAAATTCGGAGATATTGAGACAGGCCAAAAAGATACTGGGTGACCAGTCTTTGGGTTCGTAATTGACAGTGACACTTAATATAACCATGACCAGGGAGCCAAAGGAATACAAGACATACAATGCCAGGCATGGTGGCGCATGCCTGTAATCCCAGCACTCAGAAGGCTGAGGCAAGAGGATTGCTGACAGTTCAAGTCCAGCCTGGGCTACATAGCGACTTCAAAGCAAGTCTGAACTTGACAGTGACACTCTGTCTCAAAAAAATATACATCCATAGCAGTGTGTTATTTCAGGTTAACTTCTGGTTAGTTTTGTGTATCTTTACACACACTCTGTCCCAACAGACAGGAGTAACAAGAAATGCATATTTGTTCTCCTTTCATCACATAAAACTACAACTAAACTACTCACTAAATTGTATTTCCCAAGGTGTAAGTTTGATTGAGCATAGTTGAAATATTTGTTGAAAACTCCCCAGATTTGAAACCATATATAATCATATCTTGGCCTTTTGCTAAGATCAAGTGTGAAATCATATATAATAAAGTTAATCTTCTGTACACATTTCATAAAACATGTTAATCAAAGATATGAAAATCCCTTTCTGTCCCTCTCATTCTAATATTTGTTTTAGAAGCATATTGCAGAAAGGGGGTATGGATTTGTGCTTTCATGAATAGGCAGGTCAGATTCTAATCAAGTTCAGTCATAAGTGGTTCAATGTGTTATGACTTTTCAGTCCAGCTTCACACATAAATGCATTGTAAAACATCATTGTATAATACAGTCCTTGCTAAAGACTATTAAAAGTGGGCCAGCCAATACAGGGCAGGCCATGGAGTAAATTGCAAGCTGTATTGCTGGATTTCTGCAGGAATGAGAAGTTGCTGTGAGTTACAATAGAGTAAAATAGAGGGCCACACATGACAAAGCCTTCCCAACATCTTATTCTACTTGGTTGTAATTGTCCTCTGTCATGTGAATACACATAAAATAACTCTATACCAAATATGTAAAATAGGACTGGGGATTTAGCTCAGCGGCATAAGTGCCTGCCTTGCAAGCATGCGGTCATGAGTTCGATCCCCAATACCAAAAAAAAAAAAATTCCAAATATGTAAAATGTACATCAGAATTCCTTTTGGTTTCTTTTTTATGGTGAAATGGAAACAGCAGTGGAGGAGGGAACATTTGAAATACCTATCTTGTTCTTCAAAGAAGATAGCCCTTCCCATCCTGTCTGTTTAACATATGATTGAAAATTTCACACTTTTGGGGCATTTTGACCATCTACCAGTTCAATTATTTAAATACAGGATGACCAAAAGTTGCTGCTGCTTGTTAATTTTTATAAGATAATGTAGATTTGGTTCTTGTCCAGCTCCGCTGGCAATCAGAATTGTGGGAAGAATTAAGTTCATGAACCGATGCCACTTTATAACAGGAAATATAAAAACAACAACTTAATCACATTTATTCAATACAAGAATCAACCGGTTGAAAAAAAATTAAATTAAATTTTAAAAAAATCAACCAGTTGAAATGACACCTGCATGAATAGCACTCAGGATAGTCAGTACATACGGCACTATCCAGTGATTCTCGAGGTAAACTTGTTAAGTGGTTAAAATACTAGATGTGTCTGAAGATAAATTTTAAATCAACCTTTTACTTTTTTCATGTTTGATTTTATTTCTTATTTCCTAATTCCCTTTTCCATGCTATACCTAGGGTCTGGATGCAGACAGTCTCCGCGTGGAACCTCTGGGTGAAGACAATTCTGGGGCCCTCTACTGGTATTTCTATGGCACACGAATGTACAAAGAGGACCCTGTACAAGGAAGGTCCAATGGAGAACTTTCTTTGAGCAGGTAGTCTGTGATATCAAGATTAATTGCTATTATATAAAATATCATTAAAATTAAATGAATTAAAGTATTGTAGCACAATACATATTTTTCTTAGTGAGGGAATTAACTGTGCTGACATGCCTGCAAAGAAACAGTAAGTAATTGACAGCATTTTGTATAAAAATATAAAGGAATTACTCTGCCTAGTCTCTGCTATAAGGTCATGGCGAAAAATAAAAGAGTCTTTCTTTCTTTCTTTTTTTTTTTTTAATGAAATGTGAAGAGATTCCTGAAGCATACTGCTACCTTACTCCTGACTTTTATGCAACTTTCCAGCAGCACAATCATTTGACTAGGTAGCAATTTTTATTTCATAGGAGATCCTTTGTTCTTTTTCCTGCTAGAATTGATAATCTGCTTTATGAACCTTAGGATCCACTAGTTTAAAGCCAGAAAACCTTAAATGATGCCAGAAATGTAAGCCTTGCTAAGTATTCCCTAAGTGAGGAACAGGCTTTTTGTCCTAGCATCCTAAAGTGATGCTTACTTTGCAGTATTTTTAGACTTCTTTAGTGCCAGGAGCAGCCTCACTATTAGTGTTAGGTCTTACTTTTTATTTTTATTTTTTTACTCATACTTTAATACTATAAAATGTCAATTTTCCTTGTTGTACATTACATTCCTTATTTATGTTACATTCCTTATTTATTACATTTCCTTATTTACTCTGCTCTTTTTGTGTGCCTCCTACATTTAAGCCTCTTGGGTAACTTCATGGCCAAAAGCAATGTGATTACTAATATAAAAGTCATCTCTAACACATTGATCCTCTGTAAGAATAGTTAAGTTAAATAATACTATTTCGTAGGGAAAGTGAAGGGCAAAAGAATGTCTCAAATGTTCCTGGAAAAACAGGAAAAAGAAGAGGAAGACCCCCAAAACGGAAGAAACTACAGGAGGAGATGATAGCAAGGTAAAAAAAAAAAAAACCTTGTTAATCTATGGTCCTCAGGTCCTTGTGCTGATAATTTACTGTTACAGTTTCACTGTTCCTTCTTTTGTGGTTTTTCCTTGTGGCATGGGAAGGACATTTGTATGTTTCTTAAGTTGTGGGTTCATGAGTTAGAGTCATTGCAAAATTATCTTGTGTTCGTTAAGGAGCTAAAATGGATTAATTGCAGAATGTCTGACAAATTGTCTACCTTTCCTAAACTGTTCTCTTATTGGTGACAGTTATATGCTTAATGACAATTAAAGTGACTAAGACAGTGGGCAGCATTTTAACAAAATGAAAACCATGCTTGACCCATAGTAAATGTTTAATAAACATTTATTATACTTCATATTTTAAAATTTGTTAGACCTCACATATTTTTACAAGAAAATGGAACAAGTAATCCGTTTATGTTGAAGATTGAATTTTTTTTTAGTTTTTGCATGAAGTTCATATATGATACCTAGAAAAATTTAAAGAACAAGAATTTGAAGAAGTGAGCATGGTGGCTTACGCCATCCCAGCACGCGGGAGGCTGAGGCAGGAGGATCACTGTGAGTTCGAGACCAGCCTGGGCTACAAAGTGAGCTCAAGACCTGCCCAAACTGCACAGAGAGACCCTGTCTCGAAAAGATCAAAAAAAAAAAGAATTTGAAGGAAACCATTTCATTTCATTCTGTTGTTATGGGCATTCCAAAAAGGGTTAATTTCATGGTTAAGAGTTGACTAAACAGCTTTTAGTAGAACTATGTCATACCGTATATGAGTTTAGGTGTTTATTCTTTCCCAAAGGAAAATTTTGTCACTAGTCATGACCAAGCATGCTTTTTGTGTTGAATGAAATTACCTAAGGGAAAGGTAACATTTTAGTTTTATATTTAGTTTTGGCAAAGCATTGTTTTGCATTGGGGGAAATTTTCTTTAACATATCATAAACTTTTAGGAGAGTCCATCATTGAATCTTGATTATTACAATCTGACCTATACTGTACAAATCCTTTTTTATTTAAGGATCAAATCTTTCATTACAAACCTATGATAGTAAAGCCATGTTCTTAAATTTTTATTTTGTTTATTTTTTTCTTTTCCCTTTTGGTACCTGGAATTGAACTCAGGATGTGCACTTGCCCAGCAGAAACTTATGCCACTGAGCTATATCCACAGCCTCCTTTTCTATTTAGAAAACGGTTTCATACCTACTCCATTTCTCTGTATCAACAATGGCGTATCTTGGTGTAGAATATTGAATCACTTTACCAAGCACAAACAGACTTGTGCTACCCTCTGCTGGTGGTTTAGAGCTGGGTCTTAATACCTTAGAGCTGGGTCCGTGGAACAGTAATATTGAAATATTAGTAAATTAAATGAAATCTATTTCAAATTAAGTTTTAATTATAAAATATTAAGTACACTATAGACATTGCAAGGGCTCAGTGGCCATCCATAACTTAGGCCTTACTGATCAAATAGCTGCTGATAAAGAACATGTCATTTCAGAGTTGCATCAAATACTGTACTACATTAAATGTTTGGAAATAAGTCCACAGAGTGTTCCCTTGTTATTTTAGGGCTACAATTAACAAAGACATTATTACTTAACAGTGTTGTCCATTTTATAATTTATTTATTTTTGATTTTGTGTGACAGGGTCTTGCTATGTAGTTCAGACTGACCTTGAACTCATAGCAATTCTCCTGCCTTAGCCTCCCAAGCGCTGGGATCACAGGCATGCACCACCACTCACAGCCCTATGAATTTTTCAATAGTCCCAATTATAGCAAAGTTAACTAAATTTATGAAATCACATTGTCAGTGGCAGCCATAGAACAGAGGCGTTCCAATTTCAGGGCCCATATTTGTGCCCTCTCCTTTAAATAAAGCATGATCTCCACATATGTGCCTGTATAAGAAGGGGGCTTTGAACTCCTTGGCTCTTTTTTGTTGGTATTGAGTTATCAACATGTAGCTCATCTGTTCACTTTCCTAAAAGTTTTAAGAGTTACTGTTTTCCTATGCATTAATGTTGCCATAACACGGGCATCCAAATGTCATTATTACTCTACGGTAACAAAACTACATACATCCAAGTACTAATATATTTCATAAAATCTTTTCCTAGTTCGCCCTTTTTAACAGTCACCCTTGTCTCTGTTACATTTATTGGATTCACATTTGGGGGAAAGCACAAAGCAGTTTTGGATATGTCTTTGTTTTAATTGGTGCCTCCTTTCCCTATGTTTCAGTGAGAAGCAGGAAGAAAGCTCCCTGGCATCTGAGCCACAGAAAAGAAATGGTAATGATATTTTTTGGCATTTAGAAAGGATTAAGTCAACCTAATTCATTTATATTAAGACAATGACTGTCTTTTTCCAGAATCATACGAGGTTCTTAGAATCATCATAATAGCCATCTAACTAGCCTTTCTACCCTTCTCCACTTTGCCATTCTTTTCTATATACCTTATCTAGTGTAGTCTCTCCCTCAGATGGAGTTTAAGATTGAGTTTTCCAGGTATGCTGGCACATGCCTTTATTTTCCTAGCACTCTGGGAGGTTGAGGCAGAAGAATCAAAAGTTCAAGCCTAGCCTAGGCAGTTTAGCAACTTACCAAGATTCTGTCTCAAAATAAAGACAGCAAGGCATGGTGGCACATGCTTGTAATCCCAGCACTTGGGAGACTGAGATAGGAGGATCAATGCAAGTTCAAGGCCAGCCTGAACTACATAGCAAGACCCTTTCTCAAAAGAAAATAATAAAATTTAAAAAGGTTAGAGTGTAGCTCAGTATGAACCTCCTGAGTTCAGTCTCTAGTTATGAGTAGAGAGAGCCTTACCTAGGTCTGCTCTCAAGTGTCCCGTTGTTGGCACAGTGAAATACCCAAACATGAATGAGCAACTTCTCAAAGAGTAGTTGTTGTTGTTGTTGTTGTTGTTGTTTTAATGATATATTGTTTCTTACCTAGATTTTACTTGTGTAAATAGATTTAGTTTGGGGAAGGGAATCAATGTACAGAATCATGGTATAAATAAGACATAAATTTCTGCAAAGACTCAAACTCAAGTATTTCTCTAGAAAAAGATATAAATACATTTAAGCATTTCTAGGATATTAAAATCTTACAGTCACAGTAATTATTATATTGCATGAGGCATTTTTCAGTTGTAAACAGTGATAATAGGAAAATTGAAAGTGTACAGTATCAAACTTTAAAAAGTAATTAATGTATCTCAACAGGCATAATAGTGCATGCCTATAATCCCTGTACTTGGGAGTCTCAGGGATCTCCATGAGTTTGAGGATACCTGGGACTACGTAGCAGGATCCTGTTTCAAAAACAAAGTAATACATGTTTTTCTGATTCGCTTGTTTTAGTCATGATCCAGGGCAGAGAAAATTTTGAGAGAATATTGTAGTAGGATTTGTTGTAGTGAATGTGTCTCTTTTGTAGGGTCCCAAGGGCCAGGCCAAGGCACTTGGTGGCTGCTTTGCCAAACTGAAGAAGAGTGGCGACAGGTCACTGAGAGTTTTCGAGAGAGGACATCACTTCGAGAAAGGCAGCTCTATAAGCTCCTCAGTGAAGATTTTCTCCCTGAGATCTGCAACATGATCGCCCAGAAGGTATGCAGACGTGGGTAGTTAGGTCCCCAGGACAGTAGTGATTAGGACTTACGAATATATTCCATTGTCTTGGAAGTGGTACAGGCCGTTGTCCTTTCTAAACTGGAGTGTTTACATGGATCTCACTGTGGGTTTTACAGTGTTCTCTCTACCCCCATGAAGTCCTCTGTGTCTACCAGACAGTGCTTCTAATGGCTTTTCACAGCCTGGAACCAACTTGCCTATAATGTTTCCCAGGAGGCACATGCTGAGCTTACCAGGTGTTCACCTGTCACCCTTTAAGGTCCTGTATATAACACTTGCCCAGTTTTTTGTTTTGTTTTGCTTTGCTTTTAAACAAAAACCATTCTTACGGATCTATGTCTCCTGCTAAGTAGCAAGTTTTCATTTAATGATGCCCTGCTTTTCTATGACATGTTCAAGTCTGCCCTTGCTTTCTTCTTACCTTTCCACTACTACTCTTTAAAAGCCATGCTTCAGGTTTACTATTTCCATGAACTGTCCATTTCACCTAGCCTCAAGATTTTTTTTTTTCCAAGTTTGTGATATCCAATAGCCTCAAGGTTTTCTTCCTAACATGTCTCCTCAGGCTTTATGTCATTGTAAGTTTAAGCTCCTTCAGTTGGGGTACTATGTGTTACTCTTCTCTATAACCCCATAGCACTTAATCTGTTCTACCAATGAGTATAATGTGTCCCATACTCTAATCACCTTCCAAAAGCCTTGCCTCTGAGTGCATGAAACTTTGGAAGGACATCTTGGTGTGAGCCATAACAACAGATATACTTAACCACACCAAGACGTAAAACTTTAGGTTTTCATAAAAATGTTCGAGAATAGATTCCTTGTGAGAGAAAAAGAAATTAGACCTTAAATGTAATTTTAATAACCATGAAATTAGAAACCAGGAAAAGGAATATTTGGTATTTTGAAAGATACACAGTGCTCTCACTATGAAAACTTTAGTAAAATGAATGTTGACCAGGAAAAAAGAGAGAATCTGAATTGTAATGTAAACATCTCAGCAAGTCAATAATGAGACAAGTGCTTTTTAACAAGAGGATACCATTAAAACCCCCAGAATTGGCTTTGAATGAGGTTGGAGTAGAGTACTTGTCTGTCAAGGCCTATATTCCATCTATCGCCCCGCAAAGCAAGAGTCATTGGATGTACTCACAAGGTGAAATTTTCTCAACCTTCAAAGAATAGATAACTTGCCAGTGGAGCACAGTGGCACATCCCTGTTACTCCAGCACTCTAAAAGCTGAGGCTGGGGGATTTGGGCAATATAGTGACTTAAAAAATGTCTCAACATAAAACAATTTTAAATTCCCCCTGATCTGTGACTCAATGTGGTGGCTTCAGGTTCAATCCCTAATTACTACCCTTCCCGTAAAAGAGTAGATAATTTTTAAATATTTCAAAAATGAAGTGTTCGTGATGTAGCCCAGTGGTAGAACACTGACATAGAATATAGGAAAGCCTGGTTTTATCCCAGCAAAATCAAAAACAAAATAGACAAAAATGAAGGGGGAGAAAGTTTGATGGTACCCTGTTCATTTAGACATAAGTATCTTTCATCTCATTCCTGATAAGATTGAATACATTGTTGCTATTCAGTAATATATATGTCAAGTTATATTAACAAGTGAAAGCTGCTTTTACCAAAAGAATAATCTATCATAGCGAGGTTTAGTGGCACATCTGTATTCCCAGCACTTGGGAGGGTGAGGCAACAGGATCGCTGTGAGTTCAAGGCCAGCCTGAAGTATGTAGCAAGACCTTATGTGAGAGAGAGAGAGAGAGAAATGACCCATTCAAGGTAAACCCTGAGATATGATAACATAATCTTAGAAGTCTTGTCTATTTTAGTGTAACAAAAAAGCATTTTAGCTGGGGTGTATGGTGATGCATGCCTATAATCCCAGCATTTGGAAGGCTGAGGCGGAAGGATTGCTGTGAGTTCAAGGCCCTGTCTCAAACAAAACAAAAAAAACAGCATTTTAAGATGCAGAATTCTAGGGATATAAATATAATTAAAAAGTCTGTTACTAAAGTTTCATAATAGTGCTCCATAACTAGACTGCTTCATCAGAATCATAATGGTGGCTCACTGAAAACTCAGATTCCCATCACTACACCATTCTGTGCCCTCATCAGAATTTTTTGAGGTAGTGCCTTGTATACTGCATTTGTGGAACCTTTCCAGATGATTCTTTGGTATGCTTTTTTTTGATACCAGGGATCGAACTCAACAACTGCGTACTTGCAAGGCAGGCACTTTATGCTGCTGAGCTAAATCCCCAGCCCTTCAGTATGCTTTTTTAAAAGTGTTTTTTTAAAAAAGTGTTAAAGCCTGTTTGTTCCTGAAAAGAAAAACTTAAGTATAAACCTCAGTGCTCACTCACCTGGTACTTTGAGAATCACTCTTAAATCAGATCTCTGCATAATAAAATTTTTGTTTCCAAAAATAGTGAAAAACTATAAAAGTTATAAGATATAGGAATAGTGAATGACTGGCCCCTACCGTGTATTATCACATAAGTCAACATGGTGGAAGTATTCTCAGAAGGCCTTTAATAACACCAGCCAGCACAAATGATTTGCTCAAAGCTGTCAAATTCTTGACGCTGTCATTGCTGTGTTTAGCATTCAGCAGCTAAGTTGAATGTTCAACAATTATGATATTCTACATCTCTAATTGTGCTTGTTCATAACTTTATTATGAAACTGATAAAATGTGGCAATAAAAGTTTTATTGTACTTGGAGTGTAGCTTACTTAGCATGTGCAAAACCCTAGATTGTCCCCAGCACCACAAAGGAAAACAAAAGAAGCAATTATTAAAAAATGATTTTCTTCTGAAAGGTATCAGAATAAAACAGTAACAGTTTGGGGAGGAATCATTAAAATCTTAAGGATTATGCTTTTGGTCTAAGTGTGCTGAAGGTCTGTCTTTCACTTTAAAAAGTAAAACAAAGACCAAATGCAGGTTTAAGAGCATGTGTGAACAAATCACAGGAAACCCTTGTCGATGGGGTCCTGGATTGTGTGATTGGTGAATGATAGTAATTTATATACTGAGGTAAAGTGCTTGAAGTGTGTAGTTTTTTAATTAATCCCCTGCTTCATCTGTGTTAACTTGCCCCATCCATTCTAGCTGAATCAAGCCAGAATGGTTTTATTTTGGCAGAGAAAACAGCCTGTGGTTCACATGCGAATATCAAAAGATAGTCCAGTAGAAAGAAGCATGATGCCCAGAAATAGACACCACTGCATCATGATACATTGTGGAAAGGCAGCGCACGCCTGGGCAATGTAGCACAGGTTTAATGTGTCTCATGGAGGAGTTAGGAAACCATCCTCAGAATAACTTTGAACTGTGGTATTGCCCTGTTCTGGCTATTCCTTGGATAGGTTATTCATGTCTCTGAATTTCAATTTCAGTTTTCATAGTAGGAAAATGAAATTCTGTCTCTTCTCAGAAGCTTTTAAAAAACTCAGCACATACATGCAGCAGTCAGTAGACACTCCATTCCCTTCCACTGTTTATGATGGTAAATAATTGATGCCAACTCAGTAGAAAAGTAAATCCACATTTCTTAACAAAGTAAATACAAGTGGATAGATTTGATAAATCTTTGCAGATATAACATTTAACTCTTTAAGAGGATCAAAAGGTAAGGTCTGCTGGGGGTGGTGCACGCCTATGATCCCAGTACTTGAGAGACTAAAGCAGGAGAATCACTTCTGGGGCCAGATTGGGCTTCATATTAAGGGCCTTCCCCTGCCACTCAAAAAAAGTAAGCTTTGCTTTTCCCATAAAAATTACAACTTTTTAAATCAAAAGGCATATAAACATGACAATATGTAATTTATCAACGTGATTTCTTAGTGTTTATTTTTTTTTAATTCTGTATTCTGCCCTTTTTTTCTATTTTGCTTTTTTTCTCTTTAAATAAAATTTTTTAAAAAGACATATAAACTACCAAAAATGTTTGTTTGTGATAAAGTGATAATGTAGACAATAAGTAATATTCAGACTGCTAATAAACATTAGACCCTGAGATTTAAATATAGATACTCCATTACGCTCTGTATCAAGAATGGCATCTTTTTCCTTAGTAACTTTTACGTGTGACAAAGTTGGAGTGAAATTGGTATTGAGTTCCATTGCTATTAAACTGATAGGAGTCCATTGAAAGACAGTTCCATGTAAGTTATATATCTAAAGTTGAAGAGGTCCTCCTGTTAGAATTTGAAACTTATAAAGTGTATCTCACGAGTATGTTGAAACTGCTAGGGTAGCTTTGGGGAAAAGTACTTAAAGATCATGACCCTGTTTGATACTTGTTTTTTTTTTTTTTTTTTTTAATTTTATTTAAGGAGGAAAAAAAAAGCAGAGAAAGGGTACAAGTTATACAGGTTTACAGAAAAAAATAAACAGTAGGAAATCACTAGTTAATGGATTACATATTGTCATCTTAAAAATAATTATTCAAGTCACAAAATTAAAGCTTGTAAAGTGGACATTCCAACAGTGAGACTGCAGACAGTTCTATTCAATGATCCAACAAAACTCAGTGATACCATTATCTATCTTATACACTTAAATATACATGCAGTTATATCGTTTAGAGCACTTTCTTTTCCTCTCTTTTGTACAATGACAATTACACATTTTGGGTTTTGTTGCTCCCACAGTTCTTATTACTTTTTTGGAAGGGAGTAGAACCAAATGTGACATAACAGAACAGAGTCAATCAAATCAAAAGGGTGGACATAATAGATAATGTAAAAGCATAATACAAGGTGATCAACAATGGTTACCATAATGCCTCCCGCTATCTCTAATAGAATTGCCTATATCATCAGTTATAATAAAATTGAACAAAACAGTAAAGAATAAAACCGACAGAACCAAAACATTGGAGACATTATAGGTCTTCAAAAGTAGATAATAGTCAACGAGAATGGGTGTCATAATGAATCTCACTATCTTCACAGCTGTTGCCTAAACTTTCGAACCTGGCACTGTCAAGCAAAACAGAATAGGGGGACATCAGTCAAAAACAAGATGGTGAGAGTAATACAGGGCTTTAAATCAAGATAATGGAAAGTCAAAGTGGGTTACTATAATATATAATATATAATATATATATAATTATAATATATAATATACTATAATATATAATATAATATATCCTGCTATTTTCTATTTATTTTTCCCTTAATTAAAAGGATAAAAATAAAAAAGTAAATAATGGAGATTGAGATGAAAGAGGGCATAACAGCAAAACAGCGCAGATCAAAACATAACCATTTAAGCAGAATAGTGTTTCACCACAAGATAATCCTGACATAAAAGTAGTTACCATATTGTCTCTTTCCTTGAAATCTTTGAGTATAACTTCATATACTGTAGCATCAAATATATCAAAACAATGTAAAACCATTTATGAGAATGACAGCATTACAGGGTATTTAGAATCAACTAACAGAAAATGAACAATGGTTTCTGTATAATCTCCTTGTCTTTAAAAGTTTTTGCTTATACTATCATACATAATAAAATCCAATAAGATACAACCTGTTTAGATCAATGGAGACAGAAGAACAAAAGCTTGATAAGACTTCAAAACAAGATGATACTAACAGTATTACCTATGAAGACGTCATTTTCTCCAAAATAGCTGTTCCTATCATCCAATCTTCTCTGCCTCATTTCTGTTGAGCTCTTTTTCTGTCATTAGTTGTCAGTTTGTCTTCTTCATTTTGTTTTCTGCTCCATTCATTGTGGCTTCTCTGCCACTATTTCTGGATTCTTTGTATTTTTCTTTTTTAGAATATCCTGCAGTATTCTCTGTAGAGTTGAATTGGTGGTTGCATATTCCCCTAGTTCCTCTTTATCCTGGAAGCACCTTGTTTTTCCATCAATTTCCAGGGATAGTTGTGCAGGATATATCAATCTTGGCTGGAGATTATTATCTTTCAAAGCTTGAATTATTTCCCCCCACGCTCTTCATGATTTGAAGGTTTGTGCAGAGAAATCTGCTCTAATTCTGATGGGTGTTCCCTTGTAAGTGGTCTGTTTCTTGTCTCTGACAGCTTTTAATATTCTGTTCTTGTATTGAATTTCTGGAATTTTTATTATATGCCTGGGTGTTGCTCTGTTTGGGTTGTAGGTGGCTGGGGTCCTGTATGCTTCATACAACTGAGTATCTTCACCTTTTGCTAAATTAGGAAAATTCTCCTGGATTATTTCTGTGAGTAGCTTTTGTAGTTCATTTGTTTGTATCCCTACTTCTTCTTTTATGTTCTTAAGTTATGGATCCTCTTATCATTTTCTAGTCTTTGTATTGTTGTTGTTTGTTTCTTTGTTACTTTTAAGAAGTTTTTCATTTCATTCTCCCATATTACAAATCTGCCCTCCAGTTCAGATAGTCTGTCCTTAGTTTCTTTCAAGCTGTTATGCCAGTTTTCGATAGAGTTTTTAGTTTCCTGGTAGTCTCTTTGAACCTGCTTCACGTATTCTATGCTTTCTCTATTTTCTCCATCAAACAATTCTCCCCTTTTTTTCTGTTCTTCCATTCTACCATCTGTTTTTTCTTGGGTGGTGCTTAGCATTTCTCTAACTATTCTGCTTATTTCTAGCTTCAGGTCATTAATAACTTCATTCCTGAACTGATCTATGAGGCTCTCTAGATGGCACTTTATGTCTATTGGTGCGGTGACCGCTATTGCCTGTTTCTCAGGATTGGGGGCCGAAGGGCCTTTCTTGTTGCTCCCTCTTCCCATATTCTTTGTTCCTTATATATGCAAGCGTATATAGGAGGCCCAGTTTCCCTCCCTGTCAGCCACAGCCTGATCGAATTGCACCGGCTAGGTGTTCCCGCCCACCGCAGCAACCAGGAAGTTGCAGACCAGGCAGCCTACGCGGGGCCCGCCCCTGCAGGCCACCCTCAGGCTCTGGGATCTGGGTTGTGCTAGCCTACTGGGTCTCAGCCAGCAGCGTCACGTAGGCTAGGCACTTCTCACCAATCCTGCTTGAGAGGGGGATACGTGGCTGAAGTCGCTGCAGCGCCCCGCTCCCGCAAGTCTGCCCAGTCCCAGAATGTCCTCCGCTGGAGTCTCCTAAACTGTGGAAGAGTGTCAGTTTCTTTCACTCACTTCACTGCAAGTCAATGCACAGCTCCCCGCCCGTACTGTTTTCAACTCTGTTCGCCGATTCCCGTTCTCAGAGCTTCTGCGCGTCTCTCTCCCTGCCAAGCCGATGTAGACGCAGCTGCTGCGTGGCGGGAAACCCAAATCGCGGCTTCCAATGGCTCGGGCTCCAGCTTCCACACTGAGGCTTTTCTGTTCCTGTTATAGCACCAGGATTGCATTCCAAGTTGGTTTCTCTCAGCCCAGTTCGTTCTTGGGTCACCGGGGCATATCTCCTCCTGCTTATGATTCCTTACTCAGCACCATTCCTGAATTCTAAGCTGAGTCTTTCAGAGAGCCTCCATAGCTGCTGCTATCTGTCCGCCATGTTCTCCCAGAAGTCCCTGTTTGATACTTGTAATTGCCTTTGCACTGGCTTGCTTATTAGTCTCTGCTTTGGAAACCAAAAAGCTCTCTAGAGATACTGAGCCATTATAGCCACCAACATTGCTTTGTAGTAAGTTTAAGCTGTGTAGACCTTATTGTCATTGTCTTTCTTACATCCCTTGATTTCCTGTCAAGAATTCTTGACAGAAGTCAAGAAGTCTCAAGACTTTGAATAAAGTATCTTACATCCTTTGATTTCCTGTCAAGAATTCTTGACAGAAGTCAAGAAGTCTCAAGACTTTGAATAAAGTATTATCAGAACTGAACGTGGAAAATGTTGAATTTTAAAGCGTGGGCCACAGAAGCTACATTCTCTGATCCAAACTCCTTTGCCCACACCTTTTAACAGTAGATTATGAGGTGAACTATAGGGTTCATACATAGCACAGAAATTCCAAACACGTGCTGATAAACCTTGGCCTTTGAAATGATTGACTAGAATTGGGCTGTTGTCAGAAACGCCTTCAGGCTCTTTCAATTCTGCTGTTTCTTCAGGCTGTAATCTTTTCAGGTGAGCTCTCTTATTCTGAGTCACTGGTTCTTTTCTCCACTTCTCTCATTCATTTTGGGCCCACCCTGGCAGCTGCCCTCACTTCTCACTACTGCCACTGAACTGCCTTTTAAGGGCCTGTCTGCCCACAGCTGCTTCTGATACCCTTGTTCAGAGCCACTCCCTTCAGCTGAAGCTAATAAAACATTGCCTCCCTTCATCATTTAAGGGGGAAAAAATTTTTTTAAAGTTTAAACGTGGGAGTTTCTTGGCAAGATACAGTCAAAGCAGACACTTGGTTGTCTGTGTTGTTTTGTTGTTATAAGAGAATATACCTGCTTAGTGCCTTTCATAGCTGAATAGTTATTTTCCCTAATCATCCTTGGAAGGCTACTTTGAACCCTCCATCAAGGTAAAACAATTACCTGAGTGCCTTAATGGTCATTTTTCTATTGGGAGAGGCAGCAGCAACAGCAAAAGCAGTAGCAGTAGCTGAGAACACCCTAATCTATCTTTTCCTTTCTTTTCCTCACTTTTAACTATAGGGAAAACGTCCACAACGTACAAAGGCAGAGTTGCAGCCTAGGTGGATGTCTGACCACTTGTCCGTCAAATCCATCAAACGAGAGGTGAGTGTGTGTGTGAGAGAAGAGCGAAAGCATTTTCATTATTTGGAAAGTGTAGTCCCATTACATTTCATGTACTTTAATTCGTTACTACACCTATGTTTTCCTTTACCTCAGCCTTTACTGAGGATTTTTATAGGGAAAATGCATTTCTATAAAAAGAATGACTTATCAAAATAATTCAGGAAGTACCATTCTTTTGAGGTCAGGGATTTAGCTCAACAGTGTAAGCACCTGTCTGGCAAGTGTGAGATCATGAGTTCAATCTCCAGCTAGCTATATATATATGTATATATATTCTTTTGAATCTTAAAATCTCTTGAGATGATGGCCATTTAAGACAGGTGAGATTATTAAATCCTACAGTAGTTATAGAAAATTCGTGTATACAAGCATAAAAGAAGTTGGAGCTATGCAAAGAGAAGGAAACTTGGACAAGCAGAGCTGTGTCTGACCTGAGGTAGTACAGGGACTGGGATTTTGATGGTGGCATTGAAGCAGGGGGTATTCCTCATTAAAGGAGTAGTATAAACAAAAGCAAAGTGTATAACATGGTAAAAAAAAAAAGTACATTTGCAGGTGGCTGTCATATAAGATGATTTGTCATATATAGTGGAAGAAAATGCTGAGAAAATCAGATTTTGGAGCTATTTCTTCAGTGGGTAAATGGAAGGAAGATTGTGTCATCAGATCCTTACTTTAGGAAGATATCTTTCTGGTCACACTTTGGTATATGATTTAGTAAGGAAAAACTGGCAAGTGTGACAGCAGTTCCTCCAGCAGGATGTAGCAGTGAAATTCCCTGGATTAGAAACATAGGGCTAGAGTGAGAGAGATGACACAGGCATTTCTGGGTAAAGTGTGCAGAGAATGATACCTGCATATATGGAAGTCAGAGCTGCAATAGACTGGGCACACATTAGAAATTTTGTTTTTGTTTTTTGTTGTCAGTTGGCTTCTAGAGTTTTTGTGGTTTTGTTTGCTTGCTTGTTTGTTTAAACAGGCTCTCACTATGTAGTGCAGGTTGGCCTTGAGTGCACTATGTAACCTAGGCCAGCCTCAAACCTATAGTGATCCTCCTACCTCAACCTCCGAGTCCTGGAATTACAGGTGTGTACCACCAGGCCTGGCCTCTAGAGCTTTAAAGTAGACAGTTTTTCAAAGATGTAGTGGTTAGCTTTCCCATCTTGACACAATACCCAACACCCACAGGTGAGAGGAGGGCTTTAATTTGGCTCACAAAAAATAAGTTTTGAAGCTGAACATAGTGGCACATGCCTATGATGCCAGGACTCGGGAGCCTGAGGCCAAAGAATCTCTGCAAGTTCAAGACCAGCCTGGGCTACTAACTGAGCTCAAGGCCAACCTGAACTGCATAGGGAGGCCCTATCTCAAAAACACACACACACACACAAAAGTTTTATTAATCACCATGTTACTTGTCTTTTGGGAAGGATGACAATGAAAGAAAACAAGTATTAAAAAAGTTAAAAAATGAAAACTTGTAGCAGACCCCTGTTTTGTTTTTAACTGGAGACACAGCGGGACATGAACAGTGGTGAGTGAGGATGGAAAGGGATACATGGCTGACACTAGTGAAATGACTGCCTAGAGGCAAAGGCGTGCATGCAGTAGTTTCTCCTGAGACTGACGGACAAGCGAGGAGCCTAAACTTGTGAACAGGAAGAAATGTTCAAAGTGGAAAGCAGGGAGGAGGAAAGAAGGAAGGGTAAAGGAAAAATGGAAACAAAGCTTTCGTAAATAAAGAGGGAGGGCAATGGGGGAAAAAGAATCAAGATACATCATACAGGTACAAATTCCTTATGATGAATGTGATCATTATAATACCTAAAATGAATCAGTAAACTTACTCTTTTTTTTTTGGTAAAAAAAGAAGAGTGTAAGTGAAGTTATACTGAGAGCAAGAAAGTGTTTAAGAATTCCCTTTCTGTCACAGGAGAGGAGAGGGAACTTCAGGTGGGAGTTCAAGGGACAATGTTGGTGGAGGCAACAACTGAGATGTAGTAGAGGCTTTTCCAAGCAGCACCTAGAAGCCAGTCATGGGTCTTTATTTTGTAATGTGGCTTGTAGTAGTTCAGTGACTTTACAATCACACTGTGAAAAGGGGACATATTTGGTACATACTCTTATTCACTGAGATTTAAAATTGGAAAGGTAGGAGTAAAAATAAGTCATAAACCCAGCTGGCAGCTAGGACTGCATGTGGCCTTGGTGGCAAATAGAGTAAAATAAGGAAGAAACCAAGAATAAGAAAGGAGAGGCAAGGCACAAGGGTCTAGAAAACAATTCTACTCAGGTTCTGTCTCTATCCTAGGAGGCTGCAGGATCAGAACAGGGAAATCCCCTGTGCTGCCTCCGACCTCAGAAGGCCTCTCTGTATTTGTCCACTGTGTTCCACTGTGAACTGGATTGAGTTAGCACTCATAGAAAGTTTTATCTTGAGACACAGTCATTTTGTAGACCATGTCTCAGACTGCCCATGAGGAGGCAGAACCTGTTTGTTATTGTTGTTTTTGTTGGTTTGCCTTATAATATTTTTATGACTCTGAATATTCATGTCAGCATGGTGGTATATTAAAAGAGATCGTGTTATTGACTAAGTGTACATACTGCCTTAAACCCTGAAAATGGAAACGCTAATAATTTATAGCTTCAGAGGTTTGAGGGATTGCTGTTGTACATCAGATTGAACCTAAACCCTTACACTGAACTGCATTTCCTACTCTTTGGTTTTTGAAACAGAGACTCTCTCTGTTGCCCAGTCTGGGCTCAAACATGCAATCCTCCTGCCTCAACCTCCCAGAATGCTGGGATTACAGGCATGTGCCACCACCACATCTTATTTAATTTGGTATATTTTACTTTGGCAGTTACCTTTCTTCATCTCTCTCATAGATATGTTATCACCACATCAGTGACTCAGCATTGAATTCTCTTTGGGATGACAGTTCTGTAGTGGCTGGCTTCTCCTATGCCCTGTCTCCTCCTCTTGCTGTAGTCGCTGATTTGGAAATGCTCCTTGGTGACTGGAATCCGGCCATAGTTTTCAGATGGTTTTCCAACTCATCTTCCCTACTTGAGTTCTTTCCATTCTATTACCTTGATAGTTCTGTTCACTGACGTGGGCCATCCTCAGTGTCTTAACTCTAAATTCAGATCACACAGTTATCAGAATAACACTGGAGGCCCTCTGCAACTGCAAGCAGAAGTTAAAATATGAAACACTTAACATCTTTCTCTTACTCTTGGCAGGGTTTGTTGGTTTGTTTGTTTTCCTTTTAATTCTGCTCTTTAATTTGAGATACAAGAACCACAATACTACAGAGATTTGGAATATCTGTTGTGGAACCAGATATCCTGGAGGAAACCTTAATAATAGTGTGAGTTTTGTGGTTTTATTTCTAAACCTGAAATCTTGCATTTGTAGCTTGGAGTATCAGGGCCTCAGAAGTATCCTAATTGACTCCTGGGGAAGACAGCAGTGAAAAGACCTTGTCTCACTGAAACCCGCATTGGGGTTGCTGTGAATGTTTTCGTCAGCACACCGTGGAGCTTGCTGTTGCTAGAGTGCCATATGCTTGCAGGGCCATAATCCCAGGCATACTCCTTAGTAGTGAGGAGGCCAGTGAGTCTCACCACCTGCCTTTGAGAGGCAGCCCTGGCATTGCTAAAACCAAAGATCTTGGCTAATAAGACTTTAAAGAATGTCAGGGGTTTTTTAGTTAGCTTCTCATTAAGATGTCTTCTTGATCCTAATAAGCCTCTTTCTTATCAAAGTATTTAAACACCAGCCCTTGGCCCATTTGCAGCTGGTCCCTTTTAAAGAAAACATTGCAGAGTGAGGCAGCGTGTGAGGCTTCCCCACAATACACTAGTTTTTGGTTTGGTTTTCACTCATTTGGTTATACCAGGCCTTCTGTAGTTACCACACTCCCTAAGTACCTTCAGGAAGTGAGTGCTGCCCTGTTACAGAGTGTTTATTAGCACCTGCTTCACCTCAAAATGGCATGGTGCTCAATTAGCACAGAAATCCTAAGACATAGACTCTCTGTACAGTACACAACACAGATTTTTTTTTTTAAGATGGGAATGGTGTAAAATAATTGTCATAACTCACATAGTATGGAAAACAAAATTACATGCTCAAAAACGTAAAGGAGATCTGAACACTCAGGAGACTGAAACAGAATGATTGTCACAAATTTAAGACCAGCCTGGGCTACAAAAGTGAGCACAACACAAGTCCAAACTGCATAGCGAGACTGTCTTTTTAAAAAAAAAAAAAAGGAATTAAGAAATGTAAGGCAGAATTGAGTTAATGTAAATCAGCCAGGCCACAGGGAATTTCATCTGACCCAACCATGCTGGGAAGGATTCTGAAGAAAGTCTCCTAGAAACAGGTGGAGTGGACCTGCAGGGGACTGAGCCACAGCTGGCAGGGTCTGCTGCCAACGCTGATGCAGGTTTCTGATCTAAACTTGAAAAGACATTCAGAGAGCTGTAAGTTTACTGCTCAGAGATGCTATAATTCAGCTTATTCCATTAGTGTAACTTGTATGCTTAGCATTTACATGGTAACATACAGGGGGAAAAAACCAATAACCAGACACACATTATATAGTTCTGTATGTAACCAACATGAATACAAACACAGAAACATTAAGCAGATAGGTGATTGCCAGACACTGGAGGAGTGAGACTGAAAATGGCTACTTAGTTAATGTCTCACAAAACAAACCCATTCTAATACAGAAATTTGTTTCTGTTCCTATGATGCCTACTATGTAACTCAGGCTGGCCTTGAACTCAGTGTGTATCCCGGACTGGCCTCAAACTCTCAGTGATCCTCCTGCCTCAGGCTTCCAAATGCTAGGATTGTAGATGTGCACCACCATGCTTGGCTTTGCATATTTTTGCTTAATGATACTTTTTTTTTTTTTTTTTTTGAGACAATTTCTGTGTAGCCCAAGTTGGCCTCAAGCTGAGAGCAATCCTGCCTCAGCCTCCCAGATGATTCATTTCTGAACCACCGATTTAAAAGTAGGAATCATCCCAGCCATGATGGCACATGCTTATAATTCCAGCACTTTGGGAGACCAAGGTAGGAAGATTGCAAATTCAAATCCCACCTGGGCAATTTAGTAAGGCCTTGTCTCAATTTTTTTTTCAAATAACAGGGTGTTGGTTACTTTCCTCTGGTTGCTGAGACAAAATACGTGATACTCAAAATTAAGGAGGGAAAAACAGTTTGTGGAGTTCCAAGGCAGGGTGGCATGGCAGAGGGGCAACAGTTCACAGCAGTGAGAACAAAAGAATCAAGGGAGCCTCTCTTTGTCTCTTATATTGTAAGCAGGCTGCCTGCCCTCAGGTGGATATAGGTAGACTCACAACGTCTCAGTGCCTTCCTCTTGCACAGGCTCAGGATGCTTACAGAATGAGTACCCTGGCCCCCAGAGTCATTTAGTTAAACTTTTAAACTTAAGTTGACACAGTGAACAATGTCCTAGAGGGCTACAATGGGATGCAGAACTGATGAATTAGTAAAGCATCTGGACCTCTAAAGTGGACACAGTTTGTCAGCCATTGCATAGGGTTGAGGGTATAGCTGAATGGTAGAGCATCCCAGGGTTTTGTCCAGAAAGGAGTAGATAGTGGGATTAGAAAAAAGGAAAAACAGGAAAAAGAGAAAAGAGGGAAAGACAAGCACTGAGATAGTAGTGGAGAGAAAATAGGGAAATTGATCAGGTGAGCTGTTATTTATTCTACGTAGGAAGAGCAGAGATAAGGAATAGACACTATCTAGCTGAAATAAATATAAGATATTTTTGAAAAATGCTTAAGATAGATACATTTAACCTGATTTACTGTATACAATTTGATTTTTTTTTTTTTGAAAAGAATACATAATACAAACGGGAGGCTGAGGCAGGAAAGTTGTTGCAAGTTCAAGACCAATCTGGGCTACAAAGTGAGTCCAAGGCCAACCTGAACTGCATACCAATACCCTATCTCAAAAAAAAAAAGAGTGTGGTACTCTATTAGTATGTACAATTTTGTGCTTTTTATTAGCATTAGTAATTATAGGATTTCATTCAGAGGAAGCCTTGTAGTTTAATGAAAAGGGGTAGAAAAGTGTTCCTCAGGAGTTGTGACCTTATTTTCCTAATTCCTCAAATTTCTCTTTATAAATTAAAATTTACAGAGCAAGGATATAGCTCAGTGGCACAGTGCCTGACTGGTGAGTATGAGGCCATGAGTTCTATCTCTGGTACCCCCCCAAAATAAAATTTATTTTTGTCTATAATGTTGTCATTTTGGTATGATTTAGATCAATATTGATTGTCTGACTGACCTAACCAATAGTCGCAGGCAGTTTTTATTAAGAAAAATTGGTAATAGCCAAGGTAGGCTGTGCTTTGGGAGGCTAATACCCAACCTAGACATTTAATGAGTAGACAATGTTTAAAACATAAAGACTGGGGATATAAATTAGTGGGAAGTCCCTATGCTCATTTTCCAGTAATACTGAGAAATGAAACAAAAAAACAAACATGGAATATCTTTTCATACAGAAGTATTTCTCAAACCAGATATGGTGGCACTCATCTGTAATCCTAGTACTTGGAAGACAAAGCAGGAGGATCCCCACAAGTTTGAGGCCAGCCTGCCTATACAGTGAGTTCAAAGCTAATCAGAATTACATAGCAAGACTGTCACACACACACACACACACTCACACACAAAAATTCTCACATGAATGATGCTGAAATCTGGCAGATACCCTCTACTTGTTACAGACAGGTTTATGTGCACAGTTAATAATTGCTTCTAGATAAACGTGTGAAACCAGGATTTTCCCAAAATGATTCAGCCTCCAATAAAAAAGAATAACTTATGTGCCCTCCCCCCAAAAATGGATGTTGAACACATTCCTGTGATCCCAGCATCATTTGTTCTGTAGTATGCTAGGGCAGAAGGATTGCTGCAAGTTTAAGACCAGCCTGGGGGCTGGGGATTTAGCTCAGCGGCATAAGCGCCTGCCTTAAAAGCAGGCAGTCGTGAGTTCGAACCCCGGTACCGATAAAAAGGAAAAAGACAAAAAAAAAAAAAAAAAAAAAAAAGACCAGCCTGGACTAGATAGCAAAACCCCGTCTTGAAAACAAACAAGATAAATTATGTCTGATTGGTTTGGTTGGTTGATTTTATGATACTGGAGGTTAAGCCCAGAGCCTTCACACTGAACTGTATCCCCAGCCATATGTAACTATGTATGTATGTTTTTATGTATTGCTAAGTTGCCAAGACTGGATTAAATTTGCAGTCCACCTTCCTCAGCATCCCAGAGTGCTAGGATTCGTCATGTACCAGCATATCATGCTTGATGTTTTTTATCAGAATATAAGCAGTGTCAAGGGCACATCCATAGGTTTTTCATTTGGACTATAAATTACATTATACAAATTTTAAATAGCTACAATAATTTATGTTCGTAGTTTTACATTTGAAAATTCCCACTTCATTGTTATCAAGTTAACTGTTCGTAATCAATTTTCGTACCTTGCCTTAAATATTCACACATTCTAATCCTTAAGTCTTTGAACATATTTTAATTTTAGGCTTTAATCAAGGATTGCTCGGAGGATAAAAAGATAGATTATTTTAAAACATGTATTGCAAGTTTAACTCCCAGTTTATTTGGAAAGGTTTGTTCTGAGCCCCAAATTTTCATAGAATGTAGAGACGACATACAGAAGACTGTTAAAGGCCTGGTAATTTCAGATTAGGTAATATTACTATTTAGATATTCATGCATTTGCTTCAAGCCTTTCTGCATGCACATACCACAAAACTGAGATCATATTAGACAGCTTTTTAACTTACGTATTTTGTCTTACATGTGAGTTGCATATTCATATTTGGTTTGTTTTGTGGGAGGCCAACAGTGGTTTGTAAGACATTTTTACATATTTAGATCATACATTCATATTCACTGCAGAAAGTTATATATTCTTTTCATAGATTCTTTCCTTGCTGAAAAAAATGTCACATCCCCAATTAGGCTCCAAATGAAATGGGATTATCTCCGAAGTTAATGTCAGTTTTGCCTCTGTTGACCCTTGATTGATTTTTGCAGCCTATATTCATTGTTACATGTTGACCTCTTCAATAGCAGTGTTCAAAAAAGTAATTATAGTTCTCACATCTGTATAATAGTTGAGGGAAGAACTGGGGATTTAGCTCAGTGGCTCAAGCACCTGCCTGGCAAGCATAAGGTCATGAATTGGATCCCCCATACCAAAAGAAAAAAGAAAAAAAAGTTGAGGGAAGAAACTGAAAAGGAATAACTTCTATGTTCTGGGCTGCAGAATGGCTCAGAGCTAGTTTTATTGGAGTATATGGTTTGTAAAATTGTTCAAAACGTTGTGGAGGTTGGGGCTGGAGATATGGCTCAGCAGCACAGTTCTGCCTGGCAAGTGCAAGGTCGTGAGTTCAGTTCCCAGTACCAAAAAAAAAAAAAAAAAAATTAGGAGGGTAATGATCCTTTTTCCATAACTTTTATTTTGTTTCCTTTTTAATTTTCATTTTATCAATATGTTTTTGCAGTACAATATTACATTTATCATGGGCAGTTGGCAGATGTGTGTACCACACCCTGATTGTTTTGATCTGTTTCACTTCATTTCTTAGTCACATTCCCTTGATTACCTGAGAACTTAATGTTGTTTGGGTTGAAAAATAAGGGGGAGTGTTGACTGATCTTTGAATAATTTTCAGGGCTTTCTCTATTGTCTTTTAAAACTCTCTCTGCGGGTTTTTGTTTTTATTTTTGTTTTATTTTCCCATACTAAAGGTTGAACCCAGGTCCTTCATACTGAGCTATATCCCAAGGCCTTTTTTATTTTTATTTTGAGACAGTGTCTCATAGAGTCACTAAAGTGCTTAGGCTGGGCTCAAACTTGGGATCTGTCTGCCTTAACTCCCAGAGTGCTAGGATTATAGGTATGTACTACTATGCCTGGCTCTTTTTCTGCATATTAAGAAAAATACAAAATAAAAGTTTCAAAATAGTGCATTATTGAATTTATGAATCTGTGTTCTGTCTGGTGTCTATCTTTTCATCCTTAGTATGCTTAGATGAAGGTGCTTTTAAAGTTTTCACTTTGATCAGATCTAAAGGAATGATCTCTCAGTTTGCCTCAGTTTCTCTGTTGTTCATTATCCATATGATTGTCTCCTACAGATAGTAAATTATATAAATCCATGGTCTCAAATTTTTGCCCAGTTTTAAAAACTCATTGTGAGCTGAGAATGATGGCACACACCTTACAATGCCAACACTTTGAGAAGCCGAAACAGGAAGCTGGCGAATCCACCCTAATCTGGGCAATTTAGTGATTTACTACAATCTGTCTCAAAAAATTAAAAAAAAAGACTTTTGATAACTCAGTGCAGAGGCCCTGGCCTCCATCCCTGCTACTACCAAAGCAAAGCAAACTGTTGTTTTATAATGTTATATGTTTATATATGCATATATGTTATAGATGATGAAGTTATCTTGTTTTTGTGCTTTAAATTCACCATCTAAGTTACCTAGTAGTATTTGTTGAATTTAGTGGATTAGATCTTAGTTCAAAAAGAAGAACTCTCATATTATCCTTTGACTTGATCTGTTCCTTGGCTCCTCACAGGAAACTCCTGTGCTCAGCAGGATGGAAAAGCAGAAGCGCAAAGAGGAGGAGGAAGAGCGGCAGATTCTCCTGGCTGTGCAGAAGAAAGAACAGGAGCAGATGCTCAAGGAGGAGAGGAAGCGGGAGTTGGAGGAAAAGGTCAAGGCGGTAGAAGGTATGTGGGCCTTCTGCCCAGGCCACAGGTGTCCATAGTTGGGAACAATAGTGTCACAGCCATGACTGGAACAAGCTGAGAATCACTCTTTGTTTCATCTGTTTCTTTTAGTTTGCCATCAGCTGTATTCTGTCATACTTACTTGCTTGAACCCAATCTCCCTTCCTTTTTTTTTTTTTTTTTTTTTTGTGGTACAAGGGATCAAACTCATGACCTCGTGTTTGCCAAGCAGGCACTTACGCTGCTGAGCTAAACCCCAGCCCCTGTCCCTCCTTTTATTCCTGTAAAGCACTTGTTTGTCGTTCCGTATATCTTGCAGTATCTTGCTTATTAGATCTCTGCTGTGTCTCATGCAAAATAGAAAAAAATGAGTGATAACAACTGATTTCACAGGGTTTGTTCTTTTCATATGTGTGTGTTTTTTGGTGTCCATTTCCCCTGCCCCCTGCCCCAAGCGCCACATGCTTTTATTTCTTTACTGATGCTTGCAGTGGTGGTTGACACTGTTACAGGACCACCTCAGGGACTACTTCACCCAAGTTCTTTCCCTGGGACACCTGGGCCTTGCTTTGCTTGGAGCCATCATTTCTTTCATTGCAGCGGCCGCCACTCGACTTTGTACTCCTTCATGTGCTGCACTGCACATAGTTGAGGTGCTCACAGTGGTCCCAGGCATGCTGCTCTTGCTTGCAGACCAAGAAGTTGGGAAAGTACTTCGGCTTGAGCAGCCAGATGAGTTGGTATGCAGAGTAGTCCGGCTGCTTGAGCGTCAGCTGCGCGTTATTCATCTCTTGCTGCATGGTCACCATCCCAAGCTTCTTCTGGTTGGGGAGGCTGTAGTCAGGCAGGAGGGTGAGCATGTGCAACAGATCAGGCTCCACTGAGGCCTCGCCAAGGCAGTATGGGGCCAGGTGGGCCCCCCATGGCTGCTCCACTGAAGATGTATGCAGCAGCTAGGGTCACTTCACGCCTACCTGGAAGCACTGTACCCTTCTGCAGCCTCAGCTTTCTGGGTCTATCTTTTGTTTCGTGGTTGGTTGGTTTGGGTTTGGGTTTTTTATTTTGTTTCTTGAGATAGGGTTGTAACCTGTAATCCAGGTTGGGCTTGAACTTGCTATGTAGCCTGGTTGGTCTCCACCTCTCAATCCTCCCAAGTGCTCAGCCTCCCAAGTGCTGCAGTGCTATAGACATGTACTACTGTATCTAGATACAGATGATTTTATCATAAATAAGGTATACATGAGAGATGTCTCAGATTTTTATGTAGGTATTAGTTCTAAAGTACTATTAGGGCAAAGTAATTTTTTTTCAGTTAGTAGGTCTATTTTATTTCAAGGAGAAACATAAAATAGGTCTGATTCTTGGTCTTGCTGTTTGTCTGTTTATGATTCTACAGTGCCAAAGATAAAAAGTGTTTTCTTGGATAGCAATTGTATTTATAAGCTGACCATGATAAATTATGTATAACAGATCATTTGTCATGGTTGGCTATAGACCAAAGCTTCCTTTCTTCCCCCTGCCCCCTTTGTGGTTGTGGTTGTGGTTGTGTGCTGTGTAGTCCAAGCCAACCTCAAACTTAGACTCCTCCTGCCTTGGCCTCCTGAATGTTGAGTGGTTTCTTTTATATAAATATATAGAAGCCTGACATGATGGTATACACCTTTAATCTCAACACTCAAGAGACTAAGGCAGCAAGACTGCAAATTTGTGGCTACCCTGGCTACAGAGCAAGATAGTGTCTCTGAATGAATGAAAGAAATTCCTAGAACTCTTAATTTTTTAATGAAACAGAGTAGTGTGTGGTTTTGACTTTCTCAGTATGATGTTTCAGTGCAAAATTTAGGTAAATGTTGGCTATGAAAATTAAAAGATTATGACCTCATGTGGTTTTTCCCTTCCCATTTTGAAGTGTTTCTTTCTATTCCTCATTGGGTTGACCCTCTCCCTGTCTAGCTGATTTCTTCATTCTAAAGCTGTTAGTTCGTGGGAGTTACAAATTTATTTTATTTGTTAAGTGTTGGATGTGTTTTGTTTCTGGTATTAGATTTAAACTCTGAGATAATAACTGGCTTTCATTTCTTCATATTTTACAGTGGATTATTAGGTATTCCATCATCATTTTACTTTATATAGACAGGTCCAAAACGTTATTTGCAGGCTTAGTTTCTAATACCCATAAAATTAGTAATGCCTGTTATAGGACTGCTTTACTTTCTTTGTGTTTTTGTTGTTGTTGTTTTGGTACCAAAGATTGAACTCACAACCTCCCGCTTGCCTGACAGGTTCTGAAATAAATCCCCAGGCACCAGGATTACTTTCTTAAGCAATTATTTGAGCACCTGTTTTGCACCAGCACTGTTCTACATAGTAGTAGTCAACAAGATAACTTAGTTGTTTTGTGGAATTTCCATTTTAATGGTGAGAAGATGGGGAATAGAGATACAGTACTGTGGAATTCAAGGTACTAGTGGAATCTAAAAGGAACAACCCAGATGCATGGGTAGACTGACATGATAGAAGTAGCATTTAAACAAGATTATCATGAGAGTTGTCTGAAGAGGTGACATTTGAATGAAGTGAGCAAGTTGCCCTGTTCCTGTGTGTGGCAAAGACCACTGTGGGCAGTGGAAGAACAAGCAAATGCACAGACTCAGTCGTACTTGCCCCTTACAGATCGTGCCAAGAGGAGAAAGCTCAGGGAAGAACGGGCATGGCTGCTGGCCCAGGGCAAGGAGCTGCCCCCAGAGCTCTCCCACCTGGACCCCGGCTCTCCCGCACGGGAAGGAAAGAAGACAAAGGATCTGTGAGTATTTAATCCCAGCAGCAGCAAGAGCACCTGGCCCTCTGCTGATGAACATTTCCCCATTTAATCCATATAGATCCCTGTGCGCTCAGCAGTGGCATTGCCATTTCAAGGCTGAGAAAACCTAATAAAGGACAGAATGAGCCTCAACCTCCAGCCTCCACCTGACCCCAGTGACCTGGCCACCCACACAGACCCACCTGTCTCCTCTTCGTCCCTTCTTCCTTTCCTCCTGCTGCCACACTCTAGAAGCACAGTGATATTTCTACACAAAATTCTTACTGTCCTAACTTTTTAAATTTAATGAAATCAGATTCAGTGGTTATATAATTTTTTTTTTTTTTTTTTGTCTTTTTCCTTTTTATCGGTATCGGAGATCAAACTCACGATTGCCTGCTTGCAAGGCAGGCGCTTATGCCGCTGAGCTAAATCCCCAGCTCCTTAAAATTATTTCTTAAAATGTGCACAACTTACTCTAAATTGTGATTTCTCTTGAAATTACTGGGTACCATTTGTATCTTTATTGCATGCTAGAAATTTCGAAACAAATGAGTAAATGTTCATTGCTAATGAGTTCATTCTGTCATATGCTTTTGTTTGGTTTGATTTTTAATACAGGATCTCACTCTAAGGCTCAAACTGACCTCAAACTTGAGCTCCTCTGCTGCAAGTGATAGTGGCGTTACAAGTGTGCATCACTACTCTAGGCTTTACTCTCTAGGTCCCAAAAATAAACCTAGAGCAAAACATTTCCATTGTCTAAAGTTTGAGAACAGTGATACTCCCTTTCATGTTAAGGTTTACTATCCCTAATCTTGGTATCCTTTTCAGAGAACATTAGCATTGTTGACAGACTTACCTAAAAAGAATTATTAAGACTATTCCAAATCTTAGTGTAGTCAACTATGTCTGAACCAAAAGCTAAGTTGAGAAAGTAGTTGGAGTTATTACTAATGTCTTATTTTCTGATTCATAGCTTTGAGTTGGATGATGATTTCACTGCCATGTATAAAGGTTAGTTCTCATTCTCAGTTAATATGTTTCTAACAGAAACATTAGCATGCAACTGTATTAATTAAATTCTCTTCTTTGGTTCTTAGTTCTGGATGTGGTAAAGGCTCACAAGGATTCCTGGCCCTTTTTGGAACCTGTGGATGAATCCTATGCCCCTAATTACTATCAGATTATTAAGGTATCTTCGAACGTATATGTAAGCATGTGATGTATACTTGGGTTTGGAGTTTTATGTTGGCTTGTTTTTCTGCAGAAGCAAGTCTCTGTGTATACATTTGGCTCCAGAACATCTTACGATATCAAAGTGACATTGCCTCTTGAGGACTATGAGATGTTTGGTTGGAGGATTATTCTAGTATAGTAATTAAATTAGTTATGTGTCCTACTTTAGATCCCCATGGATATTTCAAGCATGGAGAAGAAACTGAATGGAGGTTTATACTGTACCAAGGAGGAATTTGTAAACGACATGAAGACTATGTTCAGGAATTGTCGAAAATACAATGGAGAAAGTAGTGGTAAGAGATTTTGTGCTAAGTGTATGTCTATCCATTATCCATTAGAATAAAATGCCTTTCATTGCAAATGTACATTATCAAACTGTGATCTAAAAGCTATTACATTGGCCTGGCTCTTAGCCAGGAACTGTTTTCTGTGCTATAGGACAAAAGAGTATAACAGAAAGCTGTCTGGCCACAGGCCATTTCTCACCCCACAGACCAGGCTTTAAGTTGTCCCAGGCCTCGTCTCCACAGATAGGACTAAAACTAGAGAAGCTCACTCTCTACCTCCCTCTCTGTCCTCTGGAATTGAACCTTGGTATGCTAACAAGTGCTCTGTCACCGAGCCACAGCCCAGCCTGTCATTGTAAAATCATTTTGAGAAGACTGCATCATAGCTCTAATATCAAACCATAAGTGGTTCCAAGTCCTAAAACTTGGGGTTATATATAGACAAACTCAAATGCTTTAGTTTTTAAAACTAAGTAGACTCAGTGATAGTATTTAATAATTTTAATATTTTAGTCTTAAATAACTACATTTCTTCTGATTTGAGGCAGTGGTCCTAGTATGACTGTTTCAGTCATGCTTCTTGTGCTTCTATGGACAGAAACCATGTCTTCATTTTCTGAGCATAGCTCCACAAATAATATACCTCAATGAGGAATTAATGTAGAGTATACCCCAGCTGGATCTAAACTCTACTTTCAGGTCAATCCTTTTGTTCTTATAGAGTACACCAAGATGTCGGATAATTTAGAGAGGTGTTTCCATAGAGCAATGATGAAACACTTTCCTGGTGAAGATGGGGATACGGATGAAGAATTTTGGATTCGAGAGGATGAAAAGCGGGAGAAAAGACGGAGTAGGGCTGGGCGAAGTAGTGGGAGCCATGTATGGACTCGCTCTAGAGACTCTGAAGGGCCCAGCAGGAAACAGCAGCCAGTGGAAAATGGAGGAAAATCATTGCCCCCCACACGCCAAGCTTCCTCCTCTCAGGATGATCAGAGCAGGAGTTCTGCACAGTCGCCTCGAGATGCAGGCACTTCCAATGGCCCAGGCTTTTCTCACTCCCTGCACTGTGGTGGGATGCCCAACCAGGCCCCACTTTTAAACCAGATGGTAAGGCTTCTCCAGGCTGGCAATATTACGACGAAGGAAGGGCTGACCAGTTGGCACATTCTCTAAAATTAATACATGGGTGATTTCTTTTTCTTCTTATTTCAAATCTTCCTTTCTCTTAATAATATGAATCGTGTATTTTTTTTTTCACGTCAGATGGGTAATATGCCAATGTTGTAACAAGGTTCAAAAGGAGGCAGATGTCATTCATGCAGCATGAACACCCAATCATCACACTTATGAACCTGAGGATCTGAATCATGTATTCTTAATTTGGGCTAAAGTTGGGACTAAATAAAGACAGGGAGTAGGGAAGTACACAGATGAGGGTCCCAGCTAAGGCAGAAGGATGTTTGATCTGAGTCCAGGAGTTCAAGGTCTCCTTGGGCAACATAGCAAGACCTTAAGGGAAGGGGCTGGGGATTTAGCTCAGCGGCATAAGCGCCTGCCTTGCAAGCAGGTAGTCGTGAGTTCGGTCCCTGGTACTGATAAAAAGGAAAAAGACAAAACAAAACCAAAAAAGACCTCAAGGGAAAACAAAACAAATTGCTCTTTTCATGTGTAAAGCACAGAAATACATATAATACGTTAACTGTATACATACGTGAGGCATTAAATTTCAGTAGTAGGTTGCCATTCACACCACAGTGGCTAAAAGGACTCTGGGTATGCCAGGGGTAGGTAGTTTAAAAAAAAGAAATGGTTTTAATCTTCTCTCCTGGCCTGTGAACATACTACACAGTCAGGAATGACCCTGCCCACGGTGGTGCATATACTAGCAGTCCTTAGAGAAACCCTTATCTACCCAGTGTCAAGCTATCTTCTCTTTCCCACCTTCTTGCTCCAGAGGCCAGCAGTGCCTGGAACATTTGGCCCTCTTCAAGGAGCAGAGCCCGCCCACCTATATGGCTCCTCTCAGGTCCCAGAAGCACACCCGGGAGAACCCATGCAGCACCAGTCCCTCTCTGTGCAGGTAAGCACCCAGTGCAGAGATGAAGTAGCCAGGGACCCTCAGACACAGTTTAAAGAGAGGGTTTTCCATATTGGTAAAGTTCATTGCAAAGATCTGCCTTGATATATGAGTCTGACTAACTCTGACCTCTTGTCTTTTCTGTTGCCAGCCTGCAGTTGGAATTGGCAGCCACCGAGGACCCCAGCTAGGGGCTTCTGAAGAAAAGCCAGTGTGTGGAGGGCTGGCACACCTTTCTAACATGAGATCCCACCCTGCCCCCTTGCAGCTTGGGCAGATGAGTGGTCCCAGTCAGGATGGAAACCTGTATCCTCCAGCTGCATTCCAGCCAGCATTTATTTCTCCTAGGTATGGTGGGGCTCCACCTCGACCACCAGATTTTGTTGAGAGCCCAGAAGCTCCTCCTAGCCATGTGTATCAGTCATACAAGTACCTGAATCGAGGACCCTGTGTTGTCTGGAATGGGAACCATGGTGGTACCAACCCAGGATCCTTGGGGCCAGATGAGAAGCCTCCATTGGGGCCAGGACCCTCTCACCAGTCTCGACCCCTTGGTCACATGATAGATTCTCGAGTGATGAGACCACCTATCCCTTCAAACCAGTGGCCTAAACAGTCAAGCTTTCTACCTCATGGAGTTCCTTCCTCAGGGTATATGCGACCACCCTGTAAGTCGGCTGGACATCGATTGCAGCCATCTCCAGCCCCAGCAGCAAGTTCTCTATTTGGAGGGCCATCTCCAACCCTTCGAGGGGTTCATGGGGGCGACTCCATGATGGACAGCCCTGAGATGATCGCCATGCAGCAGCTGTCCTCCCGCGTCTGCCCACCAGGTGTGCCTTACCACCCCCGCCAGCCCTCTGCCTCCCAGATCCCTGGCCCTTTTCCACAGGTGGCTCACTCAGCATCAGTAACTGTGTCAGCCCCCAAGCCTGCCTCAGGCAACCCTGGGAGGACACAGAGTACCAGTGAGATGCAAGAACCTGAGAATGACCAAGGTAACTTTTTTTTATGACTTTTGGCCATATCAGCTGTTAATTTATTAGTAATCCTTTCACACAGAATGTGAAAACAAATACAAATTGATTTCCAGCCTTTCTCTCCTAAACAATTCAGGTTGGGGCTGGCATCATACTCCTTTAGTCTAAAATCTCCGTGTCATCCACTGTGATGGTGCATGTCTATAATCCTAGCACTTGGGAGGCTGAGATAGAAAGATTGCTTTGCATTCAAGGTCAACCTGGGGGTGCATTCTGAGTTCATGGTTAGCTTGAACTGTCTCAAGAAAAATAAAAAGTAAAAATCTCAGCATCATCGTAATGTTTGTTACAATGATTGGTACTTACTGTGGGAGGAACTCTGAGACTTTCATAAAACTTGCTTATTTCTCAGAACAAGTGTTTGTGACAGCCACTATAAATATCCTTTTTTTTTTTTTTTTTTTTTTTTGTCTTTTTCCTTTTTATCAGTACCGAGGATCGAACTCACGACTGCCTGCTTGCAAGGCAGGCGCTTATGCCGCTGAGCTAAATCCCCAGCCCCAAATATCCTAATATTAATGTAATGTTTTCCAGATAGAGAATCAGAGGCACAGAGATACTAGATGGTTTGCTGTCATCCAACAAGTACATGGTGGAGCTGAGATTTGAGCCCAGACTTGATCACCATACACATTTAACTACTGCATTCTTATACTGCCTTTCAAATTAACTAAGTTGAAAGTTGTTACAAGGGAATTAGTTCTGTCTCTGTTTCCTCCTCTGGTACCTTGGATATATGACTATGTCTGCCAAGAATAATGATAATGAAATCTAGCAGGCTTGAACCTATTCCTTAGAAATGCCTTCTAAGGAGAGTACAGATTAAATGGAGAGAAATATGAAAAGATTTTTGTGTGATGGTTATTCCTAGGGGTAGATACTTAAAATATACTATATGTAATTTTTGTCAGTATGCAGCTAGAAAGTAGAGACATTTGGACTCTCACAAAAGATGATAAAATTACCTCAGGACATTGACTTAACTTTGTGTTTCCTTTTTGTTGTGTGTGTGTGTGTGTGTGTGTGTTGGTCTTTTTTGAGACAGGGTCTCTTTGTGCAGTTTAGGCTGGCTTTGAACTCACTTTGTAGCCTAGGCTGGTCTCGAACTCGCAACGATCTCCTGCCTCAGCCTTTTTAGTAGGATTACAGGCCTGAGCCACCACATCCAGCCAGTGTTTCTTTTTTGAAAAGACCTTGGTACACACTGGCTCCATCAGAGTTTCCAATAATGGTTTTTTACATAGCGTATACAGTTCAGCAGTTTAGAATACTCCCAGTCATGGCACCTTCTTAAGTCTGTTTGCTGGTTACCAAGTTTTATGTTAACTGAATAATGAAAACTATCTTTTTCCTTTTTATTATACCATTTGTACTTTGATCATTAAGGCCAGCTTTAATTCACAGATAGCCTGAAATAGTCTTTCAAAGTCATTGTGAATCCTTGATTTTTTCCTCAAGGACTATTACCAGAATAAAATTTTGATCATACGTGAAGAACTTTGTCATTAGATCATATATATGTGTCATATTTGTATGTGTGTGTGTCATATTATTGTGGTCTTATTTAAAACCTTATTAATGTGTCAGTACCATAGTAAGATAAATTATCTAAGGTATTCAAAGATTTGAGACTAGTAAATTAATTTGATTGATTTTATTTAAGTTCACTAAAATGGCTTTGAAAGTTGTTAGTTTGGTTGAGTGGCTTTTTCCTGTAGGCATCTTATCTAAAACTATCCAAACAAGTGATAAGCCAAGTAGTAGAACATGTGCTTAACATGAGCAAGGCCCTGGGTTCCATCTCCAGCACTCTTTTTAAAAAAAGACTTTCAAAGTTTATTCATTCACCAAATCTTGGCTAATCCCATATTTTAGGTAAGTACTGAGAGCACTGTAAGAAGACTTTACTCACTGTTCCTGTGGAGTTCCTGTTTTTCAGGGCAGAAGTCAGGCATGTGGCTGCCCTGAGTGCCCAATTATGCCAGTGCTCTTACCACATTTCACATGTGTGTACCTGGAATCCATGAGCCGTGAATTACATCGTGGCCTTTTACTAATCTGACCGCATTGTACAGAAGGTGGGAGGCAAGAGTGCTTCCACTCTTTGCCAGGCCTTAATGAGCAGCCATAGAAGTGCTAGGTTGTACTTTTAGGTTTGCAAAAGGGAAGCTTGGAGGCCCCCAGCATCATGCCTCCTTTCACAGGCTCTTATAATACCCAGCTGACATTTGTGTTACCTTAACCATGGCCCTCTTCATCTGCATACTTACTACATTTTTTTTTTATTAATCACCTCCATTAATACTGTCATTTCAACTACTGAATTTTACATTGTTTTGTTTTGTTTTTCTCTCTAGCAGAGCCCTTGCCTGGGCTTGAAGAGAAACCACCCAGCATCAGTGCTTCAGAGGGGTTGTACCTCAAAAAACTACCTCACCCCACACCTCCCCTGCAGTCTGACTGCCCCAGGCAGAGCTCCCCACAAGAAAGGGAAACAGTGGGCCCAGAGCTCAAAAACGATGTCTCAGAATCTTCCGACCACTGTCAAACAGCACAGGGCAAGACTACCTGGCCCTCAGGCAACAGCTGCCCCAGCCCAGCTCCCCAAGGCTGTTTGAGGAACCTCTCTGCAGCTGCAGGTAGAGGCCCTTTGCCTGAAAATGGAGTCATTGGTGAAGCATCCCCCTGTGGATCGGAGGGCAAGAGCCTTGGTGGCAATGGTTCAGAAAAACCACTCTGCCCCAGAGGCAACATACTGCAGGAGACCATTCCATGTACAGGACAGAATGCAGCTACACCCCCGTGCGCAGACCCCAGTTTGGTGGCAGGCACTGTAAGCCAATTTTCTCCTTTGTACATGCCTGGCCTGGAATACTCTAACTCAGCTGCACATTACCACATCAATCCAAGCCTGCAAGGGTTGGGCCCTATGATGGGAGGAAAGTCAGCAATATCAAATCCTCAGCATTTTCCCCCCAGGAGCTTTCAGTCTACCAGTCCGCATCCCGGAGTCTTTCCCCGGTACCGACCCCCGCAAGGAATGAGGTACTCCTACCAGCCACCCCCTCAGCCTTCCTATTCTCACTACCAGCGCACTCCTTACTACACATGTCCACAGGGCTTTTCTGACTGGCAGCGACCTGTCCATCCCCAGGGAAGTGCAGGTGGGTCCCCAGCAGGTCACCCTCCCCCGCAGCGATCCCTCTTCTCAGATAGGAATTCTGTGGCTGATCTGCAAGGCTGTGAGGCTCTGAGTGCCTCCCTAACCTCCCCAAATCGAACACATACAGTGGCTGCTAAAGTCGTCCCAACAGACGGGCAGAATCCAGGTCCAGAGGAAGAAAAGCTGGATGAATCTGTGGAGAGGCCAGAGAGTCCCAAAGAATTTTTAGACCTAGACAACCATAATGCAGCTACAAAGCGACAGAGTTCATTGTCAGCCAGTGAATATCTTTATGGAACTCCTCCACCTCCTCTGAGTTCAGGGATGGGTTTTGGTTCACCTGCTTTCCCTCCCCATGGCGTGATGCTACAAACGGGGCCACCTTACACACCTCAGCGGCCAGCTAGTCATTTCCCACCCCGAGCATACTCCTCCCCAGTAGCTGCCCACCCACCTCACCATCCGGTGGCCACTCAAGCCAACGGCCTCTCCCAGGAGGGCCCCCTCTATCGCTGCCAGGAAGAGGGCTTGGGGCACTTTCAAGCTGTAATGATGGAGCAGATTGGCACTGGAAGTGGAATAAGGGGACCGTTCCAGGAAATGTACAGACCAACAGGGTAAGATTATGTTCAATTGTTTTTGTTTCTGTTATTTGAAAAAAATAAGACGTTGAAAAAAAATTTTTTAAGACAAAGTTATTTTATGTAGTTCAGGCTGAGTTTTTTTGAGGCAGGGTTTCACTGTATGGTTCAGGCTAGCCTTGAACTCACTTTGTGTGGCCTACGCTGGCCTCGAACAGCAGTCCTCCTACCTCAGCCTCCCAAGTACTAGTATTACAGACTTGTGCCACTGTGCCCAGCTTCAGGCTGGCTTTGAACTCAAGATATAGCTCAGTCTGGCCCTAATTTGTGGCAGTCTTTTGCCTCAGCTTTCTGAGTTTTGAGATTACAAGTATGTGCTGCCGCCGCCACCACCCTCGGCTAACATGTTGGTTTTAAAAATCAAAATAGCCTTAGGAATAAAAATAAACTTTAATACTCCAGGACCACAAAAAAACATGTGAATTGATGATGAAAACTTGGTAGAAATTTAGGCATATCTTCTAGAACCCAGTTTTATCTTTGATATTATTTCCCCTGGTGAAAACAAATTTCTATTTAGTGCTTTAATTATTTCCTAATGTGGTGTTTGATTTCAAATGAGATCTCACACTAAGCTATACCCTAAACCACTACCCCTGATTTGGTGTTTATTTAAATGACTGCTTGGATTTTGACATTGGGAACTTGACAGCCACAATTGGCTGCTATAGGCAGAGGCCGTTAAAAGTTTCTGCTGAGTTACATCGACACTGGCCAAGGTAAAATGGGTCTAACCTTGGAAGTAGTGTAATACTAAAGTTTACTCTTCATCTCTTTTTGTCCCTGATAATTGAGTGAAAAAATTTGATCTGTCCAGAAATGAAGTAAGTAAAATACTTCCCCATGTTCAGGTTTGTAGTCATATTTTTAGGAATCAGGGAGGGGTGGGGCATACAGCTCAGTAGCATAGCACCTGCCTGACAAACAGAAGGTCTTCCGTTTGATTCTCAGCACAAAAAAAAAAGAATCAGGGCTGGGTCCTACAGTGCTTTCTAACATGCAGAAGGTTTTTATTATCCTAACAAACACACTCCCCAAAAAGGGGCACAGTAAAATGATTTGCCATCCAGGAAAATTTCAAATAAATGTATAAAAGATATTTAAACTCAAGAGGTAGGTAAGAGGATTGTCAAAAGTTCAAGTCCAGCCTGGACTACGTAGTGAGTTCAGGGTCAGCCTATGTAGCAAGACCCTTTCTTAAAAAAAAATTTTTTTTCAACCAGCTGCAATCATGCGTGTAATCATAGGTACTCAAGAAGCTGAGCCAGGAGGGTCACAAGTTGAAGGCCAATCTGGGCTTTTGAGATAGTATTTCAAAATAAAAGAATATAAAAGGATTGTGGGAGTACATTGGTAGAGCACTTGCCTGACATGTCTAAGGCCTGAGTTCCCATTCCCAACACCACACGCACACATAAATGGCCAACAAAGTCAGTCATTAAATCAATGCCGTCAATTTAAAATTCTGTGTACCTCTCCCCTCTGCCATTCTACCTTACCATCAGGCTATCTTCCCCAACTAAAGTTTTACCATATTTGCTTATGTTATGTTATGTTTTGTTTTGTTTTTGTTTTGTTTTGGGAACAGGGTTTCACTCTGCAGTTCAGACAGGCTGGTCTTGAACTCACTACATAGCCCAGGATGGCCTTGAACTCCTAGCAGTTCTCCTGCCTCAGCCTCCCAAGTGCTGTGATTATAGGTGTGCATCACCATACCCAGTGCCATATTTGCTTTTTGTTTTTGAATATGTGTATTTTTTTTCCTAAAGCAGTTAAATTGTAGTCATCATAGTCTTAACCCCTAAATACCACAGCATGCAAGAACAAAAGAACCTTTGTAAGAACAAAGACAGTTCTGTACATGGTCTCCAAACTGTTAGCATAAACTAGGTGTGGTGGCACAAGCCTGTAATCTCAGCACTCAACAGGCTGAGGCAGGACAATGGCTGCAAGTTCAAAACCAGCCCGGGTACAAAATAAGTCCAAGGCCAGCCTGAACTGCATAGTGAGACCCTTTCTCCAAAAAGGAAAAAGAAAAAACAAACCTGTTAGCATAACCAAGTTAACACAGCAGTCTCTCATACATATAGTCCTTTGAATTTCCCTAGTTGTCCCTAAAACATCTTCTTAAGAGTTATAATTTACTAAGCACAAGATTGTGAGTTTGATCTCCAGTACAAAAAAAAAAAACGCCAACACAAAAAAAAATAGAGTTACAGTTTTCTCCCTTGATTTGTTTATGATCTAGACCCCACAGCTCATGAATTTGTTTTTGATTTTATTTCTGTTTTAACCTCCTTAATTTATAGCAATTGTCCTACCTTCCTTTTGTTTTTCAGTTCCCATGCAGAGTGCCCAGGTTATAGATTTGTTTCATTGTTTGCCCATGCTTAGGTGCCTCCTATTCCATCATACCATGAAGCATGCAATATCATGTTGTCCCCATACTGATGATTCCAGGTTACGTCACCTGGATAATTAAGGCAGCCTCTTCACGATTAAAGTATGTTTTCCTCTGTAATGAATACGTCTTCACTGATTGTTAACTGTGTCCTTCTTATGGCTACAGGATGCACATGCATGCCGTCCAGTCTCTGCCCTCATTCCCAAAGACTCCAGCACCAGTGGCATCACCAGAACAGCTACCACCCCATAAACCCCCAACACTTCCTCTAGATCAGGTAAGAATTATCAAAACTTAAAGCTTTTCTTACTCCTCCAGGTATAGGATTTTAAACATAGGTTATCAATTCTCTGAAGTTCTGAAGTGTTTCAGATTTCAGGAATTTTCAGATTTTGAAATACTTTGCATAGACTTTGCCTAATCTGGAAATCTGAAACACTCCAAAATGTGAACCTTTTTGAGTATTGTCTCAACATAATAACACAAAAAAAGTTCTGAGTCTTAAAGCAGTTCAGATTAGAACTCTCAACCTGGCCATGACCACCTTGCTGTGCTGAGAATAACTTGCTTGCTTGCTTGACATTTGCATGCCTGCCTGCTTGCTTGCTTGTTGACTGTTGCAGTCCTGGGGATTGAATTCAGGATTGTGCATGGTGGGCAGGTGCTTTACCTCCAACCCTTGAGAGGACATTTTAAAGTATTCTGTTAATACAGGAACTTTTCCTGAAAGGGGCTTCAGGTATCATGAACACCCAGATGAAAGCAATCCCCGAGGCCCTGTAGTCATCCTCCAAAGTGGGAGTGACCACTGCAGAGGCTTCAGAGGGAGCTTCTCTGTTTTCCACCTGGCCCTTTTTCCTATTTTTTGACACAGTTACCTGTGCCAGTATTTATTTAAGCCTCTTGTTGGTTTTTTGTTTGTTTGTGGTTTTTTCTGGGGTTTTTTGTTTGTTTTTTTCTTTTTGAGACAGGGGCTCACTATGCAGTTCAGGCTCACTTTGTAGCCTAGGCTGGTCTCAAACATGCAAGAATCCCCATGCCTCAGCTTCCCGAATGCTGGGATTATAGGTGTACGCCACCATGCCCAGCTCTTAAGCCTCATTTTTTCCCATTCTATCTGCCCATCTTTCTTTGCCCACAGTCCTGGTCTGTTCCTACGAGAACAGGTTCAGTCAGTTCTGGAGGCACAGTAGCTCCCTGTGAGAGCTGCTGTTCTGACAGGTCCTGTGCTGAGGCTGCAGCACATAGTGACTTGTATGGGCCTTTCCCGGACCCCCAGAAACACCATGAGCCATGACAACATTTCCTAATAAGCAAACAGTTCTGCACCTGCTAAGGGGCTGAGTGTAGTGGTGGCAAGCCTGTTTTTTCTTCTAAGACAAAAGATGTCAATATATGAATTTGTTTTCATTTTTAAGCTAAAACCTTAGTATTCAGGTTTAATTGCTCTGTTGACACTTTGCAATACACGGGTTTAGGGTTGCGCTTTGGGCCTTTGTCTCCAAAAGGTTTGCCATCACTGGCCTGGACTCTAGCTTTGGATTCCAGGCCCCACAGGTATACCCTTTGGGGATAAACTGTGGCTGTGCAAGTGAGCACGGTTAGCTCTTTGACCTAATTTTTGTACTGGGGAAGACACCCACGGCTTCATGCATGCTAGGGCAAGCACGCTATCATGGAGCTGTGTCTCCAACCCCCTTTGATGCAAATTTTAATTTTTTGTAAAAACAAAAAGTATTCTTTGTTTGCCTCAGAGCTAGTGCAAGGAGGAAATAACCCACAAGGGAATGGAAAAGCTGCCTATGAAGAGAACAGCACACGGAGGATTTGGGATGACCATGCCCAACTCCATTCCTGTCACCCTGCTCCACATCTTCACATGAAGCACACCATACTACTAGGAGCTGGAGCCACTCCCTGGCCTTCAAAGTACACTCCACAAATGGCAGGCTGCTCGTACTGGCTGACACAATTGGGAAGAACAAATGGACCTGGAATTCACACCAACTTCTCCAGATCTTGGGACTTGTTCAGGGAAATCACTTCGTACTTGGGAGGGGGTCTAGCAGGAATGGAGTGGTGCTTTTAACCTTTCATGAGCAGCTAATCTCAGGTATATCTTCAAGGAAGGGACTACTTGTAGTATTAATGTTTTTGGAGCTGGGTCCAGTTTACAGAATTTTCATGTTGCCTTTTAAAATGATTTTTGTTGGTCGTGAATGTATTGTATATAAGGTGGGGGGTGGGGATGTGGAAGAAATGGGAGTCCCAACTGTGGTGGGCACACAGCACTTGAGTGGTCTCTGTCTGTTTACAATCATGGCACACTGAACGCTTTAGGAGCTGGACAAGAGGGTAGGCAAAGTCTCATCTTGTTATGTTATGTGCCACAGTCTCTGTTTGCTTAGTGACTGGCCAGCCTTTAGCAGCGAAAGGACTTCCTTCCAGTCAGCCTCAGAGTACAGCTGGCTTATCACCCTCCGGATCCATCTATCAGCTTGAAGCAGAGTACTCTCATGTGGCCCACTGGAGCTTCACCCCAGAAGACAGGCGGCTCTGTCTGGTGATCTAAGTCCCAGACTGGAAAGTGATGTCCCTTCCTGATTCTGCCACCAGCCTCACCCAGATAGATACCTACAAACCAGTATCAGGAATTGGGATCAATAGAGTGTTTCACTCGTTAAAAGATAGAATCACCCTCTTCACAGGCCTCTTGGGACTGTGATCTAGAAGGCATCACACAAAGCTTTCTGGCACAAATCACATTTTGTGAAAGTGACTACTCAGGTGTGTATATGTTAGTCTTAATAAAGGAATTGCACAGGTTTGAATAGGGAAAATGTATTCTTTAGATTCACAGTTTGAATTTAGGTATATTTCAGTATCTATAGTTGTTACTCAGTTTAAGTGAATCATAGTAAAATCAGTCATGGTGATTTAAAATAGCTATCAAAGACAGGTTCTTGGAAATCATTTGTCCTATCAGTTATAGGAAAGTTTTCCAGTATTAAATTACTTTATTACTATAGTAGAAGTGAATTACACTGGACCCTCTGTTTACCATTTTCTACTTTGTTTGATATGTCACCAAAGTTAGGACCCACATTTAAACTTTTAAATATACCACAAAGAAAAAACTAAAATCATCCTAAAGTTGCAAGTCTTTGTAAAGAATAGTATGTATTTTAAAACATACTTTTGTGATATTAGATGTCTCCATAAAATAATAATCTGTTTTAGTTTTTTTTAAATTTAACTGCAAGAAGGTTTGGCAGCACCCTTTGGCTCCATTTCTATTACATGTAGTTGGCAGCCTTCTGAACCTCTGTAGTCAGAGGGAAGGGAAATAGATCACAACAGCCATGTTACAGAGATGCCACCCAAGACCCTGGCTCCAGTAGAAGGGAATTCATACCAGGTGTTGAATGCTTGTCATCCTGAACGTGTGGCTTAGAGATCAAGCAGTATCAAGTGGAGCACACATGAAAAATAGATGCCTTTGAAGTATGGTACACAAGATTATGAATTTTTCTCTAGCTGACTTTCAGTTTAAATTTAGTGCATTTCCAAGCTGATTGAATTGTCGGGTTGAATTTTCACTTGGTTGTAAGTCTTGTCAGACTTGAACTGGCAGTCTGGTTGAGAGGAGTAAACAGAAGCCAGAAGATTTGTGGGTGGATCTGCTCCGCCCGTAGGCTCATGAGTTAACTTGGTCAGAACATGACCACTTCAGTTTCTGTGTGGAGGTAAAAACAAGGAGAAAGAACAAACAGTTGGTGTGAGCTGGTTAGACTTCTTACATGCTGTTTGAGTTCAGAGCAAAAAGCATTCTGCCACAAACAAGAGGCCTTGACTTCTTCCCATTAAGGACATCAAAATTGCAGGACCTCTTCCACGTTACTAAGGCTGGAGCAGCTGCCCAATGCTCTCTGCTGAGATTGCTTCCTCCTTACTCTTCTGGAGCCCCATTTCCTGATTACCTGTTGCTACAGAAATGCTGTGAACAATGTAGAGGAGGGGAATCAGTAAATCCCTTAATCCTTAACTTCCTTTCTTGGTTTAGATTGATGAGAAAACATTAAGGAAGAGCAATAGAAAACTGAACTACTATGTTGCAACACTGTGAACAAAAGCAATAGCAAGATTATCAGCTGTTTGCATTTTGGGTAGAATTTTGATCAGCCATTACAGGCCTGATGCTTCATCTGTGTCTGGTAGAGACCCAGCTTTCATTGATCTTCAAAGTGCAGATCTGCAAAGAGCAGCCTGGAGCTGCCAGACCTCAGAAACACAGGACCTGTGCTGCTGTGAACCCCTCATCAGTCACCCCAATGGGATCTTTTGTTCTCACTTTTCTTCCTCTAGCACTTCTCTAAGTGTCTTAAGCACATGCAGTGTCTTAAAGCAGATGCAAATGCATTTGCCATCTTCTCTGTAGGGAAGTGATATGTAATAATTAGAAAATAGTGTATAAGGTATCCTCGCAAGCTTTGCTCTCAGGCTAGACAGTCCTTTAGATCTTGTAGGTCTGTCACCTTGTCAAGTGTGCTGCCTATCAGTGGTCCCCAGTAGGTCATGGCTGAGATCTGTGGATAACTGAAAATATTCCCACTCCTGCTTGATTTAACATTCATAACTTAACTTGATTAGATTTGTTAATAAGTTAGAAAGTGTTTCTTCAAGGACTAAGAGGAAATAAAGGATCCAGGAAGAAAAGGAAAGTCTTTTAGAAAATTCCTAGTTTTACTTCTCTTCTGAAATCTGTCCATTGAAAAATAGGAAAGCCCGCTCAGTAGTAGAGCCCTAGCCTGGTACGTGTAAGGCTAGGGGTTCGCCACCAGAGGCGTATAATAAATTAGCAAATGCTGTTGGCTAAAATTTGTTAATAGACAGATGTGAAGGTTATATAAGGACAAAATATGCAGGATTCAACCAAGTGAGGTGACATGCCTGTAACCCCAGTATTTTGGGAGGTTGAGGGAGAAGACCATATGAGCCCAACGTGGTGACTTAGCAACTCTTTATCTCAAAAAAAAAAAAAAAAAACAGGGCTGGGAGTTTAGCTCAGTGGCATAAGCACCTGCCTTGCAAGCAGGCGGTCGTGAGTTCAATCCCCGGTACCGATAAAAAGGAAAAAGACAAAAAAAAAAAAAAAACAGCTGTAGCTCCTGGGTTCAATCCCCACTACTGGGTTGGGGAAATTCATAAAATTTACATTTTCACCTTTAGAAATAAAATTGAACCAGGTATGGTGGTACATGTCTATAATCCCAGCATTTGGAAGGCTGAGGCAGGTAGATTGCTGTGAGTTTAAGGCCAGCCTGGGCTACACAGTAAGTTTAAAGCCTGCCTAAATTATAGAGCAACACCCTGACTCGGGGGGAAAAAAGAATAAAAATTAAAGTTGTTTTTTTTTTTTGTTTTGTTTTGTTTTTTGTTTTGTTTTGTTTTGTTTTGTTTTGGTGTCCTGAGTCAGGTTGAGCTAGCTGTTCTGGTAGTACTCATCAGCAGGACTTGAATTCCTGTTTGTCTCAAACAGCTCTCAGACTGAGAATCCTCATGCTCATCTTCCTGAGTGTTTAGGAGACATTAACTCCTATAGTCTGTTCTGTCAAAAGCAATTTTTTCATTTTGTTTTGTTCTTTTTGGTTTTTTTGAGACAGGAGCTTGCTATGTGGTTCAGATTGGCCTTGAATTCAGCAACCTTGGGCCTCAGCCTCCTGAGTCCTAGGATCATGGTCACGCTACCACCCATGTCATAGTTTAGCATTAAATGTTAATTTACTCTAGCCTTTCCCTTCAAAGTACTTCTCCAGACTAACCACTTGGCAGCATTATTCCATGGCGTGTATATGTCAGAGATTATTGTTTAGCTAAATCCTGTGGTGTATCACAGCATATGCTGAATGTTGTCCTGAACACAAAATCCCAGTCTGGTGTCATGTCTGAATATAGTGATCCCAGCACTTGAGAGTCTGATGCCAGAAGATAGTTCTTGAGTTTGAGGCCAGGCTAGGCCACGTAGCGAGACCCTGTCTCAAACAAAACAAAAAAATCAATTTTGCCACAAATAGCCTTATAGTTTATTCATTCTTTCAGTTTATGGCATGTGATTAAAAATGTTTTCCCCTCCCTTTTTTTTTGGTCTTTTTTCCTTTTTACCGGTACTGGGGATCGAACTCACGACTGCCTGCTTGCAAGGCAGGCACTTATGCCGCTGAGCTAAACCTCCAGCCCCCTCCCCTCCCTTTTTTAATGAAAGTTCAAATTTATAAGTTTAATACTGTTCTTAAAAGCTAATTTGAAATTACATAGGAAAGTTTAATCAAGAAGAGTCTGAAGGCAAAAATAGTTGGTAGTGTCAGACTCGTGATAAGGTTTGTGAGAATCTCGATTTTCCAGGAAATAAAAACTAGGAGTTTTCTAGCATTATTTTCTCTTTTGTATTTGTCTGTGGGTCCTTTCACCCCCTGACCAGATTCTTCATGGGCCCACATCAGGGAAATCAGTTCTGTTTCAGTGAGGCATGTAGTGCTCAATCCTGGGGTGTTTGGGGTGTCTTACCCTGGAACATAGCTCTTTGGAACAGTTGCAGTGTGAGTTGAGCGTGGAGGCAGTGGTTTGCTGTCTGAGAACTACGAGTGTGGTTGAGTCTTAACTGGATGAGAAGACGCTGGGCTCCCAACTGTGCTGTGCAGCCTTAAGACCCAGAGCCTCACTCTTCGCCCTCTGAAAAAGCAGAGTTGACTGAGCTTTACTGCATTTCAGCTCAGATAATCTGTGACTAGCTTTTCTTCTCCAGGCTGGATGTTGGTCCTTCTCTGTGCTAGATGCCTGCATATGTGGAGAGACTGTCTCCTGCTGGAATTGAACTTCGACAGTCTCTTCTTCTCATTCTGCCTAATAACCAGATGATTGTCCTATGTGTGTTTTTGAAAGGGTGGATGGGGACAGAGGTGTGGATATTAAGTTATTGAAGTGCTGATGCCCATGGATAAACAGTGTGGCCCCTCCTGTCCCCCAGCAGGGGCCCAGGTACCTCACTCGCCTGTATTGCTGCAGCTCCTGGGAATCCTCTAGACCCCAGCAGCCTGCAGCACTCAGCATTGGGCAGTTAGCTCCTGCTGCGAGCCAGAGCCCTGTGAACCTTCCTGGCCAGTACTGGAAAGGGCAATGCTATTTATTTTTATATTATGTATATTTTGTGGTGGTCTGCTGATTTCCTGTTTCACTGAAAGCGACACTTACCTCAATAGTTAGTACAATATTGTGTATTGGATAATTTGTTAAAAGAACTTTTTAAAAAGCTTTTGGAACCTTGGAGGTCTGTAGATTTATTTCCATATGAACTGGTTATTTTGTATAAAGTACATTCTTAAAGTAGCAAGACTGGTGTGTGTCCATGTGTCCCTTTTATCTGCAGGGCAAGGCAAGCTCAGCCTCCCATCAGGATAAGGATTCGTGATAGGCCATAATGCAGCATCTTAAGCCCTCTCCCTCTCAGTCCTGACACATCGGGGACCAGAGTCTAGGGAAGAAAGGGCATGGTGGCACACGCCTGTGATCCCAGCACTCCGAGAGGGTGAGACAGGAACATCACAAATTCAAATCCAGTCTGCATGACTCCATAAAAGGCCAGAAATAAGAGTTCAGTGCGAAGACTCTAGATTCAATCCCTAGTATCACCAAAAAACTGAAAAAAAAATCTGGGTGACAGCCCACTGTAGAAGATACAACAGTACAAGACAAGAGATTAAAATAGTCATCAGCAGAAAATGCTAAACCATGGCAAGAACAACACAATTCCCAGCTCTTCCCATCAACACATACCTCATGCATCCCTAACCACCACCTGAGCCACAAGGGACTTGCTGGTGAAAGTGTCCCTTTTATGAGTGTGTCACATGTGTGCTACAGTGATTTTGATCCTCCAGAATGAGCTGGCAGGGCAGGCAGAATGCAGTGACAATGGGTGGAGCAATCTAAATTGTAAGTGGCTTGAGATAGGAGGTACAAATTAAGAAAGTAGGTACTTTCAAATCTGACCAGATTTTTTATTTTTAAAACCTGGGAGGTTTTTTTGTTACAGGTTTGATAAGGAATACAAGGGGGAAAATAGACACATTCTTTACTTAGGGTAGTCTTGACACCAAACTACCTGTCCTGTTTTATCTTCAAAGAATTGGCCTTGGGGCTGGGGATTTAGCTCAGCAGCATAAGCGCCTGCCTTGTAAAGCAGGCAGTCGTGAGTTTGATCCCCGGTACCAATAAAAAGAAAAAAGACAAAAAAAAAAAAAAGAATTAGCCTTGTAAACTACTAACCTTTGTGCCGTAAAATTACAACACAATTAGCACCATTTTTTTCAGCACTTGGGAGACTGAAGCAGGAGGATTCCTTGAGTGAGGTTAGCCTGGAGTACTTTCTCAGACCCTGACTCAGAAAACCAAAACATGAAAGCAATCCGTTTGGTTTTGTCACTTTCTAAAACCGTGACATTTTTGGGTGTCTAATTGTTTGGTCAAATTCTCCCTACTGATGAACTCATTTGAGATTTATCCAACTGCTATTTTAAAATTGTTGCCAGCTCAGTTACCCTCCCAAAGAAGCCATTTTACTCACTGTGACAGTCACATTTTCTAGGTTAGCTACAAATGCATATAGTATTCTAAAACAAAAAATCAACATTAAAAATCAGGGTAGTGGCACAAGCCTATAATCCCAGCACTCAGGAGGCTGAGGCAGTAGTATTGTAGTTCGAGACCAGCCTGGGCTGCAAAGTGAACACAAGGCCACCCTGAACTACATAGTGAGACCCTGTCTCAAAACAACAAAAAATATGAGGAAACCTCAGTTGTATTTTCTCACATTAAGATTTTGTTAACTCTTGTGGGTGACATTTCACACAAAATTATTATAGACCAAGAACTTCCTTCATAAAGCTGAAACAGGAGAAGCAGTCATGCTGAGATTTAGGGAAGAACAGACTGACACTACTGTGACTGTCCCAAAGTCCTAGACACTGTAACTTTATAAACAATCAGTCCCCTGGATAATCCCTACACTGGCGAGTCCTGCTGAACTGAGAAAATAACCCAGGCGGTTGGGAGGTCATCTTTCACCCTGGAGCCTTCTGGATCTCTGGCCTATGGCATGAAATTGTTATGCAAGAGGTGCCCCTGGCAGGAAGGCCACCAGCTCTGTTTGCTTCTGAGCAGCCAGATCCCCTGCCAGCTGGGCTGTAGAGACAGCTCCAAGTGTCCAAACTGCCCATCCTTCAAAGTCCTCGTAACCAGCTCCCCATTGTGGTCTGTTGCCTGCTCTGCAGGTTTCTTTTCCCCATCCCTTGGGCCTCCTTTGGGTTTCTAGAAGGGCACATATGACTGTGTGTGTTTTAGTCCCCTTTCTGCTATCAAGGCTAGTTCCTTTAGTTTTCTTAGGCAGTTTTTGCACAACCTTTAATGCAAAGTAGATGGGACACTAGCCAAGAAAGCAGCTGGAAAGTGCCCAGACTTGGCTGTTGAGTACTGGACGCCACCCCCTTCTGCATCCGTGACAAGCATAGCAATGCAGGTGCCCTGGAGGCCACTTCAGGGTTGGACAGCCACAACTTGCTCCTGGAATCCTGAACTCGAACCTTATTCTGGACAGCAAATGACAGGGATTGGTTGCCTTATTCCAGCCTGTTAAAGTGGGATAGAATTTTTAAAAGAAATGCAGCCAGTTCCTTGGATTGTATCCAGGGATTTGCTTTGAGAAGGAATTTCAGTTTTTAGAGGAAAGGCAAAGACGATGCAAGTAAAGCCTGGCCTGGAGATGTTCACCAAGAACCAAGATGAAGATTGACTAACTTACAATCAAGCTTTCAGTGAGTACAGCTATCCTCAGTATCTTAGGGATTGGTCCCAGATGTGCAAGTCCCTTATATATAATGACATAGTATTTGCATATAACCTCTTCTCATGCTTGTGAATACTTTAATCTCAAGATTACTTACAATACTTAATACAGTCTAAATGCTATGTGTTTAAGCTGTTGTTTAGGAACTAATAGAGAAAATGTCCATATATGTTCAGTATGATGGAACTTTTTGTTTTTCAAATATTTCCGGTTCATAGCTGAATCTCTAGGTGCAGAAACCATGGGTACAAAGGATGGACTGTACTCAGTAAATGCCCACAGCATGCCTGGCAGTTCACCTGGTTAACAAGAATACAAAAGCAGAAAAATAGCTCCCTCTGTTCAGAGTTCATAATGAAGAGAGAAAAAATGCAAGCTGCAGAAAAGCTGGAATACAGTAAGGTGCTAGAAAGAGTACAATGTATAAAGCACTACATTAAGGAATGATCTTCATTCCCTCTAATTTCATTGGACAGAGCTTACTGCACAAGCCAGAGAAAGTGTTCAGTTGGGGACTGTCATTTCATAGCTTGTTCCAACAGCACCCTTACACTTAGTCTTGTTTTTAAGTAAGCTAACCTAAAGTAGTGATAATTCAAAAGTTCCAGCTAATAATTATGACCCCAGCGCAGTACTAAAGGAGCATCTCCTGGAGATTGGATATAGAGCTGCAGAACCAGAGAATGGATGGTGGCATACATTACATAGCTGACCCCGTTCCCTTAACGTTTTGTGATTATATGATCTATTGTGGTTGTCAAAATGTAGTCCTGGGGGCTGGGGGTTTAGCTCAGCGGCATAAGCACCTGCCTTGCAAGCAGGTGGTCTTGAGTTCGATCCCTGGTACCGATAAAAAGGAAAAAGACCAAAAAAAAAAAAAAAAAAAAAAAAAATGTAGTCCTGAACCTGCAGCATTAACATCACTTGAGAATTTCTTAGAAATGCACGTTCTTGAGCTAGGCAAGGTGGCACACCTGTAATCCCAGCATTCTGGAGACAGAGGCCAGAAGACTGGAAATTCGAAGCCAGCCTCAGCTATGTAGTTAGTTCAAGGCCAGCCTGACTTGCATAGAATATCTTGTCTTACCTTCACAGCTATGCACCTTATGATACCCCCTCTTACACCTGCTCTAACAGACACATAGGGCCCAGGACTCTGTTATAAGAAGCCCTTTCGTGGTTCCTTGAGCCCTCCAGTTTGAGAACACAGACCTGGGCAATCACCTGTGCTCAGCCATGAGACCTGACCTGAGCTAAATGTCTCACTGAAAGCTGGTGGATGGCTGAACTAGCCCCTTCACCCCCATGCTGCTGGTTAACATGGAATAAAGGTAATGGAGGTCCCTCTACTCCACACCTGGGGAGGAGCACAGCACAAGCAAAGTTGAGAAGTTTCCTCTTTCCGCCTCCATGTCTCTGACCTGACGCTCAGAGGCCACCCTGCCTGGGCCCTCCCACTTTTGTCTGTCAGATCTCACCGTGGGGCTGCTTTCTGTGGCCGGGCACTGCACTGCCAGAGGGTTTTGTCATTTAACATGTTCTGCCCTGTAAGATTTCTTAGCCAGGTGTAGGGACACGCACCTGTCGTCCCAGCACTTGGGAGGCTGAGGCAGGAAGGTTGCCATGAGTTCAAGGCCAGCCTGAACTGCATACTGAGACTGTCTCAAAAGAACCAAAAAAGAAAAAAAAAAAAAATCCTGCCAGTAACAGTAACATCCTGTCACCAAAACTGAAGCACTTGAGGGCTGGCGATTTAGCTCAGCGGCATAAGCACCTGCCTTTGCAAGTGTGTGGTCGTGAGTTCGATCCCTGGTACCGATCAAAAAGAAAAAGACAAAAAAAAAAAAAAAAAATGGAGCGCTCCTCTGCTTGGATCCCAGGGTCTTTACACCAAGCCAAGTCTCCAGTCCTTTTTACATTGTGGCAGGACCCTCATACGTCACCAAGTTGTACAGGCTGGACTTAAAAGTTGCAGCCTCCTGCCTCAGGCTCCAGAGCTCCAGGATGATTGGCGTGTGCCACTATGGCTCCTTTTCCTTCTTTGCCATTCGTGGGTCACTTTTTCCAGGTTACTACCAGGCTTGCCACCTAAATGTTCTGCCATGATTTGTTTTGTGATTTAGTTTTGTCTGCTACTATTTTATTTCCTTTAGGTTCTGGGATCACAAGTTCAAGCCCAGCCTGGGCAATTTAGCAAGACCCTGTCTCCAAAAGGGTAAGGAGCTGGGGGTTAGCTCAGTGGCATAAGTGCCTGCCTAGCAAGCGCAAGGTCTTGAGTTAGATCCCTGGTACCAAAAAAAAGGGGGGTAGGGATATACCTAGTTCAGAGGTACAGCACCTCTGAGTTTGATCCCCAGTACCATCAAAAGAGAGAGTTCATTCTTTTTTCTTTTTTTTTTTCCGTTTTTATTGGTACCAGGGATTGAACTCACGACCGCACACTTGCAAGGAAGGCACTTATGCCGCTGAGCTAAATCCCCAGCCCCCAAGAGTCTGTTCTTAACTGTGCTATTAAAATTTTATTAATTGTGGTATCTCTCCTGGCTCCTCCCCATGCCCCCTGTTTAAATTTCAGTGTGGCTGCTTAATTTCATGGCTCAACTTGCTTCCTTTTACTTATTTTATTTTTTGGGTGGCTAGCACATGTGATAGGCACGTGATAACCAGTGAGCTATACCTCTGGCCCACTTTTATTATGACAGTAGAACATGCATAATAGAAAATTTCCTATTTTAAATTTATATTTCAGGAACATTTAGTGCACTTATTTGGGCAACCATCAACACATCTATCTCCAAAATGCTTCCCTGCTCCCCAGCTGAAAGTCTATTCCTTTCTTTTTCTTTTCCTTTTTTAAACTGGGAATCGAACTTAGAACATTGTGCTTGACAGGGAGGTGCTGTGCTACTGAGCTACACCCATGGCCCTCTATACCCGTTTCAGACTGACTCCTCTTGCTCCCCTTTAACAGAAACTGGTAACCTTTTTTCCACTTTTTGTCTCTGAATTCGACTGTTCTGTGTGCTTCCATGTAAGTGGAATCATAGTGTTTGCCCTCTGTGTCTGGCACAGTGTCTTTCAGGTTCGCCTGTGTCACAGCATGTGGCACATCCTTTTTAAGGCTGAGTACTAGTCCATTGCATGTAAGGGCCACATCTTGCTTATCCATTCCTGATGGGCACTTGGGTGGCTTCCAGTTTTCAGTGATGGAATAGGGCTGCTATGAACATGACCGTTCGAATATCTATTCCAGACACACAGTTCTCGGTGTTCAGTTCTTTCGGGTCTGTACCCAGAAGTGGGATTGCTGGACCCCCTGGTAATTCTCAGTGTAGTTTTTGAGGAACTACCACACAGCTTTCCACAGCAGCTGCACCATTTTACATTCCCGCCAGCAGTGCCCAAGGGGTTCCAGTTTTCCCACATCCACACCAGTGTTTGCTTTCTGTGTTTCTCATAGTCACCATCTTGATGGGCATGAAAAGGCACCGCCCTTTCTTGTGTACTCTGTCACCCCCTTTTTTGCAACTGCCTCGTTAAACTCAGGTCAACAGCCAAACTCGTCCCACCTCTCCTAGCGCTCTCCTGATGTCATAGCTGGGGCCATCTGTGTCTTCCTCCTGCTGTCCCACTGGCTGTAGGCCCATCCCTTCCTCTCTTCCCCATATGTACAGGCTGACATTTTGTCTCTTGCCCAGATTATTGTCCTCTCCCTGTTCTGTCCTAACCACCCGGAGGCCTTGTTCCCTGGCATCTGAGTCAGCTTTCCATCGCCCACCAGAGGAAGAGGGCAATGTCCAGCAGCGGCCACCTCTCATAGGCCTAGCGGTGTACCAGGTGGCCTGCACCCCAGGCTGAGTGCCGTTTGATAGATGAACAGGCAGGTTCCGAAGACAACGCTGAGGTCACAGCTAGTAAGCAGTAAACCGGGGTTCATACCAGTTCAAGAGCAGCTCTTCCATCCTCGGCACAAACCTTAATAGTTCACGTGCGTTAGCCAAGAGAAGCACCAATGAGGGACATGCATAAGGGGAGATGGCAGTGGCTAGGGAGCTGGGAGCTGGACCTGGCTTTCTGCCTCTGATGTCTGTCTACGGCCAATCCCCATCTCTCCAAGTCCTTGGCCTGACAAGGTCCTGTACCGCTGTTTGCAAAGTGTTTGCCAGCCTTACTCTCCCCCTACTACCTCATCCCTTGCCCCAGGGCAGACGGTCCCCCTTGCTCTTACAGTTCTGATGTTTTAGCCAGCCTTCCCTGCCCCAAATCAGTTGCTACTTTCTCCCTGAAACCTGTATTTCTGCATATTGGAAGAAATCCTGAGCCAGTCTTAAGCTCCTGCAACACTGACTGCACAGCTCACCAGTACCCTTCTGGAGAGATGCAGCCCTCCCACAGCTGAGCCCCGCTGAGTAAACAACACCTTGTCTCCCTGCAGGGAGCGCCTTGCAGATCACTGCAATGTCCCCTAGCTGCAGTTTAAAAAGTGGGGGGAAGAAATGCATGAAACCCAGGAGCCGAAAGGAGCTTAGGCACCAAGCGTTTCACACAAGGATTTCCGCTGTGCCTGTTTCCCTTTGTCTGCGTCCCTGACTTCCCTGCGTCCATGCGTCTCTGAGAGGGAGGAGAGCTCCCTTCAGCCTATGCTCCCTTAGCCAAATTACTTCCAGCCTGAACTTGGAAAGTCAAACTAACAACCAGGAAAACAGCCACCTGTGTTCAGCTTGGGCTGAAGAGGTGTGGAGGCTCTTTGGGATTTGATTCCACACAGCCTGTCTGAAGGTACAGAGAGGGAGAAGGGCTCAGTGATGACCCAAGGTGAAGCGGCTCCTCCTGGCCCGAGTCCTGTACCTGCTCTTCCCTGTGGTACAGTAACCTGGCCTCCAGAAAAGGCAGAGATTTCTTCCCCAAGGCAGGTAAGTGTCGGTCTTGTCTGTGTGTCCAGCTCAGAGCTGGTACACTACTGCTAGCAAATAAATAATTGGAGGAAAGAGCAGGCAGTGGGAAAGGGCTCCCACTCTCATCTGCTGCCCAGAGCCAGAAGGCGCAGGAGGCAGGGCTGCGCCATGACTGGGCTACCGCAGGCAGCCTCTAGGCCAAGACCAGTGACCTTCCTGCCAATCAACCCAGAAATGGTGCTGGTTGCGAGCACGAGGACTCATCCCTAAGAGTTCTCTCGCTCTGCTGGCCCCAGATGAGATGGCCCGGGGCATAGGCCTCATCCCTTAGATCCCTGGCCCCCGCTCCTCACAATGTAAAAAATAGGGACAGCTAAAGAGTACTCTGTCCTGTGCTGGGACTGCCAGGTCAAAGGTGGTCAGTGGTTCAGTGATGCAACAATATTTGTCAATTACCTGTCTGCACTGGGGCCTCGAGATAAAGCCCAAGGACCGCCTCCAATAATTTCTCATGTAGGTGGGACAGAGGTTACTGTAACACACCATGGTCTGCGTGGTCGGAAGGCACCAGGCCAAGACCCAAGGGCCTCAGATAGGCCTCTAGGAGGAAGTGACATCCAAGCTGAAGTCCAAAGAACAATCTGTAATTCGTCAGAGGTCAATGGGGAAAGAGTGTCCTGGGCGAAAGGGACAGGATGTACAAGACTTAGACACAACACCGTGATGTGGCCCTCGGTGGTGGGCCAGGGAAGGAGTAGAACCTGTCTTGAGGGCCCTGGTGAGGCAGCAAGCCATTTGCAAGGAAGCACTTGGAAGGTGCCACTCAGCGGTGGTCCTGGAGGGAGACCTGAGCCAGGCAGGCTGAGCAGGGATCGCCCCAGGCTGGAGGTTGGCCACCAGATGGCGCTGGAGTGGCCTAGCAGCACTGCTCGGGAAGACCCTGAGGACAGAGCTTTTCTATGTGCGGCTACATAGTTCAAGGCCAGCCTGAACTACACAGTGAGACCCTGTCTCAAAAAACAAAGCAAAATGGGCTGGGGATGTGGCTCAGTGGTAGAGCCCTTGCCTTGTATGCACAACATCCTGAGTTCAATCCCCCCAGCACAAAAACAAAGCTAGAGAAAAGAGGGCTCTAAAAGGGACCAAGCACAAGCCCACCACGTTAACCAATAGATCCCTAAACATAAAGTGAAGGGTGGTGTAGCTCAGTAGCAGAGCTCTTGCTAGCATGGTTGTCCTGTGGTTTTCAGATTGACTCATCTTCCAGACTTATCATAGATCAGACCGCATCCCATGCCCTGTGACAGCATGGTGACTGACGAGTGGGGAGGGCCCTGGTGGAAGTGCAGACTTGTCTGGGTCACTGAGGGGACAGGTGTGCTGCATTTGGAGAAGAGAAAGTGGGAAGAGCAGCCACTCACCAGGGAGGTAAACAGAAGACAGAGAAGGGGTCAATCAGATGACGCAAGCTGGCAGGGTAGAACTCCAAACAGGGCTTGCCCATGGGGACCCCAGTGATACAGGACATCAGTGGGGAGAGTCTGAGGGGTCACAGAAGTCAAGGGCGTGGGGCCTCTTAAAATGAGGGATGACTCTGCAGCCTACATGGGCCTCTGCACACACCAACTGGGGACCTTCCTCCAGATAGTGCACCCCTGGATGGCCTCACTTGACATGATTCTGAGCACCTGTGTGTTAGGAGTCATTGTGACCACAGGCACAGCGCAGGCTCCCTTCAAAAGCAAGGCTCCAAGCCTGCAGGCAGAAGTGAGAAAACACTGGATGCTTTGAGAAAGGCACAAGAGGCTGAATGCAGTATAAGCACCATGATTCTGGAAGAATAAATGGGCCAAGGGAAGAAAGCCGGCTGGGAGGCCACCAGGGTAGACTGGGAGGGAGGGGCTAGGAGGTGGAGGAGGCAGAACAAGGGTCAGCAGGGAGGAAGCCAGGACCTGCTGACTGTCCGTCCAGCAGGGAAGGGAGAGGGAAGAGCGGTGGAACAAGCTGGGACCTGACCAGGAGACACAGAGGACAGAAGGTGAGTCAGGAAAGAAGACTCCCTGCAGAGACACAGGTCAGGACAGGCAGGACTGGGGCCTCAAGGCTCAGTGGGCAGGCCTTGCACTGGCCCCCGCAAGAGCTCCTTACCTCTGCTCCTCCTCCCCCTCTGCTACAGACTCTAGGTGAACAAGGAGGTGGCAGCCAGCAGCTGTGGCCCAGAGGAAGTGGACAGCTCTTAGGGGGGCCCAGAAAACGGCATCGGCAGCTACCCAGACTCCGTGCTCCCCCTGCAAAACTTACCTGTGATGCTTTGATTTTATTTCTTATTTGCAGTGCTGGGGAGGGAGGGAACCATACTAAGCACATGCTCTACACCAAGTGGCCCCCAAGCCCGATAGAAGCCATTCCTGCCGGAACCGGAGAGTTTCAGCTCGTTGAAGAGAGCAATCTGCTGTGCTGCACTTGGCACTTTGTAGGCACTAACAGATAGTTAACAGAGTGACTAACATTAACATTCAGGCCTCCAGGCTGCCAGACCTCAAGTTTGGGATTTTCCCAGAAACACAACATGGCGCCTTTAAAGGTGCAGTTGAAGCCTGGCACGGTCACTCGCGTCTGGAATCACAGCACCTACAAGATGGGGATGTAGCTCAGTGCAAAGGCTGTACCACAAAACCAAACCACACCATGAAAACTGGGACTTAGCCGAGGCAAGTGGCACATGCCAGTCACACAGGAGACTGAGGCAAAAGGGTCATCAGTTCAAGGCCAGTTTGGGGGCTGGGGATTTAGCTCAGCGACATAAGTGCCTGCCTTGCAAGCAGGTGGTCGTGAGTTCGATCCCTGGTACCGATAAAAAAAAACGAAAAAGACAAAAAAAAAAAATATATGTCAAGGCCAGTTTGGGCGACTTAGGTTCCATCTCAAAAAGGCAAATCGAATCAAACCTGGGGCTCTCAGTTCTCCCCCTGCTGACTGTTCACTAATACAGCAACCGGTGCCAGAAACTGTACTAACTCGTAGTAGCTGCACATCTAAATCTGCTAACAGGAACTTCTAGGACTGAGATTTCCAGTGGCTTGCGATGGACTCAGGCAGTGGAGGCTGGGGACTCTCGGGGGCACACACCAAACCACACAAACACTCCTGGTAATTGGAGGTGCTGTGGCGTGGACCTGGAACTGGGTGCAGAGGCTTCTCTTAGAGATCCTTATTCCAGGAGTCAGGAAACCATGAATGCTAACCTAAGAAATTTCCCTGAAAATAAACACAGTGAGTTGGGTGTGGTGTTGTACACTTGTTTTTTTTTTTTTTTTTTTTTTTGTCTTTTTCGTTTTTATCGGTACCGGGGACCGAACTCACGACTGCCTGTTTGCAAGGCAGGTGCTTATGCCGCTGAGCTAAATCCCCAGCCCCCTATGGTGTTGTACACTTGTAACCTCAGCACTCAGTAAACTGAGGCAGGAGGATTGCCAAGAGTTCTTTTTTTTTTTCTTTTTTTTTTTTTTTTTTTTTGTCTTTTTCGTTTTTACTGGTACCAGGGATCGAACTCACGACTGCCTGCTTGCAAGGCAGGTGCTTATGCCGCTGAGCTAAATCCCCAGCCCCCAATTGCCAAGAGTTCAAGGCTAGCGGGGGCCACAGTGAGTTCAGGGCCTGACTGAACTCCAGAGCGAAACCGTCTCAGGAATACAGAGATACCGGAAACCTGCAAGAGCAGCTGCAGTGTTCTCATCTACTTGACTCTCACTTCAGACACAAAGGGTTTATTCCTTTGTTATTTGTTTCCTGCAGTGCTGGGGTTGGAACCCAGTCTCACCCATGCTAGGCAAGGGTTTTTTTGTTGTTGTTGTTATTTTTGTTTTTGTCTTTTTTGAGATGGGATCTCGCTATGTAGTTCAGGCTGGCCTTGAGCTCACTTTGTAGCCCAGGCTGGTCTTGAACTCACAAGGATCCTCCTGCCTCAGCCTCCCGGGTGCTGGGATTGCAGGCATGAGCCACCACGCCCGGTTTAGGCAAGGGTTTTATCCTTGAGCTCCACCCCTGGTCCTACCAATTTTAAAGCAGCCACCTGGAATTGGAGTGTGTCTTCCTGCCCTAACAACTTCCCGAATGTCTCCAATAACAGGGACATACTAATTCCTTCACATTTTCCCACCATCTGTGCCAAAGCTCCATTCTGGAGGCACACAGTTCAAGCTTCAAGAGACAGCAGTGGCTCCCCAGCCTGCACCCTCCTCCCTCTCAGCTCACCCCAGACTTGGGTGCTGTAATGCAAATTCTTACTCCTAATGCAAATTTTGGGGATCAGACTCCTGATTAAAAGTATCAGAAAGTTGGGGCTGGGGGATTTAGCTCAGCGGCATAAGCGTCTGCCTTGCAAGCAGGCAGTTGTGAGTTTGAACCCTGGTACCGATAAAAAGGAAAAAGACAAAAAAAAAAAAAAAGTATCAGAAAGTCATTCTTGTAAGATATACAGTAAGGTCAGTTTTGTGCCAGGGGGCCGGGAATGTAGCTCAGTTGCACAGCACCTGCCTGGGTTCCATTCCTGGTACCAAAAAAGAAAAAGGGCTGGGAATTTAATGTCATAAGCTTCTGTCTGGCCAGCATGAGGTCATAAGTTTTATCTCTGGTGCAAAAAAAAAAAAAAAAAATTCATGCCAGGACCCTTGAGCGCCCCAGACTCCAGGGCAGGGGAACAGCTAGCTAGGAACTGGTGTGGCCCAGCATGGAATGCTTACCTGGCATGGGCAGGCCTGGCTTCCAGCTTCAGGGGCTATGGAAGCAAACACAGGAGTGAACTAGAAGCAAGGGTTAATGTGTCCTCTTCGTTGTTTTGGGATTTTGTGTGTGTGTGTGGGGGGGGGGTTTGATTGAACCTAGAGGCTTGCACATGGTAGGAAGCACTGTACTCCTGAGCTTGACGCCCCAGCCCTTCCTATCTCTCCTCCAGATGTACTTGTTTCCCTGACTCTTTCTCTGCAAATGTCTGTCTGTTTTGCCAATGGACCCATGTTCCATGTTACAGATTCATTCTTCTGATGAACCTTCTTTCCTCTCTCATTGGCCCATCAGGAAGGCTAAGTCTGTGCCTCTCACACACATCCTCAGTTCAGATGCCCTGTGCCCCGCTCCCCGGGCAGCTCTGCACCTCCCCCTCCATCCCTGAAGTGACCATAACTCTTTTCAAGTCTGCAGTGTGCTCACACTGCCGCCAAGGTGAGCCTGCCAGACAACGTGCCACACCTCTGCTGGAAACTCTCAGTTGCTTCTCTCTCTCTCTCTCTCTCTCTCTCTCTCTCTCTTTTTTTTTTTTTTTTTTTTTTTTGTCTTTTTCCTTTTTTATTGGTACCAGGGATCGAACTCAGGACTGCCTGCTTGCAAGGCAGGCGCTTATGCTGCTGAGCTAAACCCCCAGCCCATGTTGCTTCTCTCTTTATTTGGAATAAAAGTCAGAGACCAGCCAGGTGAGTGCACATCTGTAATCCCAGCTACGTGGGAAGCTCAGGTAGCAGGACTGAAACTCCAAGTCCAGCCTGAAAACCTTGGTGAGAGACCCTGTTTCAGAATAAAACTGTTTTGTTTTTGCATTTTTAGTTGTTTTTATTTTTTTTATTTTTTTTTATTTTATTTTTTTTTTATTTTTTTTTTTGGCTTTTTTTGAGACAGGGTCTCTCTATATAGTTCAGGCTGGCCTGAAACTCATGGCTATCCTGCCTCAGCCTCCTGAGTGCTGGGATTAGAGGTGCATGCCACCACACCCAGCTCAGAATAAAATTTAGAAAAGCCTGGGCTGTAGCTCAGTGGTGCAGCGCTTGCCTAGTAGGCATGAGTCCCTCACTATCACAAAAGAAGAAAAAGAGAGACGCCCAGCATGGTTGCAGCAGTACGTCACCTCAAAGTCGTGGCCGCCCTCCCCAGCCACCCAGCCACAGCCGCGGTTGCCCGGCGCTCAGCTGCGTTGGCTCTGCCTCCGTGCGTTTGGCGGTGCTGATGGACCCCGGCGTCTCAGGCACGCTGAGCGCGTGCCCTGCCCGCCCCCGCACTCTGCTGGCCCTGTCTCAGTGCCTTCCCCAGACGCCCCTGCAGCTCATCTCATGACATGCTCTCTCCCCAAGGCCATCTGCACTGGGAACTTTGGTTAAGTCTCCAGGGACGTTTCCTGCTTCCGAGTCCCTTTGGAACTGCTTTCTGCATAGTATTTGCCACTCTCTGGTGTCTTCTGGCTTCTTCATCATGTTTATGTTCGACTTTGTCTCGATAGGGTCCCGAGAGCTGGCACCATAGTCTCTTGTTCACTAATACCTGGCATTCAGTAAGGTTTGAGGTACTGGGGAGCAACCCAGATCCCATGCAGGGTGGTGTTCTCAGCCTTCTCTCTCCTCCTCCTCTCTTCTCTGATCCCAAAAGTCCAAAAGCTCAAGGCTGAAAACAAGAGCAGCTGACGCCTTAACTCGTGGCGACCCACTGTCCTGTTAAGCACCACCTCTTCCTGCCCACCAGCCAGGGCAGCGGCTGCCCCTAAGAGCCATTAGCCCTGTGTCCTGCTACCCACCAGTGGCCGCTGTCCTCTGCAGAATGTCCAGCCAGGACTTAAGGTAAGCTCTGGGAAGGTGGTATAGAGAAGCTGCTCAACATCTCCAGATCCTGAATATGTGAATACCCAGCCAAGGGAGGCTGAGGCAGGAGGACTGCTATGAGTTCAAGGCCAGCCTGGGCTACATAGTGAGTCCAAGGTCTACCTAAGCTATACAGGGAGATCCTGTCTCAAAAGGAAAAAAGAAAAAAACTCAAACAAAAAACAGATCCTGAAAACTAAACTGAATTGGAGGGAAAAGCAAGTGAGACCCATTTTATGAAGTTTATGTATAACACACACAAACATGCATATAAATGTATACATGAGGCCAGGGATGATGGTTCACTCCTATAATCCCAGCACTCAGGAGGCTGAGGCAGGAGCATCACACTGAGTTGAGACCAGACTGGGCTACATAATGAGTTAAGAGCTCCCCTGAACCTTACAGTGTGAAAACACAAAACTGTTAAATGTATCTTATAATTGGATGCTTTTTCTCAGGTTGCAGAATTTCAGTCACAATACTATTTGTTGTCCCGAAGTTTCTTGTTTGCTTATCAAGGTTCCTAGGGAGGAAACCTGCTATTCCCTACTTTACCACTTCAGATAAGTTATCTCCACATATTTTTCCCATGTCTGCCTCTGGCCTAATAAGCAAAGTACCCTAGGTTCCCAGGAGACTGAGAAAGCTTTTGTCTACATTGTTTTCCTAAACTCCCATCGCCAACCAGGCCAGTTTATCTGAAGTTTTACTTGGGTTAGGGCTAGATAATCTCAGGACTGGAACCCAGGTTGTGCAGGCCTCCTCTGGTCACTGTGATAGCCTGGGGAAAGGGAAGCCCGGAGAAGTAGAGAAGTGCGGTACCGTGGGCTTCTCACCCACTTCTGCCAGAGCTGAAGCCCCAAACACAGCTGCGTTTGTGCACACGGCTGAAGGGTGAAAAGCGGAGACCAGGCTCTGAAGTCATCGAGGCTGTCAGTGCCGTGGGAGTGGACTGTGGGGGCTCTTCCCCGAAACCCTTCAGGTCCTGGTGGGGTGGCCCCTGGCAGATGCACAGTGTGGCCTGAGAGGGCTGCCATCCCGCCTCGTTCGGCCTTACCCAGCCCCGCTCCTCCCTCACTCTGCTCTCTTCCTTTGGCCTAGCATCGCTGCCAAGCTCATCAATGGAGGAGTAGCAGGATTCATGGGGGTGACCTGTGTGTTCCCCATCGACTTGGCCAAGACCCGGCTGCAGAACCAGCAAGGGAGAGACATGTACAAAGGAATGTAGGTGCGGGAGGATGGCGTGGGTGTCTCCCGGGAGGGTGAGGAGAGTGAGAACTTGAGGGTCGGTCAGCAGAGGTGCAGCTGGCAGAGTGCAGGATGGGGAGGTGGCGGGGGGGGGGGGGGCGGGGCGGGGCAGCCTCTTGGTCGCCACTGAGCTCCTCTCCTGGCCTCTGCTCCTAGGGTCGACTGCCTGAGGAAGACAGTGCGTGCGGAGGGCTTCTTTGGCATGTACCGAGGTGGGCTTCTGGGCCACCCCAGGGAGGCTGGCTTGGGTCTGCTGAGGTCAGAGGGTGGTGGAGTTGCTCAGGCCTTGTGCGTGCAACACACTGAGTATGGGCATTGCTTCTGCCCAGAGGACGGCAGGGAGGAGGCCTGGGTGCCAAGTGTCCCTGGGCGCTGCTAACCATGGCTGCTCTGGTGGAGGGAGAGGTAAGTTCCTGGGAAGGCCTCCCCAGCTACCAGTGAGCCACAGTGGGGCTCAGGAGTCCAGGTTTCCTACAGGCCCTACGACTGCCTGACTGCCTCAGCGGGTGTGTGTTTTAATCAGCATCTTCCTAAGTGTCTCAGACTGGCCTTGAACTTGTGATCCTTCTGCCTCAGCCTCTTGAGCACTAAAATGACAGGCACGTGCCAGCATGCCCAGCTCACTGTGTGAGGTTAAAGCTAGTGAGCCCCAGCCTGCCTCCTTCCCACCTTCCTTGCCCCTGCAGCTCTCTGGAGCTGGCAGCACAGGCAGCGACTAGGACAGGCTGGAAGGCTCAGGGTGCAGGGCTCCAAGCTCTCCCTGACCTGAGCTTGGCCTGCTGCTGTGCCCACTCGTGAGTAGGCCTTGGAGAATGGGCTCCTGGCTGGTGCTGAGAGGCGCTACTGGGTCACTCACTCTAAGGTGGCTGTAATCCAGCTATCGGGAGGCTGAGGCCAGAGGATCCCAACCTCAAGGCCCACCTGGGTCACCTAGCAAGACCCTGTCTTGAAATGAAAACCTCAAAGGGCTGTGGATGTAGCTCAGTGAGAGGCCCTGCCTTGCATCCCCAGTACCGTAAAAACCTATATGAATTATTCAGCTGCCTGTGGGGCTGGCCAGTGCGATGGTCATCCTGCCGCTGTCCCCGGAGCTCACTGCTGGGAGGTAGACAGCACCGGGGGCAGTAGGCAGCTTCTGGATGACTGGATGCAGGCGTCCGTAAAGGAAATCAATGCATAACAGAGGAAGGAATGGGGGTAAATCCTGTTTCAGTAAAAGAAGCCCTGCTGCCGCCTTGGGAAGCTGCCCCTTGGGGGGACCCGGCAGCTCACCTCTGCTCCCTGCCATCAGGGGCCGCAGTGAACCTTGCCTTGGTCACTCCGGAGAAGGCCATCAAGCTGGCAGCCAACGACTTCTTTCGGCAGCTGCTCATGGAAGATGGGTATGGCCAAGCTGTGGTAGCCCAGACCCTTCACGGTGTGACTGCTTGGGGAGGGGAGTGCAAACATGCCTCCATTTATCTTCTGTACATGTTTAGGCGCACACGTGGCTGAGGGATAGTGTGTTTCGGGAGATGTAGAGGAAATGAGCGGGAGTAATTTGGGAGACAGAAAGGCAGCAACTGCAAGTGAGAACACAGAACACACAGTAGACAGATTCACCAAAGAGCCGGTGAATTCCTAGTTTCCTCTGGAACACTTTCTAGTTCTGTCCCCCCACTGCCCAGGGAGAGGATGCGAGGGACCAGAAAATCCTCTCTGGAGCTGCGCCAAGGGCAGTCCGCCATGCTGCCATCACTGGTCCACATTTAGTCTCAGATCTTTAAAGAGACTGAGGCGAAAGGCCAGACGATCATTCACTCAGTTGGGTAGGTGGCAGCTGGTGATGAGGACAAGGCTCCCCCCAGCCACTAAAGAGGGCCGATGAGCAGGGGTGGGCAAGGCTGGCCCGACCCTGATGGAGCCTTGCGGCCCTACAGCGCGCGGCAGAACCTGAAGATGGAGATGCTAGCCGGATGCGGGGCTGGAATGTGCCAGGTGGTAGTTACCTGTCCCATGGAAATGCTCAAGATTCAGATGCAGGACGCGGGACGCTTGGGTGAGGCCTGCCCCACCTTCACTCATTCCAAGTGCAAGCTGATCTAGGGACTGTAAGGAGTCAGTGCCTGCACACTACCCCCTTCAGGCAGTAATGTTGAATGCTGTAGAAACTGTGCCTTTAGGGGAAGGCATACAAGGGAGAAGAGAACACTCCTATCCTTTGGTTTTCCCTAGAAGAGGTTTGCCCTTTTATCAGCCCTGGTCCTCTCAGAAAGAGTGGGGAAGGTACCACTGCATAGCGGGGCCTTGCCTCAGGCTCCACCATCTCCATCAAGTAACTCCTGGGTTCTGTGCCCCGGCAAGGAGCAGTGCTTGTCAGGCAAGCACTGTGCCGGAGCTACATCCCCCGGCCCAAAGTGTCCTGTTTCTATCTGCAAAGGGCAAAAGCCCTGTTTACGGCAGTTTGACAATCTGAGCAGAAAGCTCCTAACGCACCTTAGGGACTTTTTCCAGTCCCGGTGAGGGAACCCAGGGCCTCTGGAGCAGGCTACCTTCCTGGCTATCTTGTATTCTGAGACAGTCTCACTAAGCTGGCCACGCTGGGCTCCTGCCTGAGTTGTCCCAGGGCTAGGACTGACCAACCTGGGGCTACTTCAGGGAGGGTTTTGGGGTGCCTGCTGAGGTTTGGGTTCTGATGAGCCTCTCCTTCCCTTTCAGTGGGGCACCCCCAGGGCTCAGCTGCAGCGTCCCCATCCTCCAGGTCCTACAGCACAGGCTCAGCTTCTACCCACGAGCGCTCCTCTGCCACCCTCACTGCCCGGGAGCTGCTGCGCACACAGGGCCTGGCTGGTCTCTACAGGGGTCTGGGAGCCACCATCCTCAGGTGAGCCCTGCTCCCTGCAGTGGACACCCTGGACCTGTATCTTGGGGCTGAGGAGCACTGCCACTATTACTGGACACTATTTTTTTTTTTTTTTTGTCTTTTTCGTTTTTATGAGTACCGGGGATCGAACTCACAACTGCCTGCTTGCAAGACAGGCACTTGTGCCGCTGAGCTAAATCCCCAGCCCTACCGGACACTATTACAGGCCAGGGAGGAAGGCCATTCCCATACTTCCTGCCACACCACAGTGGCCAAGAGCACACACAGTGGGCACCTGGGAGACTTAAGGTTTTAGGCCCCTTCTCCAATGACCAGGACCACAAGTAATGGGTGGGCAGTAGCCCAAAGGCACCCAAGAGGACTGAGACTCATCTGCATGTGAGTGGACACCCCCACCCATGTGGCTCAGCCTGCACCCCCTCAGGGCACGTGTCCTACTAGCCCCCATCTGCAGGCTGCACATGCTGGCGGGGGGCACAGGAAACCTTTTCCTGTAATGCAGATTGTCCCCCTGTGCCATTGGGGTACCCAGCAAGGAAGCGCTGGCTGTGGCGGGCCTGTGCCCCCTTCGTGGAAGCCCAGGAAGGGAGCCCTGGCTCAATTCCCCCTCCCCCTGCAGAGACATTCCTTTCTCCATCATCTACTTCCCGCTCTTCGCCAACCTCAACCACCTGCGAGTCGGCGAGCACTCCGGGAGGGCCTCCTTCGCGCATTCTTTCGTGTCAGGCTGCGCTGCAGGCTCTGTGGCTGCGGTCGCGGTCACACCCCTGGACGGTACGTGGGTAGGGGGCTGAGCTGCACGTGCACAGCTGCACACGGGACAGACAGAACCCTGGCAGCGCAGGCACAACTCCTCTGTAGAGCACCCTGGGCCCACAGACAAGGGGGCTGAGAACATCACCATCACTGACAAATCCCTGCAGCGGGGCCTGTGATGTTAGCATGCGGGGAGGCTGAGGCAGGAGGATCACAAGTGTGAGCCCAATCTGGGAAACTCAGCGACTTAGTGAGACTTTGTCTCAAAAAAAAACAAAAAAGGTGGGGTGTGGGCATATAGCTCAGTGTGAAGATTGTTTAAACCCTCATAGCACAAAAAGAAAACGAAAACAGAAAGAAAAACAAGACAATCCCTCAGCTCTGGAAGTGCTGATTTCTTTAGCTTTGAGACAAAGGCGAGAGCCTCCCCTTGTCCTGGGGCCAAGGATGCAGGTGCTCGCCCAGGTGGCTTCTGCAACAGGTGTGGCCTGCAGGGTCTGGTGATTCCAGTCCTGTCAGTGACAGAACTGGCCATGCAGGTCCATCCGGTCTGTGCTGGCTCTGTGTGTGGGGTGGACCCCAAAAGCAAGGTATTCACTGTGCATTTTAACTTCTGCTCCATTTAGTTCTGAAAACTCGAATCCAAACCCTGAAGAAAGGCCTGGGTGAAGACAGCTACAACGGGATCGCCGACTGCGCCAGGTCAGCCCAGACCCCTGCCTTGGCGCACCTGTCTGATTGTTGAGCTGTTTGGGTTTTTTTTTTGACACAGGGATTATGTAATCCAGACTGGCCTCAAGTTATGGTGACCTTTCTGCCTTAGCCTCCTGAATGCTGGGAGTACAGGTGTGCTCCATCATGCCCAGCTGGAGCCCCAAGTTTTTTTGAAATCTATCCCTTTCCCTTATCTCTCAGAGGAAAACGAGTATCTGGGGAGTATTTGCTCTCCCAGACTGGGGTCCAGTCAAACCTATTTTGCAGGACCACACTGCCAGTTACCAGCTGTACCCTTGCACTGGGTGAGAGCAGGCTGCCTCCTGCCAGGGCTCTGGAGAGTGACAGGGGCACAGACGCTAGAGACCGTGGTTGAGCACCCACCTGCCCAGCAGCTCACTGGCTCTTCTTTCTCCGCAGGAAGCTCTGGACCCGGGAGGGCCCAGCAGCCTTCATGAAGGGAGCAGGCTGCCGCGCCCTCGTCATTGCGCCCCTCTTCGGCATCGCCCAAGGCGTCTATTTCCTTGGTATTGGGGAGCTCGTCTTACGGGGGTTACAGTAGCTCTTGCTGGGTGCAAGGCCCATGTCCTAGTCTGGAGAGGTGACAGGAGAGGAAAGCATCCGCCTCTAGCGCTACCTGTGCCTCAGACACAGCCCTACTCCAATAGGCAAGCCAGCCCCCCAAAGCTGCATCTGTGTCCTGTGGCAGTGCAGCTACAAGGCCACTCAGAGGCCCCTCAACAGCGCTGGCCTGGGCTGGCTGCACAGTCCTGCCAGCAGGGAACGCACAGGGCCCTTCCCGCATTTCGCACTGCCTTTCCTCATTCGAGCTCGGTGCAGATGAGTCAAGAGAGGATTTAGTGTTGTTAGTCTCAAGTTAACTAACCTATGGTCAAGTAGTAGCACTGATGTTAAAGAGAGGGGTCAGGGCCCCAAGGGGACCAGGGCCGGCATCACAGACATGGCTGGAGCCAGCAGCTGCCTTGCTGGGTCCTCCCGATGACACCACGGGACACCGGCTGAAATAAAGCTCAATGCAGAGGAACCCTGTGTGCTGCCTTCCTTTGTATGTCTGCTTCGGAGCCAAGCTAGTTTGTAGGCCCTGCAGCAGCCACTGCCGTGCTGCCAGCAGTCACTCAGGAGGCTGGGGAGACCCACAGGGGTGCTAATTTTACTCTGGGTTTTGAGGTCTTGCTTCCTCTTTCCAGAAGCCTGATCTTAGGGAACTGGCTCTGCTGTGACAGAGTTCCTCCTCCGGTAGCTGCTACAGAGAAAATAAAGTCACACAAAGGAAGCTGAGTTCCAGGGGAAATACCCGTGCGAAGAGCTGGTACCTGCTTTAGTCCCCCCAAACCTAAAATTGGTCACCGAGGGGGCAGGCGGTGCCACAGGAGCTAACCCCGGCTTTCAAGATGGACTCAGACAAGGCCCAGCTCTGCCCTCAACACGCTCTGAGTCCTTGGGCAGCTCTCAGCTGCTTACCTGAGGACCCAGACTGGGGAGAGGGAGGAAGAAAAGTTCTCTGCACGTCCATTTTGCCAAGCACAAGGTAACCTTGCCAAAATTCAGTTTCTTTTTTACACTGCCCAAACGAATAAAACGATTTCCTCAGTAAAGTTGTACAAGTTACAGAGCTGGGGTGTAGCTTACCTCACCATGCATGAGGTCTTGTTGGCAACCTCTAATATTAAAACAAAAAAACCTTTTTGCCATGGAGCCTTGCTGTATCACCCAGACAGGCCCTGAGCTCTGGGCTCAAGGGATCCCCCTGCCTCAGTCTCCCGAGCAGCTGAGACTGTAGGCACTGGCCACCACACCTGGCAGAACATATTCTCAAACCACAAGTCTGCAGTGACTTACATAAGGAATTACAATTAAATCCACATAAACCTTTTGTTTTAATAAATAAAGAATTTTCATGGTTTAGTTTTTAAATCACATTTACAGACGAGGAAAACTTCTAGGCCTAAAGAGGTAACGTACTGTGGGGAGGGGTACAGCTTCCACTTAAAGTACAGGGCCAGCATGCGTGTTGCTCTAGACAGGGGAGGAGTGCGGGGTGGGGTGGGGGCACGACAGGCTGAGGGGTGCACACTGAGTGAGCCCCTCCCACTGCTACCAAAAGGCGGCGTCAAGGGTAAAGGTGGAACCGTGGAGGGGCAGCGGAGAGGAAGCCACACAGAGAACCTTGCTTCTTCAGATGGCGCACAGGACAAACTCCACCTCTCCAAGCTAGTCCAGAAACTTCCTGTTTGCATTTGCACCAAACAAGGCTCCCCGAACCTCTGGCATCATCTGGAAAGAAAGAATAATAAGCACCACTGACTGGGGAACTTGTCAAGAGCTGCACCTCCGACCCTGGGCAGACAGCTGGAGGCTCAGGAGGCTCAGCGCACACAACTGGCCCCTTGCTCATCAGACATAGTGCGGGGAGACGTGACCAACCCATGCTGCTTACAGAAGTGAAAACAAAACTTGAAGTGCTGTCTCCGCCCTGTCTTGCTGCCATGGAGGGAGAAGAGAGGAACCCACGAGCAGTATCACCTCCTCAGGACCCCACACGGCCTCCACCCTTACACTACTGGGCGCCCACTGGTGCTGGCTGTGGGTGACTACGGAGATGAATACCAGATCGTGCTCACACACTCATGGTAATGACTAGTAAATCCTAAGGATTTTGAGGGGTACCTGAAATCAAACTCAAGGCCTCCTGCTTGCTAGGCTGGGACTGTGCTGCTAAGCTCTATCCTGGCCCCGTAGGAGGATGGGATTTCAAACTTCTCCCCAGTGCTGAGGAATTAACCCCAGGGCCTTTACACACCCATAGCTGCACTTAAAAATAACTTTCTCACCAAGTCACAGGCTGGCTTAAGCACAGAAGGTGAGTACCACACTGACTGCTTAGCTACCCCCCAAACCCTAAGGCTGTGCTGGGTCACAAGGCAGCCACCAGCAGCACGTGACTACTGCCCATTTGCCCCATGACTGGTGAGATGGAAAATCTTAGTGTGGTACTGAGTACAGAATCCACCAGGGCCTGGCGCGTGCAGAGCGGGCTCCAGCATGAAGCCCCACTCCCCACGGAGTGGGTTAAACACCAGGGGCCAGTGCGCTGGACTCACATTATCAAGTGATGACACTCACTCGCTTTGGTCATGAGATCAGCGTGCACCTCAGCAGGTTAGAGCCCGTGAGTTAGGAAGCAGCTCAGTGACAGCCACAGCAGTAGGCCACCGCTGCAGGAGGACGCCAGCATGGGCACTCTGCTGGCTCCTTTCCTAGAGGTGGACAGGGCTAAAGAGCGAGAAGCCTTCCTTCTAACACTGCCTTCAAATACTCCAGTTCTTGTCATTCCTTGTTCTGTTCATGTTTTTTTGTTTTGTTTTTGGTACCAGGGATCAAACTCATGACCTTGTGCTTACCAGGCAGGCACTTATGCTGCTGAGCTGTATCCCCAGCCCTTCTCTTTTTTAAAATGAGCTATATTTGGTGATATTTTAACTTGGTAACTTTATCACTATGTAATATATAAAGATGTGTTTAATATAGTCTTGGTTTGGGGCAGTAGCTCAGCAGCACGATGCCACCTGACAAGTAAGAAGTCCTGAGTTGGATTCGCAGTGTCTAAAAACACAACAAAAAACACTTATGCCTTCATTATGCAGTTGTAATCCGGCCTGGGATTTGTTCACATGTAGAGGGAAAGCACATACATGGAGACACACCCAGCTGTAAGCAACACAGATCACTTAAGTGGGTCTCCAAATTTTAAGACGATTTCTGTGAAATCAGAAAAACATCAGAGTTATACATGTAACCGAGTTTGACATCTTTCTGCTCCAGAGTGAGTGCGTCTCCGGCCTTGCTGGAGGCCGGTGGCAGGACTTCCCTGTTAGAGCTAAGCATCCCTGCACACAACCCCGGAGTAACAAGGCTGGGCTTAGACTCCAAACTCCACACAAGTGCCAGCAGCTTGGTAAATACCATCGCTTGCCTGACCCCCTTCCTTTTCAGAGAACAGAAGACGTGGAGGGCAAAACCCTCAATACCCACTCATGAATATGCCTTCTTGTGCCACTTCAGAGCTATCAGCAGCCTGGGTGACAAGCAGCCCCACTCACCTGCTGGGCTATGAGATCCAGCCGGCTCTCCAGGGTGTTGGAGACTTTTATTTTGCGATCCCCATTATAGATTTCAACTCCCCCAGCTCTACAAAGAACAGAGAAAATAACTTTGGAGGAAGGCAAACATATGTCATAATGACCCCCGCCCCCAAGAAAGTAGGCAGCACGAGCGGCTGACTTGAAATGAATTCAAAACACTTCTAAGCACTGAAGGTACCAGTGGCACTAACACGTCACTTTAAGTGACAGCACCTACCTTAACCCTAACAGCACCCCCCAACCCAATGAAAGGGGAGATTTCTCCTCTCTTCGTCTATACTGAAGCTGTAAAGCCCAAGGCGTCTTTAGAGCCACTTCCTGCCTGCAGCCTCACACTGTCACTCTTGGAGTGCCCCCAGTCAGCCCTCCCATCACCCTGGTCACCGCTTCCTGCATAGTCTCCAAGCACTGAAGGCATAAAACAAACATGTCAAACCGTTTCATAAGGAAACTTAAAAAGGATGAAATCCACTTACTACATAATGTTATCAAGTGTTTCTAGGAATGAGCAGCCCATCAAACAAATGCTAGAAAAGGTTTTGCAAGTTTTCTTTGGGAAAAAAAAATTTTTTTTTTTTGGCACTGGGGGTTGAACTACGTGCTCTGCCCTTTTTATCTAACGTTGAGACAGCAGTCACTGAGTTGATCAGGTGGGGCTCAGCCCTGCGATCCGCCTGCCCCAGCCTCCCAGAGTGCTGGGATTATGATTGTGCACCACTGTGCCTGGTTCTTTGGAAAATGTTGATAAAGATCATTGTGTTTTCTCTTCTTGCATCTCCCCAGTCTTCCCCTTTGTTTCATTTGCTTGTGGTTTTCCTAAACGGCCTGTATTCCTCCTAAAGGTCCAGCGGCTCCTTGCTGAAATCTTGCCTATATGAAGCGTTATGCTGTTTGCGTCGGGAGCAGAAGGAAGGAGCCCCAAGAATGGGCTGCCACCGCCCGTCAGTCTGCCCACAGGATTCCGGTCCTCTTGTTTAGCCTTTCCAGTGCTCTGTGAGTTGCAGTATACACACCACTTTACAAATAAGGAAATGGGCTTGAAGGATAAAATAAGCAAAATGAAGGGACGACCACCCTGCAGGGACTTTTTAAAGACATGGTCTTGGGGCTGGGGATTTAGCTCAGCGGCATAAGCGCCTGCCTTGCAAGCAGGCAGTCATGAGTTCGATCCCTGGTACCAAAAAAAAAAAAAAGAAAAAAAAAAAAAAAAAAGACATGGTCTTGCTATATAGTCCAGGCCAGACATGAACTCCTGCCTCAGCCTCCCAAGTGCTAGAATCTCAGGCGTGTACCACCATGCCTGGCTCTGACAAGCTTTACATGTCACTTTGCCTCGAATAAACCTATAAACCCTTACCAATTTGAAAGGCTTTGATTAAAAACACCGAAAGCACTGAATGTGGCTCTGAAACTGAAAGTGGTCTCCAGTTAGTGGGCAGTGCTGCCTGGCAAACCTCCTTCTGCTCATCCCTTGTGCTGACTGCATCTGTCCCACTAAGCAACCTTAGCACAGCTAATGCTGGGTTAGGCCTCAGTCCCTGCATTACAGACACTCAAAACACACCTGGCCCCAAGACCTCAGGGGAGGAACAGGGTCCCTCTCATTTGCTTTGCTGTACGAGGGTCTTTAATGGGACTCATTAGTCATCAGCCCCTGGACTGAGGCCTGACGCCTCACTGAAGTTTAATCACAAGTCCAAGGTTACAGCCAGGGGCTGGGTACACAGCTCCATGGCACAGCAAGTGCAAGGTCCTGAGGTGATTTCCAGTTCCAAAAAAACAAGATTATAGCTAGTACGTGGCAGAATGGAGAATCAGAGAAAAAGAGAGAGAAAAGAAGAAACAAATCTGAGCACATGTGAGGCCCTGGGTTTAATCGCTAGTGCACCAACAAAAGTCCCCAACTCCGATGATGTTCTCAGGTCTAGTCTCACACGCTCTACTACACATTGAGCATGTCTGTCCGAGGACTCTGTCCCGCGGGGCTCAGCAGAGCGGGCAGATGGCACCAGACACGTGACACACACATGACTTGGAGACCTTAGACCCACTCCGGTCAGGAGATCCTAACCCTGCCCAAAAGCACCAAAGTTACTGGGGTTAGTAACCAAAGTTACTAGACCAGGGCTGCCACCTTCTCAGTCAGTAAAACGCCATGGCTACGTGAAGCTCATTATGGGATAATTATGGGTATGCGTAGTGATCATTATTTTTCTGGTTTCTTTGGTTCAAATCCAGGTGCTTACCAACACTAGGCAAGGCGCATCGCACCCCAGTGTTGTTTCTGATGACTCCTTAGGAGCAGCCACCACCCAGCATTTGGAGGCTCAGAAAGGAGGATCTTGGGTTCAAAATCAGGCAAGATCCGCTCAAAAAAAAAAAAAAACAAAAGTGTGGTAACACACATCTGTAAGTCCCCACTCTGAAGGCTGAAGCAGGAAGTCTGACCCCAGCATTGGCAACAGAGTGAGATGATCTCAGGAGTGGGGTGGCCCTGGGGACGTAGCTCAGTGAGAAGCCTTGGGTTCAACCCCCAGTACCACAAAGAAAACAAAGATGTGGGGATTACCTTCCTCAGCACCCAACACGGACAGCTGTGCTACAAGAGAGCTGCATCCCTTAACTCAAAACGCAAAACTTTAAAAAGGCCCAGCCAGCACTTAGAAGGCTGACGCAGGAGAACCACTGACAGGCTAAGGCCAGCAGGGGCTACATAGGGAGACCCTGTCTCAAAAATAAAAGGAAAAGAAAAGAAACAACAAGAAGGACAAAGAAAAAAAAGAGAGAGAGAAAGAAAAGCAGGAAGGAAGGACCAATGAACAAACACTTCTTACATGTCCTCAGGCAGGTAGGCCTCCTGATCAATTTGAACATCAACATCTTTCTTGGTGGCAATTTTGTACATAGGGATTGCTTTTTGCACTGCAGCCTGAAAAACAGAAAAGAATGAAATATTAAAAACAGAAGAAGGATGAAAGATTGAACGAACTATAGAGCAGATACTGCAAACAAGTTAAAAAAAAAAAAAAACAATATACAAGCAAGGGTTAGCCTTCTAATCTTAAACACACAGCAGCAAGACTCTCAAAAAAAGTTAAATAAGTTAAAAAATTTAAAGATGCTCTGCTAGGGGCTGGGGATTTAGCTTGGGGCTGGGGATTTAGCTCGGCGGCATAAGCGCCTGCCTTGCAAGCAGGCAGTCGTGAGTTCAATCCCTGGTACCGATAAAAATGAAAAAGACAAAAAAAAAAAAAAGTGCTCTGCTAATAGGAATGAAAACTGGTGCTACACGGGGGAGGGGGTAAAAAGACAGCCTGCACGTGGGAGGGATGAAAGGCAGGGTGTTCCTGTGACACCCAAAGGGCCCGGCAGCTAGCTAAGCAGGGCAGGGAGAGACTGCAGCTTTGAAGAGCAGGAAGACATTATCAGCTGAGCAAGAGCACTAGGGCTTTCAAGGGAGCTGGGACTGAGAAGAGAGTACGTATGTTCTTTTTAAGACATATGCAATTTCTGTCACACTGGGAATAAACCATGGGCTTCACACATGGTAAGCAGATGGTTCACCACCTGGCCACACCCCCAAGCCAGTGCTGACCCCTAAGTCTAGTACTGACAGTCACAAAGGAGAGGGTGACAGCAAACTTAAGAAAGTGGTGCTACTTTATGTCATCAGAATAGATAACAGCCAGGAGAGGGCACACTTGTAGTCCCGGCTACTGGCCAGGGCAAGGCCAGAGGGCCGCCTGTACCCAGAGCTCATGGACAGTGCGGATAATGCAGCAAGACCTGGCACCAAGAAAACAAGACAGAAGAAAACCCACGGGCACCAACACACAAGCACTGACGACGACGGGTTTGGCTGGGGAGACACTGACCAACACGGCTGATGGAAGAATTGAGATACTTTCTCCAGGGACCAAACCCAATTACCCACAGTCCAACTCCTCTGGCTCTGGTGAACAACTAATGAGCAAGAGGAAGGACTCAGGAAGGTACCTGCATTTCTTTTTTATTTCTTTTTTCCAAGTCCATTTTATTTCAAGGAGAAAAAAAGAAAAAAAGCTAAAATTTCAAAAGGCGTCAATCAGGGGCAACAATGGTACACACACTGTGTACTGTCACCCCAAATCATTCACCCAGAGCACAGGACAGGAGTATTCAGGTGTCCAAACAATACCAGCACAAATTTTTCTCTTCAGTGAACTTAAATCAGTAGTATAACCATCTTCACTATTTTTATTTGTCTTTTTGAGACAGGGTCCTGCTATGCAGTTCAGGCTGGCCTTGAGCTCACTTTGTAGCCCAGGCTGGTCTCGAACTCACAACGATCCTCCTGCCTCAGCCTCCTGAGTGCTGGAATTACAGGCTTGAGCCACCACGCCCAGCTTCTTCACTATTTTTTATGTATGTATACATACATATGTACCTATGTTGTTTCAGCCTCTTACACTAATGAGACAATACAATGTTTACAGGTGTGTTTTATTTACTTCATTAATGAGTATTGTCTCAAGTTGCATCCATATAAAATAAACTGGAGTTTATTCCTGTTTATGGCTAAATAGTACTCCACTGTATAAAAATACCACAGTTTTATCCATCCCTCTGTACTTGCACTTCTATCAACAGAGAAACGATATCCCAATAACCAGAAGGTGAAAATGACCCAAGCATCATCATTGGAGGAATGGATAAGCAAAATGTAGCTATGTATGATGAGGTATTATTAGTCTTAAAAGGGAATGAGGCCGGTATAATGGTTTATGCATAATCCCAGCATTCCCATAGGCTGAGACAGGAGGATCGAAAGTTCCAGCCCAGTCCAAGCAGTTTAGCAACTTAATCTCAACTTATCTCAAAACAGTAAGTTTTTTTGTTTTGTTTTTTTTGGTGCCAGAGATCAAACTCACAACCTCGTGCTTGCCAGGTAAGCACTTAGGCCACAGAGCTAAATCCCCGGTCCTTCAAAATATTAAGGTTTTTTGGGGCTGGAGATTTAGCTCAGTAAGGTTTTTTTCTTTTCTTTTTTTTCTTTCTTCTTTTTTTTTTTTTTTTTTGTCTTTTTCGTTTTTATCGGTACCAGGGATCGAACTCACGACTGCCTGCTTGCAAGGCAGGCACTTATGCTGCTGAGCTAAATCTCCAGCCCCTCAAAATGGTAAGTTTTTAAAAAAAGGCTGAAGACAGATCTGTGTAAATGCCCAGGGTACAACCGCAGTACTACAAAATAAATAAATAAGCAAGTAAATACATAAATAAATTCCCCCTCCCAAGTACTTTACCTTTACCAAAGGGAAATCTTGCTTCCTGCACCGCACAATCATTCGGGGCTCTAACAGCTGGTACAAACCCTGTAAGAAACAATCAGGAGAAAAGAAAAAAAAAAAGGATCAGGCATCACCAGGGGAAAATGCAGACTACCTCTAACACACCTTCACTGTGGCACAGGGAGAACTGGGACCCCGTAAGCACAGAGGCGCAGAGGCCAGCGCCAGGGTATGACAGGGCACAGCCTGATGAACAGACCAGTGCTGAGGGTTCAGCCCACTCTATCAACCACACGCTTCGACCACACGCTTCGTCCTCAGCATGAGTCAAACAAGGGTTCACAGCCTCACGCTAAGCAATGACAGCTGAAGCAAATGGTAAAAAAATCAAACTGAGGTAGTTGAAAACTGAAGGCTGCAAGATCTGAGCCTCACCTTCTAGAGGACAGTGAGACTGTCAGAGTGATACACCGGGAAGCCTCAATCTCATCCATTTGGCCTCCGCCCCGTTTTCCTTTACTATGCTCCAGTGTAGCAGGGGGGTTTTTGGTACTGGGAAGTGAATTCAGGACCCTGTACTTGTAGATGGGTGCTTATCCACTGAGCTGGATCCCCGGCCTCTTGCAATATGGTTCAGGCTCACCTTGAACTCACTATGTAGCCCAGGCTGGTCCTGAATTCACAGTGACCCTCATGCTTTATCGGTACTGGGGATCAAACTCACGACCATGCGCTTGCAAGGCAAGCGCTTATGCTGCTGAGCTAAATCCCCAGCTCCTCTTTATCCTTATTTCGTTATAGACAAAGAAGAAAGAACAAACCGCATAAAGTCATTCAAAATCTGGCCTCCTGAGTGCTGGGATTACAGGCGTGTGCCACCGTGCCCAACTTTTAATTTTTTCTTTTTTCTTTTTGGAAACAGGGTGTTATAGTTTGTGTCTGGATGTTCCCCTCAAGCCTCATTGCAGTCATGGGAGGCTTTCAAAGGCAGCTGATTCTAGTGTTTGTGATTGGTCCGCTGTCTAGTGCTGGGATTGGCAGTGTGAGTGCTGCATCTGCCCTGGGGCAGGGAGCTTGCACACAATGTGAGTGAGGGAAAGAGGCGTGCTTTCCCATTTTGCTCTTGTTGGCATTGGCATCTGCTGGAGCCGCCACGAACTGCTGCCCCTCAGCCACGCCACCTTGCTCTGGAGCCTGCTGATTATGGACTGAAACCTTCACTGACTGTGAGCTAAATTAACCTTCCTTCCTTAATTTTGGGTGCTGGGTATTTTGTCTCAGCAATGAGAGAAAAATAACCAAGACTCAGGGTACTGCTTGGTCACCTGGGTTGGACTTGGCTCAAAGTTGTAATTCTCCTGCCTCAGCTTCCTAAGCCCACCAGTGTGGGCTGTCACACCTGTGCCTCAAACAAAGTGGAGGCAAGGAAAACAGTCAGGATGAGGAAACAGAAAAAGAGCTGGTGTCTAACAGAACTGAAATTTTCTTTTTTGGTTTCTTGAGACAGGGTCCCACTATGTAATACAGGCTGGCCTTGAACTGGGCGACCCTCCTGCTTCAGCCTCCCAAGTGTCAGGATTACAGGTGTGTGCCACCTTGCCTGCAGATCCTATGACTTTCTTAGTATGACCACACATGGTAGATGTGGCTTGTAATACCTGGCACACACCAGGTTTGGTGGCACATGCCTATAATCTCAGCACTAGGGAGGCTGAGTACAGGAGAATCACCAAGAGTTTGAGGCCAGCCCAAATCACATGGCAAGACCCTGTCTCAAAAGGAAAACAAAAAGAGAGAATACCTGGAGCACCAGTCCATCCAGTAGTACTTGGTACCTGGTTGTATCTTTTACCACCTTGCTGAGTCTCTGCTTTGCTTCAGTTAGCAGGTCCTGCAAAGAGTAGAAAACAGAAGTTCTGTGCACATCAGAGTAGTTAGGTCAGGAAGCCATGCAAGGCCTCACTTCAAGGTCCATGCTCAGGCAGGGGCTAGAACACCCTGGCGCGCCCAGATGGCTCAGCATGGCAGAGCACCCATGTAACGCAGCTTCGAGAGCAATCTGTTGGGATGGTCTGATGAAACTGTGCCTTTCTTTCTGTGGTCCCGGGGACAGAACCCAGAGCCTTGTGCATGCTGTACCTTACTCTACCCAGCTCCAGCCCCACTCTACTTGGCCTCAGCCCCAACTTTTTATTACAATACTGCATGCTGCAAAATATCTGAGAATAGATCAAAACAGCAACAACTAGTCTTTGGGAGGCCAGATTTTGAATGACTTTATGCAGTTTGTTCTTTCTTCTTTGTCTATAACGAAATAAGGATAAAGAGGAGCTGGGGATTTAGCTCAGCAGCATAAGTGCTTGCCTTGCAAGCGCATGGTCGTGAGTTTGATCCCCAGTACCGATAAAAAAAAAAGGATAAGGATAGGCGATAAAAAAAAAAGGATAAGGATAGGCGTGGCAGTGCACACCTGTGGTCCCTGCGTTCTGGAATCACAAGTCTGAGGCTAGCCTAGGCTACATAGTAAGAGTTCAAGCCGATCTGACTACACAAACAAGACCTTGCAGCCAGGCGTGGTGGCTCACACCTATAATCCCAACACTTGGGAGGCTGAGGCAGGAGGAATTGTGGTGAGTTCCAGACCAGCCTGAACTGCATAGTGAAACCCTGTCTCAAAAACACAAAAAAAAGAAAAAAGAAAAAAAGACAAAAAAAAGAAAAAGACCTTGCTCAAAAAAATGGAAACTGTAGAGCCACACATGGCCAGCAAGATGATACTACCAATGGGAAAGACAATCGTTATCATCTTATAGGAACTCGGTTTTTTTCTTCTTTTTATCCTTGAGATAAACTTGGGGAAAAAAAATTACCTGTTTACAAAGAGGAATGACTGCCCATTTAAGACTCCCTCCCCCAATACTAGGGACTGAATCCCGAGTCTTTGCAACTCACCTACATCCCCAGTCCTTTTCAAATTTTGAGGCAGGGGTCCCACTAAGCCTGAACTTGCAATCATCCAGCCTCAGCCTGAGTGCTGGGATTACAGGTGCATGCTACCATGCCCAGTTCGTAGGGAATGACTTGTCACTTTCCTTGCAACCTGGTTATTGTTGGCACACAGGAAAAGCATGCATTTCTCTGCATTCTCTCTAGAGCCCAGTAACTTTCCTGGATGAATTACTAGTTCTGCATGGATAACTGTACCTGCAAAAAATGGTAATTGATTCTTCCTTGCCAGTACTTACCTTCATTCTCCATTTCAGGAATCGAAGGCCTCCACAGCAAGGAGTAATCGAGAAACACAGGTACCTGTGTGGTTCCTGAATACAAGAACTTCCTGGGCAAAGCGCTGTGCTCTGTAGGTTTCTGTCCTCTTCCTTGTGTGACTAACACACTTCCCCTCCTCTTCCTGGTTCTCATGTTTCCCATGTTACACTTAGCCCACACTCTCATACCATGGGCCGTGCCGATGTCCAGCCACAGAATAAAGCCCCAGTGTTTCTCTGCAAGAGCCAGTAGCCACTCACCCTGCCCATCTCCACCTCCCACACGTGTAGGACTCAGGAGAGCCTCACGCTCTGCTTGGTCAGAAAAGCCCTTGAGGTCAGGGCCTATCTCTGACTTACGTGTGCACCTATCACACATAATACCCAGTGGGATCGGCATGAACAAATGCCACTGAAAATGATTCTCTGACCCTTGATGGTAGCCAGGGACTTGGTGTAATGGGCAAATGAATAAATATTTTATAATTTTATAACTGACAGATCTAATTACTCACAGTGATAAGATCATCTCTTGCTCTGAGGACTTTCAGCCTTGCTTGATTCATCAAGTTGGACATCTTACTGCAAAGTCAAGGGACAATAGTATCAGGGCACCCCACAGCAAACAAAAACCAGAGGGAAAAAATACAGCGCCCTCCTGTGTACGAATTTAATAAGCAACAAAGTGCTCTCTTCCTAACAACCCAAGGGATCTGCACTGAGATAGATTTAAAGGTTTCTCTCAACTTATTTTCAAAAGGACAGCGGGCATGGTGGTTCATGCCCATAATGTAATCCTGGCACTCGGAAGGCTGAGTCAGGGAGATTACCTCAAATTCAAGGCCATCCTGGACTACAGAAGAGACCCTGTCTCAAAAATGAAAACCAAGGACATATTTCAGGCGTGCTTACCATGTGGCTAGGACTTGCACATTAGTGTTTTCAATTTAATCTTTCAACACCCGCATGAGGGAGGAGGATGGAGCTCAGTGGTCACGTCCCTTGCCTAGCAGGAGCACAGCCCCAGCACCACAAAAGGAAAGCCGCCTCGGTCTTCAAAAGGAATGAGAAAGCAGTTGAATTGCTTTCCCAGGTCAGCAAATAGAGACAGGGTGGCTAAGACCTGGACTCCAAAGTGCCTGCTGCTCTCTTCTCACTGACCATCTGGGGGTGGCTGAGAGGTGGTGCAGGGCTGGGCCCGGCCATCACCCAGGTGGAGCCAGTCCCCGGGACCCATCTGCAGCTCTGCTCACTCCGGGGGCTCCTCAGCTCTGCCTCCCCGCCCTTGACCATGCTCCACCTACATTTTCTTCTGCTGCTCGATCTGCTTCTCCTTCTTCTCATAGTACTCCATTATCTTCAGTCTCTGGGTTTGCACGAGCCTACCCTTCTCAATGTTGAATTCTTCTTCTGCCTGTGAGGGAACAGATTAACACGGATTCATTTTAAAAACCACATTAATTCATGCATTTAGATCTTGGCAAACGCTTTTTTTTTTTTTGAGATAGGTTGGCCTAGAACTCACTATGTGGCCCTGGCTGGCCCTGGACTTAGGCAATTCCCCTGCCTCCGCCTCCAGACTGCTGGGATGACAGACGTGCACCACCACACCCTGCAGTGTTGGTAAAGGATATGGTCCCTTATTTATGATCACTTATTTCACATCTAAAACCGAAGTTATTGTGATGCTCATCTTCAAATTGCCAATTTATTTGCAAAGAACAACCAGTGCTTTTTACCATAAATAATGAACCAGGAAAGTAAAAATTTTAATCAAGGATTACAGTACCCAAATTAGGAGTGCTGGACCATGGCTGTAATCCCAGGACTCTGGGGGGCTGAGGCAGGAGGATTACAAATCCAAGCCCTGCCAGGGACAAAGCTAAAAGAGAAAACGAAATGAAGGGGAGATAATATAGCTGAGTGTGAAAACCTGGGATTCCCACTCCAGTATTGAGCCTTCTCAAAAAGCGCTACCCGGGCCCAGAGGTATGAAAGGTGTAATCAGATCTTGTTCATGACGGGGGGGGGGGGGGTGTCACATAAACGGTATGTTCTATAGCTCACCTTTCTTAGTCACAGGCTAATAATGAAAAGAACCCAGAATTGGGTTTACTGCCTACAAAGTTTGCTCAGTAACTTCAGTCTTAATGACCTGTCTTGTAAATGCAATGATTAAACACAGTATTCTTCTGTTAGCTGGAAAAATATGCCAAGTTTAAGAATCCCTTCTAAATTATAAATTATACAAACACACACTACTGGTTTCATTTAGTGCAAATTACTGAGTGGACACAAAAATGTTTTGGTAATGTATTAAGTAACTATGATTTTCAAGCAGTAAGGAATTAGGATTATGGGAAATTTAGCTAAAATTACTAATTCAGAGGTTTACGCCTGACACAGGCACTTACAAAAATTTAAGATAAATGCCTTGGGCTGGGATTATAGCTCAGCAGCACCAATTCCCAGTACCAAAAACAAACCAGCCAAAAAAGGGGATAAATGCCTAATCCTAGCACTCTGAAGGCTGAGGACTGCTACAAATTTGAGGCTAGCCTGAGCTACATAGTGAGTTCAAGGCGACCTTGAACTACATAGGGAAACCCTGTCTCAGAAAACCAAAAAGAAAAAAAAGAAAAGAAATGATAATTGGTACAAATAATGTACAACCAGAAATATCTGTAATTTAAAATTTTTTTTATTTTTGTAAAACTGGGGATTGAAAAAAAATCCCCCATCCTCAGAACGGAAAAAAAAAAAAGAATTTTCAATGCTGACAGACTTAGCTGTGGTTCACCTTTAATGCCAGCACTCTGGCAGGCTGAGGCAGGAGGATGTAATTTTTTTTTCCCCCATTCTATTCCATGGGAAGGAGGATATAATTTTGAACCAGCCCACATAACTTAGCAGGATCCTCTCTCCAAATAAAAAATGAGGGGCCAGGGATGTAGCTCAGTGGCACAGGTGCCTGCCTGGCAAGCGCAAGGTCCTGAGTTTGATTCCCAGTACCAAAGAAATAAAATTAAATTAAATTTAAAAAGGGCTGAGAATCTAGCTAAGTACAAGTCCATGAGTTCAATCCCCTGTACTGGGGGAAAAAGAAGAAAAAAAAAACCTGTAAGTGGTGTCACTTCTGTGATCTGCTCACTCTGTAGCCCAGGATGGTCTCAATCTTGCAACAATCCTCCTGCCTCAACCTTCTGAGTGCTGGTATTACAGGCATGTACCATCAGGCCTGGTTAGGGCTCTCATTTTATACTGAATATACCGGCAAAGTTCACTTTTTTCAACTCTGTCTTTTTTCTTTTTTTGGTAATGGGGATCGACATGATCTTGCACTTGCCAGGCAGACTCTTGTGTCACTGAGCTAAATCCCCAGACCCTACAACACACTCTTATTAGAAAAGCAAGACAAAAACAAAGTATTATAGCCCTAGCCAACTATGACAATAATCACAGGTGCTAAATGTCTGAATTCTGAATTCCATGAGAAAATGAACCCATCTATTACTTTTCTACCCATAACAAAATTCAGGACACTTATTAGCAATCAGGAAAGATAGAAAAATTACTCATTCTTTTTCTTTTTAACTTGCAATGAGGGTTGAACCCAAGGCCTCCTGTGTGCCAGGCAAGCACAATACCACTGAGTCAATCTCAGCCCATTAAATTCAACATTAAAGATACAGACATGGCCTTATGAGTCCTACATGATGTACTGTTTTAGTCTTTATGAGACGGGGTCTCGCAATGCAATTCAGGCTGGCTTTGAGCTCACTTTGTAGCCTAGGCTGGTCTCAAACTTGCAAGGATCCTCCTGCCTCAGCCTCTGGAGTGCTGAGATTACTGGCTTTGCCATCACACCCAATACATGACGTACTGTTAAACAATTATAACCATGACATTGCTTAGCAAAACAAAGCAGTAGAAAACTTTGATAACTTCTTAAAACTAGAAAGTAGAACTCACCTTTGCATCTATTTCTTCAGCTTTCTCATTGGCTTCTTGTTCAATAAAAGCCATCATATGCTTAATCTGTAAGAAAAACACTAGTTTTGAATCAAAATGGGAAGAAAACATAGTTTCAATCTTTTCTGATTTATTCAATAATTACCAGTTAAGTGCAGGCCACATGGCAATCACTGAATACAGGATAAATGAGACAGTTTCTGCCTGCAGGAAAATCTACAATTTGCAATTTTTTCCAGCACATGGGCACACATTTAACCACACAGACAAACAGCCCTGTCCAGCGCTCCAGGACCTGAACTGTTTGAGAGGACACTCCCACACCTTCTCCACTTCACTCCTGCAGCCAGTGCTCCTCTCTTCCCCACTCTAACAAAGCCTGTTCAAAAGCCACCTCCAGGGGCAGCACAGGCCTGTGAGCTCAGCACTCGGGAGGCTGATGCAGGAGGACTGCAAGTTTGAGCCCCCCCCCCCCCCCCCGTAACTGAGTGAGGCCCTGTCTCAACATAAAACTTTTACAGGGGCCACGGATGCAGCTCAGTGCAGAAAATCGGGTTCAACTGGCATGGGGGAGGGGCACTCCTATTTACCCTGTCAACACACCTCGATCCAATACCCCCCAAAGTGACCTTAATCCCTTTGTCCCTGAGCGCCACTACTGCCTCACTAGATATGGCCACCAGCATGCCTTCCTGGAGATCTTGCCTAGGCTTCTGTGACTTCCTCTCTTCTCCCCTTCTAGTCTGCTGTATGGCTATACCCTCCTTCCTCCGGCCCCTAGACAGCTTTTTCGGGAGAGTGCCCTTTTCACAATAACCCACAACAAGTCTCACCTAACCACAGTCTCTCCCTCTCCACCTCCCCTGTCACCTCCATGCTGGGCTTAGTCCAAGCTGGGTCCTTACAGCCAATCACCAAGTCTGACTGAGTCTCTCTTTCAATATTTTTAAAATCTATAGGTCTGGGGATTTAGCGTGGCATATGTGCCTCTCCAGGAATCACCAGGTCCTGAGTTTGATCCCTGGTACCAAAAGAAAAAAAAAATCTGCCCGCAGCTCTTCAGAGGCACTAACTAACTGCTGCCATCTCCTCTGTTAAATTATCATCACAATGCCCAAATAGCTCCCTGCTTCCAGCCCTGCTCCTTGTTTCATCTACTCTACGCTGCAAGCAGAGATGCTTTAAAAATGCTGGGTGGAGGTGGGGAGTGGAACATGCCTATAATCCCAGCTCTTGGAGGCTGAGGCAGGAGGGTTGTCATGAGTTTGAAGCCAGCCATAGTGAGTTCACAGCTGGCCTGAATTACGCGGCAAAACCCAGTGCAGAAAACCAAAAAAAAAAAATTTTTTTAAGTGCCAGGTTCTCCTGTGTCCCTCCACCCTTAAAATAAAGTGCAGATTTTATTTTATTTTTTTGAATTAAAAAAAAATTTTTTTTTGTCTTTTTCCTTTTTATCGGTACCGGGGATCGAACTCACGACAGCCTGCTTACAAGGCAGGCGCTTATGACACTGAGCTAAATCTCCAGCCCCAAAGTGCAGATTTTAGAAGGTACGTCATCTGATGCTGTCTTACTTTTCCAGCACCATGTGAAACAAACCCTGTACTACTCACAGCTCTTCAGGCTTTTCGTTCCTTTAGTCCCTAGAGCTTATCTTTTTTTCTTACCTGACATGACAAAGACACTCCTCTTTCACCTCTTCATTTTCCTAACATCTCAGACCCAGCTTAACTACTACCTCCTTTGTGAAATCTTTCCTAAACTTCCCACCATAACCACCTGGGCAAGTTGCTACTTCCATTGCCACAGTGACTAAACACCTTTCCACAACTAAATTACCAGGCTGAGAACCTGTTCAATAGGTTTGGAGCACAACGGAAGCATAGTCTACTGTAGGCTTCTAAAAGGAGTTTAGGCTGGGCAGGGTAAACACCCCTGTAATCCTGGTACTTGGGAGACGGAGGCTGGAGGATCTCTGTGAGCTCGAGGCTAGCCTGCACAACATGGTGAATTCAGGGTTAACCTAAACTACATAGCGAGACCCTGTTTCAAAAAAAAAAAAATCTGACCAAAGGATATAGCTCAGCAGCACAGTGCCTGCCTGGCGAGCAAGTGGTTTTGAACTGAATTCCAGGCACTGGGGAAAAAAAATCAGTAGAAACAACAACCTGACCTGGGGCAAGGGCTCAGTGGTACAGGGTGTGCCTAGCACACGCCAGCCCTGGTTCAATCCTAGCGCCACCACTGAGAAGTAAAAATAAAGATACTCATTCTTTTAACAAAATTCTTAGCAGCTACAGTAGACTTGGGTAGCTAACATACTCAAAATCTATTTCACAGATTATACAACATTTACAAAATCTCGTGTCTTGGAAAACTTGAGGTCACAGTTGGAGTAATGGACTCAGAGGTGCATCTAGGGAAAAATCACCGATGAACTCTCACTCCCAGGGGCAGTGAACGGTCAGACAGAGGAGTGGAGTCTCCACTTGTTCTGTTTGAAGCCAGATAACCCCTGTCTGGAATTTTAGGGAAGTTTAATTAGGGCTGGGCTCAGAGCACTTGACTGGTAAGTGGGAGACACCAGATGAGAGGGGGTGGCAGATGAGTAGTGTAACCAGACGTACCCAAACTGGTATTCATAAATGCTACAAAACACTTGTACAATCTCTAAAGGTGAACCCATTCCAACCTGCACTAGCTGCTTCCCTCACTCTTGTTGGACTCCCGGCTACCAGATTTGACTAGATCTGCCCAGCAGATGCGGTCACTCAAGTCAGAGAAGCCTATTTTGACAGTCAATAGGAATTCCAGGCAAAGAATCAGCCCAACCTCCTAGGGACATTTAACTCTACCCCCAAGGCAGAAAACCCTCTCCTTTTAAATTTTTCTTTCTGCTAATCCAGTAAATTAAAAAAAACAAAACAAAACTTTTTTTTTTGTATTTTTACCAGTACCAGGGATCGAACTCATGACCCCCTGCTTGCAAGGCAGGTGCTTATGCCACTGAGCTAAATCCCCAGCCTCCCAAATTTTTTTGAGTCATGTTCCTTCAAAGCTTTTATAAAATCATGGACTGGGTGTGTCGTTCAGTGGAAGAGTGCTAATTCAGCATACACAAAACCGTTTGATTCCCCCGCACCACAAAACCAGAAAACCAAATTCTGTCTCATGGAGTTTACATGTAGGATGCTGGGGTATGGACAATAATCAAGATTTCTTCATCCTTTCCGTTTTACATAAAGTAAAAACGACTCTGATATTGAGTACAAGGTCATACATTGCTTTACACCTGCACAACACTAGTCCTGTAAAAGCCTTACTCTTAGTACAAAAAGACACAAAGGAACAAAAGGAAGAAGGGAATTAGTATGACGACTGCTAAAACCATGTGGAGAGGCCAGCTGTGGAGACACATGCCTGTGATCCCAGCACTTGAGAGGCTGAGACAGAAGGAACACCGTGGGTTTCAGGCCAGTCTGGACTACATAATGACCTGGAGCTAGCCTGAATTACAGGGTAAACCTATCTCAAAAACACAAAATAAAGCAGCATGTGGAAGGGACTGTACTTTGCTGCTGTGCCAAATTAAAGTTTTTCCTATGCTCAAAATCAGAAACAGTAATAAATGCTTAAAGGCATCACATTCTACAAAGGTAAGGCAGATTTCTTAAACTTCTCCATAGATGCTATTTTTGTCATCCCTACTTCCCGTTATTTACACAAATCCAAGAAAAATTAACCTCTTCGATTTTCTTGTACATATTACATTAAAAAATAAAATGAAGTGACATTTTTTCAAAGGAATAGAAACATTGAAGGAACATTTTATTGCTCATTTAAGATTCAGAAGCCAGTGTGCTTTAGTCAGAGAATTTTCCTATTCCTTGGAAAAAGCAGGCTTAGTTCTCTAATCCTTGCAAATGTAAAATTGCAGCCTTAAATTTTCTTCTCTGGGAAAACTACTGATTACTAAATGCAACGACTGATGTTTCAGGATGTCAATTAGCAAGACAAGTGGAAACCACTTTTTCTCTTGTTCTAGCTCAATCAAGACAACTATATCCTCCCCAAAGGCTTCTGTCTTACACTATTCCTTTTTTTGAGAGAAGGGGTCGTCTAGCCACGTGGACCAGGCTGGCTTTAAACGCCTAGTTGGGACTACAGGTGCGAAGTCAGGTTCCTTAACGCCCGCAAACTTGCAGGCATGACACATTTTCAAACACTGAACAAGTTAACCCAGGACTGATTATACACTTTCAAAATCGATGTAATTTCACGACTTGCATAACAATTTTTTCCATTATCTTTTGGCTCACCTACTTCGTGCCAAACACTGGTAGGTGCTTGGGCTTACAAATGTGAGAAAAAGAGATTTTTGCATTAGACAAATATTAACGTACAAAGTAGATTCACTAGCTTCATAACGATAGAGGAGACTCCTCAAGATGAAGATTAACAATTGACATTAGAATATCGGAAGCTGCGCTCTAACCTTAGTACGGTTTCTTCCCCATTACATACAGTGAGCCTTTCCCTAATATATTAAGTGACGGCTGTTTTAGATTCTTGTGCAGATCCCTGCCAGGTTAAGCACAATGAGTACCCCAGGAAAACGGACCGCTGAAGCGGGAGCAAAGCCCGAGAGTCTGCGCCTAGGACCGGAGCAGAAGTCTCACGAGCTGCGGGGCAAATCTCCGTCCTGTGGAGGAAGCACTAGGCCCAGGCGGCCGGGGTGACCGACTCTGCAGTAATCGGGCCGCCCAACGCTCGCGCCCTCCCAGAGCCAGACCCAGTCCACCACCCCCAGACTGCCCACGGCTTCGCGATGTCAAACCAAGCCCCTCACCTGCTTTTGTACATCAGCATCGCTAAGGGACATGGCGAAGGTGACACAAAGCCGGTAGGCAACTGGTTTTAGCTTAGTTTTATACGAAGCGGTAAGTACAAGTAGGAGAAGAAAATTCGGCGCAGCTTTTGGCTTCCTTTACTTTATAACCAAGGCTTCCGGTTCCTGACACGTGACCATGATCAGCCAATAGGAGAAGAAGACCGAAAAGTCCCGCCCTTCCCCGAGCTGGGCGCATGCCCAGGTGTCTCCCCCGACTCATCCATTCTCGTGACCTTTTTTTTTTTTTTTTTTTTTTTTTTTTTTTTTTTTTTGCGACAGGGCCTAGCTATATAGTTAGCTGTCCTTGAGCACACTAAGTGACCCAAGGTGGCCTCAAATTTACGGGCGATCCTCACAGCCTCCCAAGTGCTGGGATTACAGGCGTGCGCCACCTCGCTTAGTTGGTGACTTGTTCTAATGAAGAATTCCTGAACCTTTTTTTTTTTTTTTTCCTTAACTCATATTTTTTCACCGTTCTGGGGGGCGGGAGCCAAAGTCAAGGTGCCAGCTGATTGGTTCCTGGGGAGGGCTGGCTTTTTTGGGTTTGGTTTTGTTTTGGTTCTGGGTTTTTTTGTTACTTGTTTTCAAATTTTTAATTTTTATTAGCACATGGTTGGAGTACGGAGTACGTAATGATTGTGTTCATCGTGGGGAGTTGGTGACCTGTGTAAAATGCATTCTAATTCTTTTCACTTCTTCCCCTCCCTTCTGTCTCCCTCCCATCTGTTGGTCCTTCGTCTAAATTAATCAGCACATTCTGTATTTCTTCAGTCTTCCAACCCTTGCATATTTTAAAAGTTTAAATAGTTAATATTTATACCAAACTAGCACTTATTATAACTTTACTTTCTTAGCTTTAATGGAAAAAAACATTAATATTTCCCTTTTTGTTAATAGAATTTGTGAAAAGCAGTGGAGTTGAACTGGAAACCTGCCCTGGGCGCAACAGGCCAACCAATGTAGAACTGAATCGGATTAACTAATTGTTGACCTATTGACAAAGCTGTGGCCAGTTGTTTTCTATGCCTCACTTCTCTTTTCTTTTTTTGGTATGGGGGATTGAACTCATGACTGCGTGCTCGCGGGCAGCACCAGATAGGCGCTTGTCCCGGGCCCTCAAGTCTCTGTTTTTATGTATGCTATCTGATGATATTGTTGGTTGGAGTTTGCAGAATCTGCCCTGGGAACTGCCTGATTTTCAAATGGTTTTCATTTTCCTCATATGCAAGAAAGGTCCCTGCTGCACCCCAGGCTGGAAGTGGAACCCAGAGGCTTGCTAGTGCTCTAGGCAAGCACTCTACCACTAAGCCACATCCCCAGCCCCGAAAGTTTCCTTTTCGCAATGTTAATGGAGTTTTAAGTGCGCTTTAGATTTACAGAAACTGTGAGCAAGGTAGAGCAGAGTTCCCATAGCCCTTTCTCCCCCTTACACAACTTCCCCTATGATTAGCATCCCATATTAATGTGGTACATTTGTTACAATTAACTAGTATAGCTATATTAACTACAGTCCATAGTTTATTCAGATTTCTTTAGTTTTAACATACTGCTTTTCGTAAGTTCCTGTAAGAGATAAAAATACTTTAATTGGTCCATATTTCTTTAACCACTCTAATAAGCCCTTTTTTCACAGAATTAGCTGCGTGAGTAACAGTCAGGAACAAGTGGGCTGTGAAAAGACTCATACCAGAGATGAGGTACTGGGGTAAGAGAGAATTGCTAAACAAGTTTTCCTGAATTTCTTTCCAAAGAACTCAAAGGGCCATAAAATTACTACAAAAAGGAATGCATGGGCCTGGGGATTTAGCTCAGCAGCATAAGTACCTGCCTTGCAAGCAGGCAGTCTTGAGTTCGATCCCCAGTACTGATGAAAAGGGAAAAAAAAAAAAAAAGGAATGCAGAGGGAGAAGGTGGGGAGGGAAAAAGGAAGTGGGAAATTGCTGGAGTCAGACTGAACTCCGGATCCCAGGCAGGGGCGAATGGGCCACAGGAGTCCTGTGAGTTAAGAACAGAAGCAAACAGCTCCTGAAGTCAGCTGTGCCTGTCTGTGTGTGTGGGCATCACTCTTTGAAGAACATGGAGTAAAGCCTGGCTTTCGCTGCCCCAGGAGTCCAGTGTTTTTGGGTTTGGAATCCAATTCATTTCTCTCTGTTCCAGATCCTGTCGAGGCTACCACATTATGTTTGGGTCCTGTGTCTTTTTAGGCTCTTTTTGGCTCTTACTGTTTCTGTTTGTGTTGGAGTAACCTGATAGTTGTGAGGAGTATTGGTTAGGTATAATACAGGATATATTGGAATTTTCATCATGATTAGACAGGGGTTGAGTTTTGGGCAGATCACAGAGTATCATATCAAATCAAGGGCATATGCTATGATTTTTTTTCTTGGCTGTAGTAGAGGGTAAACCAAGGGATTTGAGCATTCTAGGAAAATGACTTTCCGCTGATATATATATATATATATATATATATATATATATGCTTTGTTTTGTTTTTGAGATAAGGTCTTATTATGTAGTTCTGTCTAGTTGTTTTTTTTTTTTTTTGTACTGGGGATCAAACTTACCACCTTATGCTTGCCAGGCAGGCACTTGAGCCTCTGAGCAAAATCCCAGGGTCCTCAGGTTGGTCTTGAACCCACTATGTAGCCTAGGGTGGCCTTCAATTTGTGGCAATTCTCTTGCCTCAGGTTCCTGAGTGCTGAGATCACAGAAGTGACCCACCACACCTGGCTTTGAGCTATATTTTTGTTTTTTTCTTTTTCTTTCTTTCTTTTTTTTTTTTTTTTTGACAGTTTTGCTACACAATTCACTCTGGCCTTGAACTCACTTCGTAGCCCATGCTGGCATTGAACTCACAGCAGTCCTCCTGCTTCAGCCTTCCAGATGCTGGAATTACAGGCATGTGCCACAACACCCAGCTGAGCTATACATTTAAAATTTTGTTTGAGCTCTTCTGTGGACAGTGAGAGAAGACTTTCACAATGGTGCAGCCCTTGACATACCACTGTAGCCTTCCCACAATACAAAACTAAGCGTGGTGACACAAACCTGTAATCCCAGCACTCCCAGCACTCCTGAGACTAAGGCAGGAGGACTGCTGGGTATTCAAGGCCAGCCTGGGTTACTAAACAATTCAAGGCCAACCTGAGACTCCCTCTCAAAAGGCAACAAATAAACAAAAGCTAGGGTGTCCGGAGCCCCAGGGAATGGAATTGTTTACCTCTGTACCAAGAAGTTTGGGAAGGCCCTCAAGTCTGTGTGTGGTGTTAGCCCAGGCAGACTTGGAGGGGTTCTCACAGTGGGACCTGAAGTTCTTAAATGAGATTGTCTAAAACAGCAGCTCATCTGCAGAGACTACAGGGCTTCACGTGCACCACGTGTCTGTGTTGGGATCAAAAGAGCTTGATCCCGTACTGAAGAGCAGAAAATCGTGCTGAAAGTGTTGAAGGCACAAGCAGAGCCAGGAGGCTAAATAAAAGATAAAGCTCTTTGAGTAATAAAACATGGAAAGGCTCGGACTCACGACTGCGTGCTAGCAAGGCAGGCACTTATGCCACTGAGCTAAATCCCCAGCCCCTAGAAACACTTTTTAGACAGGTGTGAGTTCCCCTGTCTGATCCAGAATGACTGCTCCTCCCCCTTTAGCTACTTAATTGCAGGGACTACAGGAATGCTGACCTTTTTGAAGAATATGGACATCGTAGAAAGCCCTCCAACTTGATTTTACTTGATAGTATCATCATAAGTAGATTTAAATTATGGGTTGTGAATACATTATACATCTAACAGTGTGTGTGTGTGTGTGTGTGTGTGTGTGTGTGTGTGTGTGGTACTAGGGATTGAACTCAAGACCTCTATCCTCAGCTCTTTATTACTTTTTATTTTGACACTGTGGGTTGCTAAGTCAGTAAATTGCCCGTTCTGGGCTTGATCTTGTGATCCTCCTGCCTCTGCCTTCCTCAGTGCTAGGTTACAGGTACGTGCCACCATACCTAGTGCTCCCTGTCCCTGGAATGAAAATTATGCATACATGTTTAAGACTTTTAATACATGCTACCAAATAGTTTTCCAGCTATATAGTGTACAATGTCATTGTAGTTAATGGCAGATGGATAGAGATTTTTAAAAACAGAGTCTTGCTATGTCCTTCAGGCTGGCCTTGAACTCATAGTGACCCTTCTGCCGCAGCCTCTTGAGTTCAAGGATTACAGGCTTGCATGACCACATCCGGCTATTAAAGTTTTTTTAGTCTCCAGCCTAGGTTACAAAATGAGTTTAAGGCCAGCCTAACCTGCATAGTAAAATCCTGTTTCTTTTTTTTTTCTTCTTTTTTATCGGTACCAGGGATCGATCGAACTCATGACTGTCTGCTTGCAAGGCAGGCGTTTATGCCGCTGAGCTAAATCTCCAGCCCCTAAAACCCTGTTTCAAAGAAACAAAAAAAAAAAAAAAGAAAGAAAAAGAAAAAAGAAAAGAAAACAAGTACACATCTTTGAGAAGACTGGTAATGTTTTATGGAGTTTTTGTTTTTTGTTTTAAAACAGGGTCTCACTTTGTATTGCTGGCTGGCCTTGAATTCAGACTGTTAATGTTTTGATAAGAAAAAGGTTTTACCACAGTACAGTAAAAACGAGCAGCACAACAATCCTTGTAGTTAAATTTAACTTTACCTGTAGTTTATCTGCTGAACTAAAGCCACATGATAGGGTTGTTTCATTGTGTCAGTTTCTGCATTAGCAGCTTTATTCCTCAGCATCCCCAAAGACAGATTTGCAGAATTATGCCTTCCTCTTCACATCCCTAGGCAAGGATAAGGTGGCATGAACTCATCTGAACTATAATCCCAGGTTGGGGATTTAGCTCAGTGACACAACTGCCTGCCTGGCAGACATGAGGTCATGAGTTCAATTCTTGATATCAAAAATGAAAAAAAAGAATGAATTACAATCCCTCCTCATATTTATTTGTATGATATTCTGCAAATGACTAGATTTAGGAAGTGGGATAGGACATGCCATATCTCATTATTTATTTTATTTTAATTTTTTTTTTTTTTTGGTACCAAAACTGAACTCACAACCTCACACTTTGCCAGGCAAATGCTTATGCTGCTGAGCTAAATCCCTGGCCCGAAATTGATGATTTAAATATAGTATTGTCCAAGTCAATTATGCCTTTGTTTTTGTTTTGTTTTGTTTTGTTTTGTACCAGAAATCGCACTCGGGGCCTTGTGCTTGCAAGCAGGCTCTGTGCCACAGAGCTATATTCTAGGTCTGTGCCTTTGTTTTTTAAAGGATAGCATGATGGACACATATGTGGGGGTGCACTCCTGTAGTCCCAGCACCCAGGGAGGCTCGGGCAGGTTGATTGCCATGTGTTGAAGGCCAGCCTGGGCTACATAGTGAGATTCCAGTCTCAAAAAACACAAAACAACAACAAAACAGTGCAGTGCCTTATTATTGTGAGACTTTAGAAAACATTCAAAACTACAAAGAACAATTCAAATATTCATTTACTATGAACTATTACCCCAATGTGACAATGTCTATCACCATGAAGTTTCAATTTGTTTGTTTGTTTGTTTATTAGGGAGGGTCTTGCTATGTGGCCCAGGTTGGTCCTGAATTCTTGGGCTCAAGTGAAGCTCCTGCCCCAGCCTTCCAGGTAGCTGAGACTGTAGGCACGTGGTGATCCATATCCAGTGATACTTGACTTTAAAAACTGTGTCTGGGCTGGAGATGTTGCTCCATGGCAGTGAATTTGCCTAACATTCATGAGGCCTCTAGTGCAACCCCCACACTTACCCAGGTCGTGTTACTATGTCAGCGGAATGATTAGCATCGCCCTTTGTGCGGCAGTTCTTCCATGTTAAAACCCTTAAACAACTGCTTTCTACACTGCCTTGCTGACTCCCCAAGGAGCAGGCCAGGTCCTGTCTGATAACAATGTGGTAAATTCTACAGACACAATTGCTGGAGTGAAAAAATTTTATGAGTACAATTGTCTCTTATTACCTTCTCCAGGATTGCTCTCAACAACCAAACTACGTGGATGCATAAATCCTTTATATAAAATGGTGCAGTATTTACCTATGACCCAGAACACTTTCCTGTACACCGTAAATTATTTCAAGATTCTTGCTCCTCCCCCAATAAAACTACAGATAGGATCCAGGGCCTTTGCACTAAGCTACATCCCAAATTATTTTTAAAAATTTTATCTTGAGACAGGTTCTAAAACATTAAGTTGCCCAAATTGGACTCAAACTTGCATTTCTCTTGCCTCAGCCTCCCAGAGTGCTTGATTACAAACCTGTGCCACAGTCAGGCATGGTGACACATGTCTACAATCCCAGCGACAAGTTTGACACCAGCCTGGGCTATAAAGTGAGCCACACAGGGAGACCTTGTCTCAGACAAAACACACACACACAACAAGCAAATACAAACAAAACAAAACAAAACAAAACAAAATAAGCCCCTGCCACTGCACTGGGCTTCAAGATGCTTAGATACCAGTTACAATGAAAATGCTAAGTAAATAGTTGTTATATGTTATTGTTTGGAGGAAGACAAGAAAAAAGTGTATATGTTCAATACTGGTAAAAAGTTTTTCAAACATTGTCAATCTATGCTTCTATTAGCCCACAGATACAGAAGGCCCATTCTACATGTGAACATTAATCAACCAATACTTTTTAAAATCCAATATCCTATATTAGTTTAGTGTTATGGAGAATCTTTTTCTTTTTTCCTTTTGGTGTTTTTGGAGACTGTCTTGCTATATCGTCCAAGTTGGCGATCCTGTAGCTTCAGCTTCCTGAGTGTTGAGTTTACAGGGTAGTATCCCCAGACTAGTTTGTGGATCTTAAAGCAGGTTTTCAGATACGTTCTTTTAAAATTCTACTGTTAAGGGGCTGGGGATTTAGCTCAGCGGCATAAGAGCCTGCCTTGCAAGCATGCAGTCGTGAGTTCAATCTCCGGCACACACACACAAAAAATTCTACTGTTAATAAACCAATCTTCCTATGACTTCACCAAAAGTACCAACCTAGATTCCTGCTAGCTTAGTCAGAGGACCTGTGCGCTTGTCATCTACCACTCCCACTTGGGTTAACTAAAAGGAGAGAGGCAGAGTAGATAAACTGACTCTTGCGTTGGTTTGCTGAGGATATACAGGGAGAGAGTCAGGTAAGTGTAAATTATCTTGACCTTTAAATGTTGGGGAGGGCAGGGGGTGGGATGCAGTGGTACAGTGTGTGATTACTATGCATGAGTCCTGGGTTCCACCCCTAGCACCACACACAGAGTATTAAAGTTGCCCAGCACAGTGGCAGCATGCCCGTGACCCCCTGCACTGGGGCCAAGTGAGACAAGTTAGCAATTTATCAAGACCTTGTCTCAAAACATAAAAAAGGGATGAGAATGTAGTTCAGTGTGAAGGCCCAGTGTTCAATCCCAAGTACTGTATAATACCCCAGAATTGAAAATTAATCTGAAAAGAAAAAAATTGTAGTTGAAAATAGCAATTTTAATTTAGGAAGATGTTTGTGCTTGTGCTTTTTGTTTCTGTCTCTGTCCCTCTCTCTCTTTCTCTGTCTCTATGTCTGTCTCTGTCTCTGTCTCTCTCTGCCTCTCTCTCTGAGACAGGGTCTTGGCCTGCAGTTCAGGCTGGTCTTTAGCTTGGAGTGATCCTCCTGTCTCTCTGCCTTTTGAGTGCTGGGACCATAGGCCTGTGCCACCAAAATCGATTCTTTTTTTCCTTTTTAAACATATTTCCACAAAGAAAAATGAGTAGTTTAAAACCTAGGGGCTATGAAGTTATTCCTGGTTTTTAGGCCTCCGTCGCCTTCCAGATGCTTGTTTTCTTTCTGATTGGTTGCCTCATCTGACCTTGCACCTGCCTGTCTGGATCATCTCCCTTTGCTCCCACCTCAAAGCTTTCGTTTCCTTTCAGTTCCTCGAAAACACTAAAGTTTTAATTTATGTATTTATTCTTTTGATACAGGGATAACGTTTCCTGACCACTCTTTCTTTTATTTTATTGCTACATTTTAGGTATACACACTAATATTCATCACAAGAGAATTTGCAGCGTTTTCCCCCTTTCCCTTCTCTCCCTTCAACTCTTCTATTTACAAAAGCTTTGTTTCTACTTTTCCTTCTTTTTTTCTTGTCCCTTCTCCCCTCTGCCCCCCCATCCCTCATTTCCCTTCTTGTTTGAACACTTTTTCCCATTTTCCAGTATCATACATTTTGGTCCTTATTTGTACATTCGGTTTCTCACACCAGAGAAACAATGCGGTATTTAAACGTGTGTGTCCGATTTATTTCACGTAAGGGTATAATCTCAAGGTTGACCCATTTATAAAGCTTAGAGGAAACGAACCTCCACAACCCCCAGAGTCATAGATTTGAGGGGCTCCTGGAAAGAGAGGCTACAAGAGGGAGTGCGTCAACTCTCAGGGTCACATCAGCGCGAGACCTCCGAGAACTCTGTGGTCCGTACTTCCGGATAAAGGAGCCCGCCTCTTCCGGCAATCCGGATCCGCCCCGACGCCGATGATGACGGAAGCACGCCGCGGGTGACCTCACCCTCCAACATGGCGGCGGCGGTAGATTAGGGCCGCGGGTCGAAGCAGCCACCGCCGCTGGGGGACCCTGTCAGAAGCAACTGCCGCCGCCGCCGCCGCCTCTTTCATCTCTTCTGGGGCAGGGGCCAGGGCCAGGTGAGGGGAGTGGGGTTCCGGGCCGACCGAGCTGAGTGATAAGGCGGTTTTCACCTCCGATTTTCCTCCGAAGGTGTCCAGAGACTATCGGCCACCGACTCCCCAGTGGTGCCGACGATGCGTGAGAGACAGCGAGTGTGTGAACGTGTGTGTGTCAGTGTCCCCCGGCGTCCCAGAGCCCTAGGGTTCGTGAAGCTTCGGGCTCCGTTCCTTTGTCGCCGCACCTGTCCAGCGCGGTCCGGTTGCGGACGCTTCTCCCGGTGTGGGCTGCCTTGGCGGAGGAACTCGGCCTTTGCTCTACATTGTTCTTTTACCACAAATAGCTTCACGTAGGAAACCTAGGATCCTTTTAAGGGTTGGGCGAAGGAAAATGGACTCGTTTTTGGTTGCGGCACTGGTTTGCCTGGCATTCACTTAGAGTGACTGTACACTAGTGTTCCCAGAGCTAGTCACTCTCTTTCACAGATTGTTAGAAGTCTTAAGTTTGGGGCTGGGGATTTAGCTCAGCGGCATAAGCACCTGCCTTGGAAGCAGGCGGTCGTGAGTTCGATCCCTCGTACCGATAAAAATGAAAAAGACAAAAAAAAAAAAGCTAAAAAAAAAAAAAAAAAAAAAAAAAGAAGTCTTAAGTTTTCTGATAACGCAGTTTTTCAGAAAAGCCTGCCTTACTCTTGGTGGCATACGCAGTCCAACGCTGTCCTTATTTCTTTTTATATTTATCCTCCCAGCATTCTGAGGAGGCCCCTGATTTCTTGCCTTCGTATCCTATCTTTTTAAGTTGGTGCTGTTGGTAGCTTTATTCAGCTCTTAATCGCTTCCTGCACAAGTGTGCATCCGAAATAGCTTTCGCACTGTTTTTGTTTAGAAGTTTGACCTAAGCTGACAGTCCCCTCTCCCCCTTTTTTGTTTTACATGTAAAACAAAGCGAAATCGTTTTTTGCGAAACTGTGGTAAGAGTTCCCTTGGAGGTTTGTTGTAACCAGAACGTTGCTCTTTGCCCAGACTTGTGTGACCTTGGATGAGTTGCCACACCCTTTAGATACTCCCTCCCCCTTTTTAATGCACTAATCATGGAAAAAAAAATTGTGTGGTGCTTATAGTATTGAAACCCCCTCCCTTTAAGCACTTTGGAAAATTGTTTGTATAGGTAATGAACTGCTTATTACTTTGTATGCATAGATGGGTAATAAACCTGGCACATTTTTACCTGTAAGTAGAAAATATTCAAATCATTTGGAAATATTCTTCATTTGGAAGTAGACAAAGATTTTCAACCTCCTTTCACTCCGAATGATCAGGTTCTAAGGATTTTTCCAAGTGGTTCATATGCATATGTGGAGGAGTGTATCCCAATAATTGTTGAGTTCAGTTGAAGATGTATTAAGTTGAACTCACTATGTAGTGCATGCTGATCTGAAATGCCAATCATTCTGCCTCAGCCTCCTGGTGCTGGGATTGTAGGCATGCACACCATACCCAGCTCCAGAATGTGTAAGTTTTGAGTGCAGTTTTTAAAGGGAAATATACTCACTAACACATTATTAAATCAGTTTTTTCCTGGGTTTATTTGAAGTTATATTTTTAAAAAATTTTAAAGAAAAATAAAATTTCAAAACGATAATTAGCGAGTAACAATACTTAATCCATTATCTTTAAATTATCTTTAATATTATCTTTAAATTAGTTACTCAGAGTACAAGATAACCTGCATTTAATTGTCCAAACCTTTCTTTTCAATGAACTAAGAACATTAGTATAACTATCTTAATTATCTCTTTTACACACACACACACACACACACACACACACACACACATTTCTTTCAGTTTCTCACACTAGGGGAACGATTCGAGGTTTACACATGTGAGTCCAATTCATTTCACTTATGAGTAAATCAATATAACGTACTAGCTTTTAGGATTAAGACAACAATCACTTTTAAAATACTTTATTTGTTAAAATGTGTGTTAAAAATATTTTTTTTTTTGTTTTAGCAAGGCATGATGGTGCAAGCCTGTAATCCTGGCGCTCAGGAAGTTGAGGCAGGAGAATCACAGTGAATTTAAAGCCAGCTTGGATGTATATGTGTGTGTGTGTGTGTGTGTGTGTGTGTATGCTTTTCTGATGAAATATTTTAAACAAGTTTTTGTTAGTGGTTCTAGAGATCAAATCCAGAGCCTGGTTTATATTAGGAATGTGCTTTACCATTAAGCTACATTCTCAACCCTAGATTTAGTAACAGTGTGTTTTTATCCTGCTTTTGTAATGTTTCAGACATTATTTTGACTCATATCCTAAATAAGTGAACCAAGAATTCTTAATATATGTGAGTCGGGGGAGGAGAGCTGTTTTTAGAGTGACTGGGTTTTGGGGAGTCCTGCAGAGCCCCCACTGAAGGACTTTCCTAGCCCCTTGTGTTGTTTTGTCCTGTTTGCTGTGCTAGGGATAAAACCCAGGGTCTCACTTTCCAAGCTCTACCAGCAAGCTATATCCTCAGCACAAGTGTTGTTGATTTTTAAAAACACCTTTATTGAGATAATTAATATATCATATGGTTTATGGTTGTATAATTTAATGATTTTCAATATGTCTACAGAATTATTAGGCAGCCATCTGCACTGTTTTCATCACCCTGAAAAGAAACTCCTCTGCAGTCCACCCTACCTGTGGTGCCGGGAATTGATAGCTCCATCTCCAGCCTTTTCTCTTTTCTGAGACAAGGTCTCTCTGTATAGTTCAAGCTGGTCTTGAACTCACTGTGTAGCCCAGGCTGGCCTCAAATTCACTGCAATCCTGCCACAGCCTCCCAAGTTCAGGGATTACAGACATGTGCCACCATGCCCAGCTTGCTTGCTTGCTTGCTTGCTTTTTGTGGTGATACAGAAATGCATTTTATTTTCAAGCCTTTTTGAGAATATTTATAAAAACTGGTATGTAACAACAAAAATGTATTGAACAGTGTCATAGTCTGCTTCTGCTTCCTACATTATCAAGTGTTTCTAGCAAACATTTTATAGTCATACTATTTGACTTCAGCTTTTAAAATTTAAAAATTTAAAAAAAATAAAAAATAAAATTTCAAAATTTTTATATTTATTTAAATTTTAATTTGTTTTGTTTTTAGAGACAGGGTCTCTGTGTAGTTCAGGCTGAGTTTGAACTCATGGTAATCCTCCTGCCTCAGGTTCCAGATACTGTATTGGTGCAAGGGTTTGGAGACTTAGGGTCTTGCTATGTAGTTCGGGCTGTGCTTAAATTCACTATGTACACTATACTCAAACTCACAGTGATTGCCCTGCTCCACCCAGTCTGCTGTGTGCTGTGTCCGCCATGACAGAGTCTCACTTTGCAACTCAGGCTGGCCTTGAACTTTCTTATGTAGTTCAAACTGGCCTTGAATTCATGGCACTCCTGTCTCAGCTTCCCAAGTACTGGGGTTACAGACTTACAGGCATGTGTTACCACGCCTGACTCCTGGCTCTACTTTCTGACTGTTGTATATAATGTTGCCTTGAACATGATGTGCATGTTTTTGTGTAGACATATATTTTTATTTCTTTGATATATATCTAAAAGTGGAATAATGAGTGTAATGAATTTTATGCCTTCCTTTATAAAGCTATGTACACAGATTTAGGAAGCTTAAATAATTTATTGTAAAAGAGTATATGTGAGAAATCAGGGTAAGGAATCCCTATGAATATGTTATCTGAATGTCAGCTGCTGAATGAAAATGTTTTGGGGCAAGTTCTTAACACAGGATTGAACTGGAGTGTTCAGTTTGACATGTTTTATTTGGAAAAAGACTTTAAATACTTAACTCTAGAATAGTGTCTGCTGAATTTTAAAAATAACTTGTCACTCAGTTACATTTTAGCTGAGTGGAGTGAATTTTTGCAGTTTCACCTTTTTTTTTTCCTTTCTTTTTTTTTTTTTGTACTGGAAATTGAACCCAGGAGGACTATTACCTGAGCTACATCCTGAGATATATATTATATATCTAAATCATATGGATTGTGTATGGGTGTGTTTCTTTAAATGATATAGGATCTTACTATGTAGTGCAGGCTGGCCTCAAAATTTTAATTTTCCTGCCTCAGTCTTCCAGGTTCCTCAGCCTTACAGGCCCTGCTTTTATCTTTTTTGCTTGCTTTTTCTTCTCTTTTCTCTTTTCTTTCTTATTTAAAAAAAATTTTTTTTGTCTCTTTCTTTTCTTATCGGTACCAGGTATCAAACCCATGACTGTCTGCTTGCATGGCAGGATCTTATGCTGCTGAGCTAAATCCCCAGCCCCTTCTCTTTTCTTTCTGTGTTACTAAGTATTGAATCCAGGGCCTTTGCACTGAACTATATCCACAGCCTTTTTAAAATTTCCTATTCTGGGGCTGGGGATTTAGCCCAGCGGCATAAGCACCTGCCTTGCAAGCATGCGGTTGTGAGTTCGATCCCTGGTACAAAAAAAAAAAGACCCAAAAAAATTTTCCTATTTTGGGACAAGGTCTCACTGTGTTGTTAAATTCCCCCCGCTGTGGTTAAATTTGTGGTCCTCCTATCTCAGCCTCCCATGTAGTTAGGCTTACAGGTGTGTGTCACCACATCTGGCAGTTTCATAAATTTTATTAGGATTATTTTGCTCCTTTTGGAGAAACACATAGAATTCAACATGAATTAATAAGGCATGGCTTAGAAATTACTATTATTTAGAGCTGAGTGGATTGTTCATTTATAAAGGACTTGCCTAAGATTCATAAGGCCCTGGGTTCAACTATCAGTGGTTAAAACTAAAGAGCTCATAGCCAAGGAATTTTGTTAATGTTTTTAAAATTAAAAATTTTGTTTTGCGACTGAGTTACTTTTCATAAACTAGAATTGTAGGTATGTTCAACTATTTTTACAGTATTTGAATTATTATGTTGTGATTTTATTTTAGCAGAAGGAAATGGTCTAAAAACCAAAGAACCAAATTTGTGACACATGCCTGTAATACAAAATTCTGGGAG